TCCCCCACCTCCCACACGCTCCATTCAAGTTCGAATATTCCCACCTGTTACTCCAAGGCTGGTTCCTATTCAACTCCGCAATACGGAGTACTCCGTAACAGATGTACTAGCATATGTCCTCTGACACTGACAGATCCATATGGAGCCGAAGTCCGGTGAAACGCCCCGCACTCCGTTGCTTCAATGGCTCGGACTTGAGCCGTGACTATGAGCCAACCCACACACAACTTACCTACATCGGGCAGCTAGTATTACCTATGCCAAGCGACTCCGATTGTGGTGGTCCACATAGTCTCCTTCGTATTGAAATGTCTGTGTATTACATACATGCCTTTTGCTTTCTCTTTTCGAGTGCTACTCCCAAGCTCACGGTTATCCAGCGCCGAGATCCCGAACAACGATCTACATGTATGTACCTACTAACTACTAGTATTGCTAGAATGAGTAGCAACATATACTCATAGACAACCTCAAGCCACCGTAACCCGTACTGCATCATCTAGCGCCTTGGCAAAGTACGACACGTTGCCCTCATTCAGCCCAGCAATGGAGATCCGTGACGTCTCAGCCATGTAGACGTGATGCTTCTCTAGATGGAAACCAAAAGTGTCAACAACATTTCAATATCTGCGAAGCCAACAGCGGAAACGGCGGCGGCGGCGGCGGGAGCCGCGTGTCATCTGTAACTTACTCTCGAGGTACTCGACCTGGGCGGGACTGATGCCAGTGTACCCAAACATGCCAATCTGGTTGACGAGATGAGACCAGTCCCCCGGGGTGCCCAGGCGTAGCAGCTCGTCGTAGACCTTCTGCCTCATGGCCTTGATGCGGCCCGACATGGTCAGCAGGTCCTGCCGCCACTGGTCCTTGATGTCCGGGTCGGCAAGCACGGCGGCCGCGATCTTGGCCCCGTACGCCGGCGGGTTCGACACCGTCGCCCTCTGGCAGTTGGCCAGGATGGACGACATGGTGCGCGCGAGCCGGGCCGTCCGTGCCGTAAAGGCCGTGAGCCCCACCCTCTCGCCGTACAGACCCATGCTCTTGGCGAACGAGAGGCACACGGCCGCCTCCAGCCCCAGATCCTCGGTGAAGTATCGGATCGCCCACCTGTCCTCCTCCAGCGATCCGGAGCTGAAGCCCAGGTAGGCCGAGTCGAAGACGGGGAAAAGCGACAGCCTTCGCACCACCGAAGCCATCTCCCGCCACTGCGCCCGCGTGGGGTCGCATCCCGTGGGGTTGTGCGCGCAGGCGTGCAGCACCACAGCCGACCCCGGCTGCGCGCTGCCGAGCGCTCGGATGAAGGTGTCGAAGTCGAGCTTGCCCTGCGAGTAGTATGGCAGCTTGTGCACCTTGAACCCCTGCCGGCTGAAGAGGAGGTCGTGGTTCGACCATGTCGGGTCCGTGATGTATACGTTCTCGATGCCCGCACCCGCCTGGCGTAGGGCGAGTCCCGTCAGCAGGAGCGCGCCCGTCCCCGAGAGGGCCTGGCAGGATGCAATCTGCAACACATTGGAGCTACAGCTAAATCCGGTTTGCCACTCTTCGTTCGGGTTGACTTACCCGTCCTTCCCGTAGGAGAGTCGTCCCCTCAAAGACAACCTTGACTGCCTCTTTGCGGAACACCTCCAATCCCTCTATCGGAAGGTACTCGTGGCCCTTGTCCGCGAGCTTCTGCTCGGCCAGACGCACAGCCGGCAGGATCCACGGCTTTCCCTCGCCATCTCTATACGTTCCCTGACCCAGGTTGACCTTGTCCTGGAAGTCGTCCGCAACATATCTCTTGGTTACTTCGAAGATGGCGTCGGCGGGCACCGGCTCGGCGCGATCGAAAAACGAAGCTGCTTTCATTTTATTTTCTTAAGAATAGGTATACTTAGACAAATTCCGTGGGCGTGAAATTCCCTGGACGTGAGATTCCCTTGGCGATGCGCTTGAGTACACTCCCCCCCCCCCCCCGCTACAAGTATGAAGTGCTAACCCCGTGTTTATCTGTGATTCATCAAGCTGTTCACGGAGGTTATCCGGCCTTTGTGCTCCGCCCAACGGCAGTGGGGCCGAGCTCCCTTGCGATAGCGTCTCACGCAACGACTATCGTCGATTACTCCATACGGAGGCCAGACCGAGGGGAGGGGGATGGAGGGGCTCCATTGTTCCCAGAATATGCTAGGCTAAGCTATCTCAACCTATATTTATATCTCTCTTACGAGTAGGTATGGCCCGTTATTCGCGGAGCCGCTGCATCGTTCGTCTCGTCATCGCGAAACCGGTCCGGGGATCCCTATCAAGTCGCTGACGGAGTGGGACGCTGTCTTCTTTCCCTCATCCCGCTATTAAACAGTGGCTTTTCTCCCGTGACTTTCGTTGCTTCCATATTAAGAAGAAGAAAAAATGGAATTCGTAAGTGTTAATCGCTGACCATGCATGCTTTCCCTGGTCTCTAAGACAACAAGTTATATAATAATAATAAAGTTTCCCCCCTCTCCCCCACAGAGGGAGAAAGGGGTGTAATGATCCATCAAGCGAAGGAGGGAGACGAAGAGCACTTCTCGTTCGTTTCTATGCTGCGATATTCTCCACCGGAGCAGCAACCTCTGTGCCCTTCCAATCCCATAGCCTTCCATCGAGCGCACCCCTCCTGACCCAATCGATGACAAGATCAGCAGGCGTCTCATCACCATAGAACGGCATAGGTACCTCATACATGTCGACGGCCATTCGTCCCCGTGGGTCTATACTCGCCCAGCGGGAAACGTCCAACGCGTCGGGGAGGTGGTGCGCGGTGTCGAGCAGTGTGAGGCGGATATTTCTGTCCAGCGCGGGGTGGTCCCTGGGCAGCTTGTGGAAGTACTCGTCTTTGATGTTGACAGCGTCAAGGTTCCTCGGCTGAACGAGTACCACGCGCTCTAGGCGAGTGAGCGTGGCCACATCCCACCAGAGCCAGTGGCTGTCGGCGGGGACGTCAAAGAGCGCGAGCCGCCGCAGGTCGGGCCACAGCCGCCACACGTCGGTGTGCTCGTCCGCCACGCTGAGCGCTGGATACTCCCCCAGGCAGACGAACTCCTCGAGGTGGCTAAGGTGCTGGAAACCCTCGCGAAGGGCCTTCCGCACGTTGAGGTGGTCGTCCAGCGGGTCCAGGCTGCGGAACGGCATGTGCACTACCAGACGCCGCAGCGTGCTCGACACCTCGCACAGCAGCTCCCGCACCCACAGTGCCGTCGGCTGGTCGTCCAGCGAGCCGCCCTCGAATGGCGACAGGTACAGGCTTGTCAGGTGCCGCAGCGAGGGCATCGGCGGCGCCACCGTCGGCACCATCCGGTTCATGCACAGCAGGAGATCGCCCAGCCGCCGCCGGCTGTCAATGTATACGCACCGCTGCCGGAGGAGCCGCGTCGCGACCCGGTACGTCAGCCGCGATACCCGTGTCAGGGATAGCAGCGTGCGCGTCGCGCTGTGCGAGGTAGCAATCAGCGACCGAGGGTTCGCTGGGAGGACGCTCTCGACTATCAGCTGAATGATCTCGGGTGGCAGCCGGGGGTGTGCCAACTGTCGTTCCTGTTGCTGTTCCCCATCCTCGTCCATCTTGTTTTCCTCGTCGTCGTCGTCGTCTCGTAATGGGAGGGTGGTTTGTTTTGTTATCGTCGTCGTGCTAGTAGCTCTTGGGAGCTTATTTATGCCATGGTATTTTGACTCTTCTCGCTGTTCTCAAAGAAGGAGGAGGGGTTGTGCTGGCTGAGGCGAAATGTTTTCTGTTCTCGGCTGGACAGAACTAGCCCTGGCGCCTGCTTCTGCGAGGGCCAGAGGCAAAATCGTTTTAGGATCTGTGATGCCACGGGGTGACTGTGAGGGAAGAGCTCCAGTATTGTTACGAGGAATTGCTCTCGTACTCGTACGTAGGAGATGCGTGGGTCCTTCCCGCTTATCGTCCAGCAAGATAAGCGTCACTCGCGTCCACGCTCAACATGACGTAGTTGAGAATAGTACCAAGAGCCAACATTCATCACCATCAACAACGCCACTGAATCGAAACGCGAAAAAAAGAAACACGATGACACTGGACATAACTCTAAACAGGGTCAATAATATGTATACGTATAGCCCTACACGCTTCCTTTTTTGTTTTCCAAAGGATATCCCGAAAAAAAAACCGTGTCAAGAAGAACAAAGAACACGAAAAGTCCAACGCCTGATACACTTGCTCGTAGTAACCTCCCATATTCTTGCCCTCCCTCCGCTCATGTCTTCTTGGATTGGCTCTCGTATGTATAGTCCAGCTTCCACAGGGGGTCCCATACAACCGACTTTTTCGTCGAGCTACCCGCCGACTCTTCCCGTTCGAGTCTCCTGTTTGGCTGTCGTGCCCGATAAGGATTAATCAGCATGACTGATGGCCTCACGGTCCAAGCAGGGAGTCGACATTTCGTACCTCGGTTATCTTGGAGGCTTCTCCCCCTTGCCCACCAGATGACCCAGCCTGCTTCTTCTGCGCTGTTTCGCCGTCAGCCTTGGAATTCACCTTGGCTGGTTCCTTGGCCGCTGTCGTCGTTGCTGCTCCAGAGCCTTCAGGTTTCGTAGACATATGCCCGGTCTGGACCGGGCTCGTGCCCGCTGTCGGCGTACCTGGAGCTCCCGAAGCACCGGCACCAGCACGGAGGGAGTTTGTCTCGCTAGTAATCGGGTTGCTCTTAAGCAGTGACGATTGGCCGCCGGCAAACGGTAGCGCCCTCTTCGAGCTCGAGCTGCTGCGTCGACTCTCGAGGCTCTTAGACAGCGTCTTGTTAATACCCTCGATGCTCGCCACGCTGTCGCGTTTCTTGCCCTTACCCGAAACGCCAGTCGCGTGCGTGTGCAGGTTGGCTGTTGCTTCCACCGTGTTGGCCGCCACCGTCGACCGTCCCATACCCGGCGTGGCTGGGGCCCCCGGCTTGTCCTCCTGCGCATCGATGAGGTACCACCGTAGACCGTCTGACAGCTGGAAGGGGTTATCGTTCTCCCCCTCATTGGCTGACGGCTCGCCTTGCTGCAGGCTCTTAGAAAGGTCCACAACACGCTCCTGGATGCGCGTGATGCGTGCCACGAGCCACTCACGGTTTCGCAGCCGGTGCCCGTCGAGCTCCCGGAGGAAGTAGTGTGGAAACCCGACGTTGAAGGCGGCCCACGCTCCCGCCTGCTGATTCCTGGTCGGAAGGAAGAGCGCCAGGTCGCCTTCTTTAAAGTGCTTGTAGGCAATCTTGTCGTGCGAGTCCCTCTGCAAAGCGTGCGCGCGATCCCTGTACGACCGGGCATCCTTCTGCCACTTGCGTGCCTTGTACTCAACCTCCTTGATCCGCCGAACGACCGTATCTGAGAAGGCATCCGTGTCAAAGTCCCCGAGCTTCTTGAGGAACAATGAATATTTGTCGGCCTCGGTTTTGGCGTCTGCGCTGCTTGGCCAATACAGCAGATCCAGGTCTGCGCTTTCATGCAGAGCCTTGGCGCCGAGCGTCGCCGACTTACGAAGCGAAGTACCGGGGTCAGAAGAGTCGTTGGGGTTCTGCGCAGCCCTCTCCGCTCGCGGAACCTTGGTGATAGTCATCTCAGCATCCTTGCGGGACACAGAATATCCTATGCGCTCCAGGAGGTGGCACATGCGGTCGTTCTGCGAGTACAGCCGGCGCGTCAGGTCCATAGACCTCTCGTCGCGACTTTCATACCGCGCCGTGAGCTCTGATAGCTTGCTCTCGGTCGAATCTAGCTTCTCCTTGCGCAGGATGAGCTCTTCCTCAAGCCTTCCCACCTGTGACTGGCGAGAAGCAAGTTCCTCCTTGAGGCTTGCCATCTTCTTCTCCTCCTCGTCTACACGTTTCTGGAGCGTCACGGATCCGGTTTCGCCGTCAGATAGTCGAGCTCGGGCACTGCTCAGCTTCTCCCTGGTCTCAGAAAGCTCAATTGCCAGAGCTTCAACCCTGGCTTTGGTCTCTGTTGCATTCTTCCATGCTTCCCGGGTCGATGTCTCTTTAGAAGCGAGCTGCTCTTTGGTAGACGCAAGCTCTCCGCGCAGCTCCTTGACCTGGCTGCGCGCCTGCTCGAGCTCTTGGCGAACAAGGGCACTATCGCTCTCCATATTCCGGAAACGACCAAGCCAATCTGTCACCCTGGTCTGCACGCTATCAGCTAGGTCTGAGTCACTCGGGACCATATCTTCAGGGCAAAGCTGGAGGTGAAGTGCCTTGAGGCTCTGCAAGTAGCCATTGGCAATCTCCTGCGTCTCTTCGGCTTTCTTTGAGTGGCTTTGCCCCTGCTTCTTTGCCTCCTCCAACTCGCGTTCAATCGAGTCGCGCTGCTCCCTTTGAATACGTGCCTCGTTGCGAAGAAATTCGACCTGTCCTTGGGCTTTGAGTGCTTCGTCTTTCCTCTCCTTCTCAGAACGGTCGAGTTCGGCTTCTAAGTGTTGGACCCTTTCCGAGTACGTGGCCTTCTCCTCGTCTCGTGAGTCACCGAACTGCTCCAGTTCAACTTCTGTGTCTTCGAGGCGGGCCTTGAGCGTCTTGATCTCGTCCTCGAGAGATTTCCGTTCCTCCACAAACTCTCGTTTCAGTGCTTCCATGTTTTCCAAAAGGTCCTTCTTCGTAGAGTTAACCTCTTGAATCTTATCTTCCATGTCATTGTTTTGTGTCGCCCGTGTGCTGAGGTCTTTCTGAATGCGGTCATTGCGCTCCTTCTCTTGCCGGAGTTCGTTCTCGAGCTCCGCGTTCCTCCGCGCAAGTGCGTCTGTGGCGTCTGATGAAGAGCGGCTACGCTCATGGACACCTTGCTTGACGGAAGAGGTGGAACCGTTTCTTTCATGAATCGAGGTCATCTGGGCTTGGAACAAGTTGCCAGGTCGAAAGGCCTGGCTCTGTCTGTGGAGGAGGTCCTCGAGCCTCCGCACTCTGCTCTCGGCCGTCCTCACCTTGCTCTCAAGTCTGGATTTGTCATCCTGCAGAGAGCGCATGAGTTCGTCGTCGCCGCGGATCATGAGACCACTCCTCCCCAGCGAAGACTCATGGATGCTGCCATTCTTGAACGCCTTGAATCGTTTTAGCTGCTGCTTCGTGGGGTTGAGGAGCTCGTGCAAGAGCTGACTGATGTCATCCAGAATTGCCTGTTCCGTATCCAGGCCCTTGAGGGTCTGTAGGAAATTCTCCAGCTCATTCTTGTTCACAACTGGCCAGGGATTGCTCCCGCCGAGGACGCTGACCTCCAAGCCCATTACATTTGTATCCAGTGAGGGACCATAGGTGCTTCCAACCATCTTCTGCCATTTTCGCCGCCTTTTCGATTCCTCGTCCTGATAGAGGGCCATCTCGTTGGCCAGGGTCGATGAGTCGTTTTTGATCTTATCGTTCCACTCATGACGACGGATAGCCTCTGCCAGAAAAGACGCATACATATATGGCAGCTGCTGGATAAGTCGCAAGTAGTCGAAGGTTGTCAGATCGTCTTCGGACTGGTTCATAGCATTGATCTGATCCTTGAAGTTGGAGCGATACGAGGTGATATCTGTTATAGCTCGCATAAACCTGACCGTGTCCGAGGCTATAGTGTTCCGACACTGGACAGCATACTGCACCATATCGTCCATTTCCTTGGCGCGCTTCATGAGGTTCGGTACGAGTCTCTCTGTGTGGTTGGACGCTGTCTTAGAGGCCTGTGCAACGTCACGCTGTGAGCCTCCGTAGCCAAGCGCTGTGCGGTAGTCGGAATCGATTTGCCCGACGATAACCTCGATATCCTCGAGCAGGTGGGAAGTATCATCGGATCGGCCAAGAACGGAGCGGCTCGTCAACTTTCCAAAATCGTCGAATAGCTCGTTGAGAGCCCTGTACATCTTGTCGGACATCTTTTGCAGTTCGGCAGCCTTATCGCTGAACCTGCGACGTGCCGTGGAGGCCAGCTTACCAGCCTTTTTGGCCGTCTCAGGCTCAACCAAGTCCTCAAGTGTAGGCTCGTCCTTGGCAACCTGGCCTCTGGTCATAAATTTGACAACAGAGGACGAGACGGGGACACTCCTCGCCAAAGCAAGGTAGGCCTGCCACGAGGACGCCAGACGGTCATGCTCCACCAACGCAGGATCAACCCATTTCTTTAACTCGACGTATTTGGGCTCGATTTGCTTGACACTAATCTCGAGATTGGCAACGGCAGCATCCAGGCACTTGATCATGACATCCATCTGCTCAAAGCACGACGTCGCCGTGGTGTTCATGGCGGCGCAGTCCGCTAGCAGGGTGACGGCCCATGTTCGACGTTCTTTATAGAGCTCCTGCCATGATGCAATATCCTGAACATCATCTATCGTGTTGGGCGCATTTGAGATGGTATATCGTTTCGGTGGAGGCACCTGGGAGATAACGGACGAGACGCTATCGGGTGAAGATGGCTGCGTCATTCGCATGTCGTAGATATATATCTCCTTCTATACAAGCTATCAACACTCCGTCTAGGGACAGGAAAATACGGGGTAGGAGTATACCTCAGAGTAGAGACTGGAAGGTTTGAGGCTCCGGCCATGGGGGGTCAGAGCGATGAGGTGCTGCGGTGAGACGGAGCTATTGTGGACGACCCAGGTCTTGAAATCATCGAGACTGGGAGACGGTGGTTAGCTCAAAGACCAGGAATTGACGTCTATAGAGATGTGCATAGGTCACAAGAATTCCGAACGCACGTCGTGAACTGCGCCGTTTGGACCTGCAGTCGCTGGCCCGTATGGGCAATGAAGACTTGGGTAGCCATCCCGAGACATTGCTCTCATGGGACGGATAGCAGTGGGAACCGGTGTGAGGAATGATGATGGGACGAGGGGCAGGTAGAAGGGCCTGAGAGTAGAAGTGGTATTATTATCAATATTTTTCGGGAGAGCGATAAGCAAAAAGACCCGTCAACCTCCCGTGACCCGTACACCCCCTGTGATGTTTGATTTCGATCAGGCCAAGGGTCCAACGGAGTGGCTCAGGTGGTCAAGGTCACACCTCCGCTGAGCTCAGAGCAACACAACGACATCGCTGCCTTGTCTGACTTAATCCGGCTGTGGCTGGTGTGCTGTGGTTGTATGTGGCGCCGAATCCCACTTCCTCAAGAGGCTCCGCGTCAGCCACTTTCGGACTCTGCTCACCCTGTAGCTGTCGTTCGAGACGGATGAAGCGAACAAGCGAGTCACCAAATCGTCGAACTACCCAGTGCTACTAATAAATATTAAGGAAAATACTTGTCGTCCATACTGCAAGAGTGGTTTTATGAACTTTAAATCGTACCGGGTTTAAACTAAGCCTTACCAAAGTTCATGAAGCAGGTTTGACATCTGTTTTGTTGTCGCTGTGCTGTCTCTATTATAATAGAAATATGGTGTAGCAACAATGTGGGTGGCAAAATACGGAACGAAGATGAAGAAAGAGAACTGAAATTTAGTCGAAAACGACAGTATAATCGTCCACGGACGCTACATTGTATGATATCGAAAGGTGGCTGTTGCGCTATACTTCATCGCTTTGCTCTAAGCCAATGTATACCTGGGCGGCTTCTCACAGACGAACGCGCCACAAACCAAGGTACAGGCGTGAAAAATAGCGACGCGTATATTGATGCGTGAAACCACCCCTCGCTTTTCCGGGCATGACATGGACAAATTGTCGTCGATTGACCAAAGATGGAAGAACCACTTACCGACAACGAGTTTATGAACGAGGATGAGGAAGGCCACATCAAAGAGCAGGCGCGTCTGCCCCCGCTGTCCCCAGATGAGCAGCGAGCTCTAGAGTTGTATGACAGGCTACAAGAGCTGAGACTAGAGATGGCGATCGTGCAAGCGCAGCAGAAGCAGCAGACAGGTCAGTGGACGATTACACCCAAAAGCATCCGAAATCCGGGACATGGAGGCTGACATTCCATCGAACAGAGTATGAAGACATGACGCCGGAGCAGGTATCAGCAGCACGTAACCAGCTCATCGAGACCAGAGCTCGGTATCTTCTACGAAATCAGGTCGTCGATTCTGTCCTGTCTGCCAATCCGATTCTTAAGGCAGTTCACAATGGCGTCGACGCATCGCCAGTAGAACGGTCAGACACCTATCGCCACCCCCAAGCGCAACAAGCAGCAGCTAACTATTCTTATAGAGACCTTGCCGGATACATACAGCAGCGCGACGAGGTGGCCATCTCCCTAGCCAAGCTAGCCTCTTCGCTAGATGAGGTCCGCGAGCGGGCTACCCGGGCACAGAGTGAGACGCACGTAGTAACCCGCGAGAACACGCAGCTGGCGGCCGAGGTCATGGATCTCGTAGCGCAGGTCAACGAGAAGAAGTCGGGCCATCAGACGTTACGCCATGAGGCCGTGCAGCAGAGGGACGAGCTTCAGGACAACCTGAAGAGGAGCAGGGAACGATGGAGGGTCATGAAGGGCATCACAAGTGGTGTGGTGGCTGGCAGCGGCGTCGACTGGGCGCGAGACGACAAGCTTCGCGACCTGGTTCTTGATCCAGAGGATGACGAGGACATCTGATGAAGGAGCCCTTTCTCCCCAACCAACTACGACTACAGTGCATTCACACAAAGGGCACACAGCACGCACACACACAAGGCTCAAAGTGCATCTATCACTCGCCCGCCGAGATCTACCCGAACAGCCGGATGATGTACATCATCATTGGCACATTATTATATCAACAGCATTTTTTCAACAACAACAACAACAACAACAACATGCGCGTGTGTTTGTTCCTAGTCAGCAATGATGGACGTGTCCGTATTTGGACTAGCGTTACATCCTCGTGGGAGAAGAAAAAAGGCGTGAAGCTGGGGGGAGCTGCAATCACTCAAGCAAAAAGAGGGTAGGGGGGACTGCCCAGAACCCCTAAAATCAGCTGCGCACCTTGGTGGGGAAATCAAGCAACAACGCGGGCGTCGTTTTTCGGTGGGCGGATGGACGTGTGTGTGTGTGGGCACAATAACAAGCAACGCGCGACAAAAAGGCATGGTCGTATGGCAAGGCGGGCGGAACACACAGCCTACGGTGCGAGCATCTCGCAGGGGGGGACCTAGGTACCTACAGGTCATTACCGCCTTAGAAGGGAGAGAATGGAAGGCAGTGGGCAGGCTCCTTAGTGGGCCAGCCATACAAGACCATAGCTGCTAATACCTGTAGCAAGGAGTGGTCCTTTTTTGGGAGGGGAGGGGGTGGTGTGGATGCACGCAAATGCAAGGGTGCTCGTACATACAGAGAGTACGATACGGAGTAATAGTAGCACCAGAAGAAAGAGAAAACTACACACACAGTATCAGCTGGCGGGTTCCTACGACCAGCACAGATATCCTAGCACCAAGTCCATACTCATAATAGTACGTTAGGAAGGATGTCCGCTTCTCTGATTCGACACACTCCATTCTATATGAACCCCTGTGGTTAGGGCCTTTTCTTCCTTTGCTTTCTTTTCTGTTTCCGGTACGAGGGCAGAGTTGAGCAGCTACAGTGTTAAAGAGTGCAGGCTGTCGAAGCCAATGTATGTACGAGTACATGGGACAAATTTACCAATGTACGACGTAATAATATTTCTTTTCTCTTTCCTTTGGTGAGACGGAAGAGAGTACCCACACAGAGAGCATACTCAGTCACCCCCTCCCCCTCCCCCTCGTTTGTTTCTGCTGCAAAGGCACGGGGCCGTATTAGCTGGCCTTACTGGGTTGGAGAGAGCCCAAGACTTTTCGACTGCCTGACCATTAGGTCTGTTTTTGTAATGTACCTACGCACAGTCAAATACGGGTGATAGTACAGGTACTTGTTTACGACGACTATACTCTGTACTATTACTGCTGCGAGTACAGATTACTCTTACGACAGTATTCACTCCGTGCTACTACAATGTGCAGGTACGGTACAATAATCTAATAAAGCGTGTACTAACGGTTGTCATGCGCAGTCTTCCTCCCGCTTACGCACCTTTTTGGTAGCTTTTGCCTGTTGCTCCGTCTGGTTTGAGGTACGTCTGATATCACGGAACTGTCCCATTATTATACGAGCACTCGTATACTACGAGTATTATTATGATAATACCGATTTACATGTATTACCATTTATTACGATGTAATACAATACAACTGGTGGGAACACGGAGTAGAGGTGAAGAGAGAAAAAAATCCCCTGGATAGACAATTTCAAGTGATGTATAATTCTGCTATCCTTATTCATAGTTGTATACGTGAGCAATACATGTATTCCCATACAAGGATCCTTCATGGAGGGCTCTGCGCCATGAGTATTAATATATATTACTTGACGTGTACGATTATTCGAATGAGGTAATAGTGTAGTAGTATTATTATTACTGCTGCTATGAGTACAGTTGTTGCACAAACATTCACTTTTTTTCTTTTCTTTTGCATTCTTTGCTTTCTCTGTTCCCCTCCAGGCAAGAGAGAGAAGAGTAAAGAAAAATAGGTACAAATATATAGAAGCAAAAGTATGAAACCCATCAATCATGTCGATACTATGCAGATATACCGAGCAATCGGTTAAGATCATCACCAAATACTTGTTCTGTTGGACGCAGGGTAGTTGGTTGCCCTTTCAATCAAGAAAAGGGCTGAGAATTGGGGCGAGAGTGCACAGAATGGGCGAGAGAGAAAGAGTAGAGGTAGAGACAGACAGAGTGGGAGACACGGAAAACCCCCCATACAACGAGCTCTACCAGATCAGCAAGGGCAGTACGCATACGCACACGCGCACGGAAGCTGGCGGAATTTGGTTGGTAGCGGATTGGAGGCCTTTGCACCACAGAAACTGTGCGGATCACCACGACATAGAACTGGACTAGTCATAATACGGTGCAGCTATCAGTCCAGCCAGAGGAATGCGTCAACGAGTGATAGGCGACGGAGAACGATGGCACGCAGGGGGGGGGGGGGGGGGGGGAGGGGGGGGGGGGGGGGGGGGGGGGGGGGGAGTAGACCCTCTCTCCTCTACAAACCTTGGCCAGCAGATGAGGGACAGAGAGAGCCCGAGGAGAATACACCAGTCGTAGCTCATAATCATGCCTACAACTCGGTACGACGTAGGGAAGAGAGAAGTAAAGTACGGGAGTGTGTTTTGAGGGTTGAGCCAAAGTATACAGTGCAGGACCGTACAGTACCTCTGCCAATCCCTGTACAAGGTTGTGGTGGTGTGATCCAGGCAAATCCACCGGCGCATGCCTTTGTTACCCCCGTACTCCGTACAGTATAGCGCAAATTACGAGGAAGCAACCCAAGGTGCGACAGAGCAGCGCCAAAGTGGGAGGTGAACGGCCGACAGTTGCGTACAGTGTCCAGGATGGGGTGGCGCAAGGGAGGAGGACCGACGGGGCAAGGGAGGTACTTGCACGTTTACCTGTATCATTCATTATCTTTGGCGGGCCATGGTCTACGGTGTGATGTGACCACGCGTTGCTCTCGCACACTCTCACACTCCCACACTCCTACTTGTACAGCTAGTGGTAATACGGTACGAGCCACCAGTGCGGTGTTATTAGTAGCAGCAATGCAAAGCAAACAAGGTCCAGCAAAGCCACGAGTACCGTACACGTACACAGTCTAGGCAAGAATAAGCAGGAGCTGGAAAGACCTCTCTCTCTCCCGCGCCCTCTCCCCACACAGCGGGTACCGCGTAACAGTACGAGTTTTTAGAGGTAAAGTTAAGTGATGAACATTTTTTCTTCTTGCGAGCAATACTCGGATTTTCCACAGGCAGAGCTAATACTTCGTAGGTGTATGAGTTACTCGTACGAGAGACACGGGCAGAGCGAAAACATAGGAATTCCGCGAGAGAAAAGGGATGCTGCAAGGTGCAAGAATGAGGCCATTCATCCTGATGATAGAGACGGGTAATGAAACAGCATTGCACCTAGGCACTCTGGCCATGACGATAAAAGGCACGAGTATGAATATGCAAGTTGCGATAGCTGCTACACACCTTGGGTGCGTATCACCACGGGCTAATACACCGTAAATGGCAAGGCAGAAGAGGGAGAGAGAGGAACGTGAGAGCGAGTGACCAGAACAATAACAAACGGACTTGGAGTAATAATACTCGTACGCATTAATCCACGATTATTAGTAATACGGAGTATTACTAGCAATAAAACTACTAGTAATAGCACTACCCGTACGCGCATGGAGTGTAGGAGTGTGCGATACTCGTACTTTGCATGGATGGGCACAAGCCCCCCCCCCCTCCCCACCAAGACGTGTGTGGTGTAATACTCGTACTTTGCGCTTGTGCGGGTACGTGGTACGGGTACTTGAAACTCTAGACCACGGCAGCTGCTAGGCATGAGGCGTCTAACACGGAGCATTATCATTACAATTTACGACGTACGTGTTGTGTATGAGACTACGGGTACGGCGTATGAGAGGTGGTGGTGAGCGGTGGTCCGTAGTCCTGTTGGGATGGGTGGTGGGTGGTGAGTGGAGGATGGTGGCCCTGGAATATTGTTGCTGTCGCGACTCCCCCTCGGGAGAGAATGAGCACTGCCATTTTCCGGGATAGTAGGCAGAGCAGTATTCCTTATTATTATTATTACGAGGGGAAGAAGCTACGGCCCGTGGAGTACTATTGATACTTACGAGTAGAGTATGGGAATATGGGCAGGTAGTATTACCCGCCTACAAGGTGTACATGTACTAGTACTGTACGAATACGTACGTCGTAGGCTCGTAGCATCACCATCTATTACTCCGTACATATACTAGTATCATAGTAGCTGCCTGTAGGTACGGTACTTCCTGTACATGTATTCGTAGGCTTCGTGCTACTGTAATCTCGCTACCACCAAAAGTGCACTTCTTTCTGGCGGGGCCATGCTGGCAGGTCCATTTACTGGGCTGACAGTACTCGTATCCCCCCGTGATTTGCCGGCAAAGTGAAAGTACCTAAGCGTATGGGGACCGTACCTGCACCACACTAGACACTTGGTACACCCCGGTACATAGACGTCTCGTACCCGTACAAAGGTACGGGAAACTCATACAGACACATACACGCGCGCACGCACACACACACACACACATACACACCAGACACACACACACACACGCACACACACACACACACACACACCCACCCACACAAGCATACGAGTACTCGTACACATAACGCGTTGCGCAGTACTAGTAGTAGACTGTAGTGTCCGTAGTAGTACCGTAAACAATCCTAAACCAAAGAGAGAGAGGTCTTGTCTTCATACTGTGAGTGGTGGTTCGCGCGCCCTCCCAACTTTGCAGGCGCCCTCTGTCCCCCCCCTTGCTGAAGGGGACCCCGAGGTTGTGGGCTGGGCTTCTGCTCTCACAATCACTCGCCTGCCCCACAGTAGAAAAAAAAGGCTGCCTTGGCCTGTTGCCCGCCTCCTCCAAAGCAAAGGCCTGCCCGCCCTCTCTCTCTTTTTCTCTCTCTCTCTTCTCTCATACAATTTTCATACACACAACACTTACAACTGCACACACTTTGGTGAGTACCTACATTTGGCTGCCCATCACCCCCAAACACAAGTCACTATCTTCCCCCATATTGCGCCCACGCGCCTCCGTCTTCTGCAACAGCTATTCTTCAACGTCTTTTTTACTTTTTTCCCACTTCTTTCTTTCTGCTTCGAATTCGTCGCGTCTTCCTCTGCGTCTGCATCGGGAGTGAATTACGATCCAAGTTTTTTTTTGTCATCTTGCATCGTCAATAACCTCCCGCGCACGCGCATCGCACCTCTCTCTCTCTCTTCACCCTACACGTACATCATCACTTTTTCGCGCGCGTCGTCATTAATAGCAGGCCCGACTAACACGCCATACGCGCAACACAGATTCTCAACTTTTTCATCACCACCTCGTTCAAAACAACAAAAACTTAATCACAAGGTACGCATGCTGCGTTCCCGGCGTCCTTTCTCACCTTCGCATTACCTGTCTACCTTGGCTTCGGGCGCAATTGCATCTTTGCTATGGGCCATGCGCGCTGCCCCACGCCGCCACAAGCTTGGAGAGCTCCCATAGCTTTTGCTAGCCAAGGACCAGAGCTCTCCACTTGGGGGGGTTGATTGTTTGCCAGCAATCGCGTCGCCTTCACGCTCGCCATAACATCACAACGCATACTTGATCAACCTTCTGGTGGTGATCGTCTTCAATTTACTAACAGCCAGCCCCCTTACAGTTTTCCAAACAACCATATTCAAAATGCCTAAGGCTGCTACTACGAAGCGCGGTGGAAAGGAGATCAAGAAGCGCACAAAGAAGGGTGAGTGCCTTACCCCCGAACCCTTGGGTCGTGACTCTTGGATCGTGCTACGCAGTCGTGCTTGTTGCTAACATAACAACAGACCCCAACGCCCCCAAGCGTGGTCTCTCTGCCTACATGTTCTTCGCTAACGAGCAGCGGGAGAACGTCCGTGAGGAGAACCCTGGCATCTCGTTCGGCCAGGTCGGCAAGCTCCTCGGTGAGCGCTGGAAGGCTCTCAACGAGAAGCAGCGTGCTCCTTACGAGGCAAAGGCCGCTGCTGACAAGAAGCGCTACGAGGATGAGAAGGCCGCCTACAATGTATGAACACACGCCACTTGCCACCTTGGGAAGATATCCCGAAACAAACACAACCCGTACCGAACTTTGAGGAAGAAAGAAACTGAATGCTGATAGGCTTTGTAGGCTCAGGAAGAAGAGGAATCGTCCTAAGGTCCCCTTCGGGACCAAGGGCGACTCTTTTTGTTTCCTCATGCCATGACTCGACCGGATACAACGTGCACACGCCATTGCGCCTTGCGTCGCCTGGTCAAGTAATTCAAGAGATTGGAGAATGGGGAGGGTTTTAGGAGGGGTGAGACGAATATTAACTAATGCGTGGATTTCTCTTGTCTCCTGTCCCATCTTGTTGTCTCTAGACAACCCTTTCCTTCCCCAGTTACTCCCCATGGCTATGTCTTTTTCTTGTTTTTTTTATTACTTTGCTCTCGTCTCGGATGTTTTATTTTTTCCCTTTGTATTATGAAACTTGGGGGCGGTGTTGTTAGGTGGATCCAGGGAAATCGGACACGCACACGTTTTACTTTTCGCTCTTATTTTTTTCCTTTTCTTATGGTAAACCCTCAATGTCTGCTTTTGTTTTCAATTTGAAACGCAAAGTATTCTGCCGGTAATCTTTTGACTAAAAGGGGTGCCATTATGATTGTGAAGGCTGGCTATGTCAGTATTGAATGCTTTAGGATGCCAATCAGATTTCCTCTGTAAAGACTCCCTTTACACACTAGCATATATTTCGAGTAGTATCATTTACGCGTATACTAAATGACAAGGACGCCTCTCCCATTCCTTCATATTGTTATTCTGTCATTTCGTTATTCTGCGTTGCTTTATTAAAAAGTTGAAAACAAGGATGTAGCTTGCAGGGTGCGGTATCTCTTCTAAGTCTTGACATCAGGCTCGTCGCGGCCGATGTGGTCCTTGAATTTGAGCAGCTCAGTGGCGAATTTAATCTCTGACTTGAGGAAGTCCTGGGCGTCGAGGGCGTAGGTCGAGGCGTCGGTCGTGTGCTGCTCAATGTACAGGCGGATGGTGGCGCCCGAGGATCCGGTGCCAGAAAGGCGGACGACGAAGCGGCTGCCCGTGGAGAAGCGGGCGTACAGGCCCTGGTTAGAGGAGACGGAGCCGTCGAGGTCGGTGTAGGAAAAGTCGCCGGCGTCGGTGACGGTGCGGTCTAAAGGTGGTCAGAGTTAGGGAAAAAAAGAGGAAGAGCAAGAAATAAGAGCTTACCCCCAATCTTGCTGCCGACAAACTTGGGGTCCTTGACAAGAGTCTGAAGCTCGCCGACGACCTTGGCGGCGTCGTCAGAGTCGACATTCTCGTAGTCGTAACGGGTGAAAAAGGTACGGCCGTAGGTGGTCCAGAATTCCTTCTGGATCTCTTTAATGGAAGGGGTGACGTCGGGCTTCTCGATGCCGATGCCGGCAATGATGTTGAGCCAGGCGACAATGGCCCAGAGACCGTCCTTCTCGCGAATGTGGTCACTTCCGGTGCCAAAGCTCTCCTCTCCGCAGATGGACAGCTTCTTGGCGTCGAAGAGGGCGCAGAAGAACTTCCAGCCGGTGGGGACCTCGTAGGTGGTCAGACCCTGGGCCTTGCCTACGAGGTCGACGGCGGCCGAGGTGGGCATGGAGCGGGCCAGGCCGTTGACGCCGTTCTTCTTGAAGTAAGGGATCAGGTAGGCGTAGTGGGCGATGATAGCGAGCGAGTCACCAGGCGAGACGAAAGCGTTGGCGCCGTAGATCATATTGCGGTCGCCGTCGCCGTCGGAGGCGGCGCCGAAGGGGATGTTGGCCGAGTCGACGGCGTCGACGAGCGAGCGCGCGTACGTCAGGTTCGGGTCCGGGTGGCCGCCGTTGAAGTCGGGGCTGGGCTCGCAGTTCTGCGTGGCGCCTGTGAGGCCGAGCTCCTTCTCGAAGATGGCCTTGCCGTACGGGCCCGTGACGCCATGGAGACCGTCGAAGAGGACCTTGAAGTCCGCGTGCGATGAGAAGAACTTCTTGATCAGGTCAAAGTCGAAGATGTCCTTGAGCATGGCCACGTAGTCGGCCGTGCTATCGATCACCTCGACCTCGAGGTTTCCGTAGGTCTTGGTGCCCAGAGTCGTGATATCGACGTCGGGAATCGAGGAGATCTTGTACGACTTCAGCGTCTTGGATGCCTCGAAGATCTTGTTGGTCACTGACTCGGGGGCTGGGCCGCCGTTGGCCAGGTTGTATTTAATTCCGAAGTCATTCTTGGGACCTGTTACATATTCCTTTTGGTTAGTCGATGGGGACACATGCAGAAGCTGTGTAGAAGAGTTAGAGGTTTAACATACCGCCGGCGTTGTGGCTGGCCGTCAGGAGGATACCACCAGTGGCCTTGCGGAGGCGGATAACATGCGAGGCAGCAGGGGTAGACAGGATACCGTTCTGGCCGATGAGGAGCTTCTTGACTCCGTAGGCAGCACCAATCTTGGCAATGAGCTGGATGACCTCGGGGTTCCAGTAGCGGCCATCACCACCAATGACGAGGAAGGAGCCTTGATATTGTCTAAGCATCAGTAGGACTTGCCATCAACGGCGGTGTAGAAAAGAGAGGGGGGATGAGGACATACCCTCAGCACCCTCGGGGATGGACAGCAGTATGCTGGTGACAAAAGACTCGCTGTAGTTGGGCTGCTGGAAGACGGAGACCTTCTTACGAAGACCGGAGCTGTATAGGTGTTGTGAGCCATGGAAGTCATCTTGGCAATCGTTCTCTCTCTCTATTACTCGGTAGTGTATCTTCTAGTTGACTTTTTTCTAAAAGGGGGAGAGTGATGGAGATGGCTGAGGAGGGGCAATGAGGGGCAACACATACGTTCCGGGCTTCTGGTCCTGAAAGGGCTGGAATTCGACAGTCTTGACGTCCATGGCTGCGGTAGACGGGCAAACAATAGAGAAAAAGATAGGTGTTTGATTCTAGGATGGGATATGGACAAAAAGAGTAGAATGGAAATACGGAGGCTGGAATGCACCTTCTTGTGTACAGAAAATGACGTGAGGGGCTTCCAAGGGCGGGGAGCTCCAAACAAGGAAGATGGCCTGAGTTCCCGACGCCGCAGCTATTGCAGTCGCGCGCTCGTACCCAATGGCGGGGTTCTTTCTTGGAGGGGCAGAGATAGACAGACAGTGCAGATAATAGAGCTTACAAGAGTTTCCACATCAATTTGATGCGTAAATTGTACAGTCTAGATGGGACAATCGCACGGTAGACGTATCCGACAATTGTAGACATTGGGGGATTCCCTTCAGTTCTTCCATCTATTGGACTGCTTTTTGTGCATTGTCTTGTATTACTACTTTGGCCATCTCACTCTTTCTGCGGTGGGCTATCTGCGAAAGAAGTCTGTCGGAAAGCCGTGTGATGAAACTGCTTGTTACGTGGATGCTTCGACGCCCAGGCACAGCAATGAGAAATATCGAAGAAGTAGCTACATGCAGAAAAAAAGGCACTCAGCCATCCAAGGTACGAGAAAAGATGGTATCGCGATAGTACCTTGCCTCTTCGATGCTCTCTAGAATGTCGTCACGGGCCTTATGCCTTCCCTTCTTATTGGGCACCTTCTTGACCACGCGAGGGGCGGCCCAGCGCCTGGCCGCCTCCTTGATGGATGTGACGTCGAGCAGACGATAGTGGAGGTGGTTGAGGGCCTTGGCGTAGGGATCCTTGCGTAGGAACGTGCGGTCGGCGTGTATGCTGTTGCCAGCAAGGATACCCTTAGATCTCTCGGGTACGAGACGGGTAATGTAGTCGTATAGCCCGTCGGCGGCCTGCTGTGGCGTCGTGGTTGACTGGAGGACGGCCTGAGTGAGGCCGGACTCGCCGTGAGTCTTGGTGCACCACTCGTCCATCTGGTCCAGGCGCGACTTGGGCAGGTGGACAATGGCATGGTAGCCCTCCTCATCCAGGAGCTTCATCTCGCTGCCCGTCGTCACTAGACAGTAGATCTCAATAATCTCCTCCGTGTCCGGGTTGAGGCCCGTCATCTCGCAGTCGATCCACACCAGCGGATCGTCTGTAACGCCCATCTTGGGCTTGGAAGAGGAAGCGTTTGATGTCATGGCGATGCGGTCTAATAGGTAGGCTGCAAAGGCGGGATGACGGGTGAATGGGAGCAAGTGGGCCGGGGCACGTTGATGAGCCACCGAAGTGCTGGTGATTGAGCTGTTCCTGCCCACACCTGGCTAGTGGCACTACACAGCCTGTCTTGGAAATGCCCACCATAAGGCCTGGTCAATTTGGCAGTTGAAAATGCAGTTGGACCATTGAAAAAAACAGTGGCAGTAGTACCAGACAAGCGTGATTTATTAAAGTGCTTATTACTACTGCCTGCAGTAAGTACTAATATGAACTATTGTGTAATATTTGACACGTCTTTATGTGTTGTGCATCATATTTGGCTCTTCGAAAACAGGTAGGTACCAACCAACAGGTTGCACCTGCCTGAAAACTACTCAACCACACCTAGCAGCTGTCTCCGGCTGATGCCCAATCCTCAGCCCCTCATTGGCGGGCCGTTGTTGTAGCAGGCCATCCAAGGCACAACGTCCACCATCATCTCTGCTTTATGCTTCATTCATCATACCACTCAACATGCCAACTAGCTTTGAAGGCATCTCAGCTCATTGCTTTATCTTGTGATCCTGTCGGGAAGCCTGTCTCTCTCACGTCAAATCGGCCACGTTAAAAACCACTCCTCCTCACTACTATCTCACTCCTACCTGCGACCGCCAGTTGGTTGGTGGTGATATCAGCTTATCAAGCAAGGAACATCCAGCAAAATGGTACCAGCGCGGCTCGAAGACGCCGACCAAAAAACCGGACGGGGTGCGCCTCGATTCATCGTCATTGGTGCGGGCTCCCGTGGCTGGACATATGCCAGCGCTACCATGACGGTCACCGGTGGCCGCATCACAGCGATTGCAGACCCCATCACATCAAAGAGAGACAGGCTGGGGAGAGCCTTCATCTGGGGCGATGAGGGCCCGGGAGAAGGGCAGGCCTTTGACAATTGGGATCAGTTCGTAAAGTATGAGCTTGATCGGAGGCAGCGTGTGGTTGCCGGGGAGCCAAACGTGCCCGACGGCGTCGACGGCGCCTTTGTCTGCGTCCTGGATGAGATGCACCGCGACGCTGTTATCGCCTTAGCACCCCTAGGCCTACACATCATGTGCGAGAAGCCTTTAGCCTGCTCTATGAATGCATGTCTCGAGATGTATCGTGCCCTGAAAGCAGGAGCCCCGAGGGTCTTCTCCATTGGACACGTCTTAAGGTACAGCCCGCATAACATGATGCTGCGCAAACTGCTGGTTGAGGACAAGGTGATTGGCGAAGTCAATAGCGTTGTCCACACGGAGCCTGTGGGCTGGTGGCATTTCACACATTCCTACGTTCGCGGCAACTGGAGGAACTCGAAGACCACTGGACCTACACTGCTCACAAAGAGCTGCCACGATATCGACTTTCTACTCTGGCTATTTTGTTCTCCCGAAAAGGCAGGCAAGGGTGAGCCACACCTCCCATCAACCATCGCATCGACCGGGGGGCTGCAATACTTCAAGAGAAGCCGCAAACCCGCCGCTGCGGGTGCTGCCACCAATTGCATGAAATGCCCGCTAGGCGACGAAGGCTGCAAGTACTCGGCCAAGAACATATATCTGGGTGACCGGCTCCACGGCCTGGGCACAGGAAATACGCTCTGGCCCGTCAGCATTGTCCTTCATGACATTGAGGATTACGGTACACATGATGAGCAAACGTCCGCTCTGATTAGGGCCCTGGAGGAGGACTATAATGACTCCATGCCGACCTCTAAAGTTGCCTCGCGGAACTGGTTCGGTCGCTGCGTCTTTGAGTCAGATAACAACGTTTGCGATGACGAATTTGTTACCATGACCTGGGATGACTCGGAAACGTCTGACCGGTACGCGAAGCGTGTCACGTTCCATATGGTTGCACAGACAGTCAAGCAATGCGACCGCTACAGCAATTTTTATGGAGAGCATGGCGAGATATATGCCGATTCTAAGACCATTACCGTCACCGATTTTGCCACACAAGAATCACGGTCTTACTACCCCAAGATTGAACACGCCGGTCACGGTGGCGGTGATCTGGGTCTAACGAGGCAGTTCGTCCTTGCTTGCGACATGGTAAAAACCCACGGCTGGGATGTTGAACGTGCACAAAATGAGGTTCTCGGCTGCACACTCGACGAAGTAGTTCGGTCACATGCTGTCGTATTTGCGGCCGAAGAGGCTCGACTAGGCAAGAAGGTCGTTAACTGGACAGAGTACTGGGACAGGGAAGTGGTCAGGGGCGCAGACAAGTAACGAACTTCTGCAATTTCGCCTCTCGCCCCCCCGCCCCCTCCCTCTCTTAACACACAAAAGCGCGAGGCTATTCGCCATTACACACAACTCATTACCCATCCTACCCCGGCCCTTGGAGCCACACCCGACACAACAAAATCGGACATAAACCCCAACGGTATGACTAGTATTCCGAGAAGAACTCTGGGAGCTCCAGGGCGAGCCCCTCGTGTGCTAGACTACTGATGGCCCTGCGGTCAGCAGCGCTCTCGACGAGCCCCTTGCGAAGGAGGAAGTTGAGCGTGACCAGGCCTGAGTTGGGTTTCCATCGAAAGGATTGGAGAGAGCGTTTGACGTCATCCACTGAGAGAACGCTGAACTCCATGTCGGCCTCATTGGCCTCGGGGTGCTCTTCCGGCTCCAGGCAGAGATCGAAGCAGAAGCGCAGCCCCGGCTCAACGTGGCCATCCTCGGCGGCTCCAGCCGTCCAGTCCTTTTGGGTACGAAAATAGATGGTGCTCACCCTGGCCTCTATCTCACCAACACAGCGGCCCTTTGCGCCGCCGTGCTGTTGGCGGTATACGTGGCGACCACTGGTGATGTACCCTGCCTCCTCGATCAACTCATGGCAGAGCCTCAACCACGGGTTCCTCCTATCGTCAGGCTCCATACCGCCCGCAACGATCTGGTCGTAACAGCCAGGATATGCCGCTTTGTTGGGGCCCCGCCGCGATACCCAGACCTTGTCGACATCGTTGCCCTTCATGGTGTACACATTGAGATGGATGCCGGCCGTGGCGATGCCAAGGATGCCTCTGATGGGCGAGGGCAGCCTGAGACCTTCGAGGTCCGGTCTCCGCGTCAGGATGGGGTGGTAATCGGGAGCCTTGCATGTGCCTCTCACGAAACGCTCATTCTCCTGAAGCCACGCCTCGATACCGACACCGAATCTGCTGATGTCTCGATTCTGCTCACAAAAGGTGACGATGGCCCTATTGCAGACAAGTACCGGATCTTGGTCCTGCTGTTGAAGGCTCTGGGGATTGAGACGGACAACCCTGGATTTGACGTCGATCTGGAATAAACGCCTGTCCCACTTGGCTGCCGTGGCAAAGCGGTCTGGGATGTAGCCGACGGCGTGCACATGATCGAGGATGAACAACTTCCACATGGACGCGAGCTCGACCAAGCCGATGTTGTTCCAGTACGAAACAATGCGCTCGAGTGTGATTTGATGGCTCACATTTGGAGAAGACCTTTCTCTTTCTTCTCGGCCTAGGGCCATGGGTGGCGGTATCTGGGGCGGCAGCTCAGTGCAGAGAGGGAGCCGCTGGACGATGTTTGTGGTCGAGGTCATAGCCGGCTCCTTGTATACAGCGTGCGAGCTACAGTCTTCTGGCTAAGCGCGGCTTATATACGGATAAGAGAAGGCTTTGTTTACCCAAGGCCATGCGAAGGCCCTCACTGACCGGGGTCTGCCCAATGGATATATTTTCAATAATAATACGGCACCAGACGACAAGTGGCCCCGCAGGATATCTCTCGGAGGGGGTTATCATTGGGTCAACGAAAGCTGAGTCTTCGGTCTGCCAGAAAGAGGTACCGTCGCTTTTATTCCAAAAAACTGCCACGGCTCCCCCCCCTCTTACATGGGGTTTCGACCAGTTGCCTGAACTGGGGCCAATCTGGATGTTGTATTATACAGATGCTGATGGCTAGCTGGGATTAGGTAGCTCGATCGAGGAAGCCACCCTTGTCTCCCGGATCATTATTATGGTTGGAACCATGCAGCGAAAAGAAACGAAAGAGAAAGAGAAGAAAAGAAAAGAAAAAGGCAGATTGTTGAAGTGAAGTGAGGACAGTGATATATGGAGACTGCGAATCAAACTATTACCGAAAGCAGAAGAAGGGGGAAATAAAAACAAAAGAAGTAGGACGGACCGGTATCAAAGGAGCAGAGAGGTATAAAAAAAAGAAGAAGAAAAGAGGATCAACACGACAAGACAGCCCCAGCCGCCTGGGATGGGATGAGCAGGGAACAGGGGGACAGGAGACAGGGGGGAGGGGGAAGGAGAGTAGGCGAGACCCGGCGGGAGAGAAGGGGATGTGCAATTTGCATGAGCGTGCATATGAACTAAACCATGCAACGGACGATTGACCAACGATTTGGACGATTTGCGTTCTTCTACTCCGTACATGGACCTGCAATGACAGGGCTATGATTGACCGATTTCGCCTTTGAGTATAGTGAGTTGGTTTGTGATCATGCCCGTATGACCCGTATGTCCGTACTCGTACATTTGATTTCTCTTCCTTTTCCTTGTCCACGAATGCCGTCTTCTTTCTCATGTCCTTGGTTGTGCTCGCATGTTCTCCACCGTCTCTTCCCTCTCTCTCTCTCTCTCTCTCTCTCCTGGAGACATGCACCTGTCCCCTCTAGTCTTGCTGACCCCACTCTTCACATGCCGTTGGCCTTGTTTCCCATGATGATTTTTATCTGTCTCACGATACGTACATGCATGGCAAGGAGCTGTTTGTGCGAATACCACCCCTTTTCTCTTTCCGTCTGTCCGCTGCCACTTTATCTATCCTGCCCCCCACCTTTAAGAAAAAAAGGGGGGGGGGGGGGGGAGGAGAAGGGGTGGCAGAAAAAAGGTCTCGGCGCGTGCTGGTCTTGCTTTTTCCCGAAAGCGGTACGCATCACGATGAAAGTAATACTCTGTCCCTGGTAGAAGGTGGGTGATGGGTTGATAGGGTGTAAGCTGTTGTCGTTGTTGCTGTCTGACAATACTGCTGGTGCCAGAAGTAGTAACAATGTTTAGCGATGGCTGCTCTGCCACGAGCACTACAATATTCGAGGCATGTACCCTTTACCGAAACGGGGTGGATCTTGAAGGCGGGCGTGATGCGTTCCCGAAAGCATGCGTCAAAAGTCGACGGCGGCTTCTCCCATCCTGGATCCGCAGTCTTGCGCAGACCCTTTCGGCAACGATCCGACGGCACATGGTGCGTATGTATGTGCTGTGTTGCTGTGTACTCATGTATATATATATATATATATATGTGTGTGTGTGTGTGTGTGTGGGTGTGTGTGTTCGATGTGGTTGTCATAAAGGTTTCACCGCATGAATAAGATCATACGACGTAAGAGGTCGCCCCGAGGGCCAAGATGCAATGCACAAAGTCGTGAAGGCTGCGTTTCCCGGGGATACGCGCTCGTGTGCCCCGGAGACTGGGAAGCAGGGGTTGGGCTTGTCGGAGACTTGGAGTGGGTGGGTTGACTGATGTGCAGGACTGACAAGGGTTAGTTGTTCCCGACGTAATCATGCTGCATTTTATTTTAGGTGCCGTACAGGAAAGATGGTACCGATTCTTGTATTCCCGTCTTTTCTTTCTTGCATATCCCAGGAAAGATGGGTTGTTTAACAAAAAAAAGAAGAAAAAAGAAGGAAGATATTCATCTTTTGAACTACATGTACTGTCTCACCCTTCACACCCTGCTCTCTCTCACACACTTACAAGCATACGAGTACACATCGCGATAGGAACAAGATGGCTGCTAATAAAACGATATATATAACGGTGCTCGTAGATGGAAGCCATGCATCATCATCATTGGCGTCTTCCCCGCCATATCCTCGGCCCCGAAAATATACACATGACGACTACGACCTCGACGAGGGAGAGAGGGGCACTTTTGCCGTTCAAAGCCCGAGTCTTGTCCGTCGGTCCCGTGGGGATGGGAAGTTTAATTCGAAATCGGATTTGGTACAACTCGTTGGTTTCTTTTCCAGCTTACCTTACTGCTAGGAAGTATTACTGCCTAGTACTGAGGTGTATATCTGTGTGTTGTATTGCATATTTAGCTCGCAGAGTCAGGGACTTGGGGAAATACTCCCAACACAATAATACTAGCGGTAATAACATCCTGTACTCTGCATCCCCAAAGATTCCGTACCATGCCCCGCCATGACGGAAAGGATTAGAGAGGTAGAGGGTGGATTTTCTTCTTTCTTCGACCGGTGAAGAAGGGTCCTGTTATATGATTACATACATGCATTAGTGCCTACCACAAACACACACACCCTTCTTCCGCCCCTTCCCCTTTCTACCCTTGAGGTTGAGTGCTGTAGGCGGATGGAGTTCCGCGGGAGGGGGGGCGCAGGTTGAAGAAGTTTGTGTCGACAATCCATGTGTGTGTGTTGTACTCGTATACAGAAACTGTCATTCTTGTATCACGGAGTCCTTCACTTGCCCCTCTGTTTTGGTCATTGTGGATATTGTATTGATGACCTACCAGATGCCACATGGAGGAAGGTTGGTCCGCCACCGGTTTCGCAGCCTCAGGCACACGTCTAGTAAACATGGGATAACCTCACCTTCGTGTGTGAGGCCACAGCCCAGCTAGACAGATGTAGCAACGACGCAACATTTAGTCAACATCGGCAAAGGCTTTTTTTATTATCGAGTAGGGTATTCACACAGGTGTCAACCAAAAAAAAAGATAATGCAGTCGAGAGGTAGAAGAAAATTCTTGTCTTGGGTGGATTTACAGACGCACACGAACTGCCGCAACTCAAAACAGTCATACCACTTTCTGTATTATTACTTACTCTCGTCTGTCCTGCATCCGCCCAATATGAGACATGACGTACTAGTGTAAGATGTTCTCTGGTAAGGGGGATTATGAGGGACGACAATTCGAAAGAAGAAGAAGCAAAAAAAAAAAAAAAAAACAAGGCTCGATGGCTTCACGCGACAGCTAATAGGGCTGCTGCGCTATGTGATCAGTAACAAATTTCAACATGCGCTAGATCTCAGAAGAAGAAATCCCAATTATCCAAGGATCCCTGCACCACACCTCCTCTCACTCTCTCACCCTCACACACTCCTCACTCCCCCCATGCATCGTGGTTGTCCCCTCTCCCCGCCACGACACGTATCATCAATGGCCTTTCCATTTCAACCCGTCATGTATCCTTCCCCATTGCCCAGTACCATCAAGAAGCAGACCGGTTCAAGCACATGCGTAAGAAGACTAACAAGGTATAGGAAAAACATGATGTGAGCAAAAAGAAAAGTGATATATGATAAAAGGGGTAAATCTCAGCTCGTCACTCGATACAAGCAGACAGTTCTTCTTTGTTCTTCATTGTTTCACACCTTTCTTTATTTGCTACCACTCCCCACTGGGGGGAGCACTGTCCCTCTCTGTCTCTTCTTTTTTGCCCATTCCCAAAACACCGTTTTTTAAGAAAAAAAGAAAAAAAAATATGAAAAAAAGAAGACAAGATGAAAAGAAAGAGATAAAAAAAAGTAGCAGATTATGCATGCACGCATCTCGTTTTACCATACGTCAGTCGCCCCTTGCCCCCCCTCTTTTTTTTCGTTCAACCCGCCCAATGTGAAAAGAAATTATACCAAAATGCTTCTACCCTGAACATGTTGCACTCCCTCTTTACGCGTGGAGCTCGGTGTGGAAGGAACGGAGAATGCTGTCGGTGTCGTCGATGGCCAGGGGACGGATGTCGGCAAGCTGCTTGATCTTGGCGGTCCTACACGTTGAGTCATGGTTAGTATCAAGGTCAACCACCACACGAGGGACGGGTAGAGGGAGTTGACGAGTGCGTGTGTGTGGGTGTGTGTGTGGGGGGAAGGGACGTACACTTCCTTGACCTGCGCATCAGTCATCTTGAGACCGAGCTGGTCCACACGCGACTTGACGGCGTTCCATCCGGTGATCCTGCTGCCGATGGAGACGTAGCGGCTCATGCCAAAGTCCTCGGGCTTGATGATCTCGTAGGTCGAGGGGTTGTTGAGAATGGCCTTGGCGTGGATACCGGCCTTGTGGGTGAAGGCGCAGAAGCCAGTCACGGGGTTGTTGAAGGGGATGTTCTGAGAACAGAGGTTAGTCATCTCTCTCCCTTTCCATAATTGGTCGTGGATAACGGAAGAATACTCACAATTTGGACAGCGTCGGCAACCAGGGTCTCGAGATCCTTGAGCTCAGTGAGCTTGTACTTGGACTTGACGTAGTCGGGGGCCGTGACGACCATGCGGGCCATCAGAGCACCCAGGGGGGTGATGCCGTTACGCTCGCCGATACCGAGAACCGACGTGTCAATGTGGGTGGCACCAGCCTCGAGAGCGGCGTGGGCATTGGCGACGGCGCAAGCTGTTTGATGCCCACGTCAGCTCGTCTTGTTTCGTCAACACATTGATTCCCGGGAAAATTATACTAACCAGTGTCGTCGTGGAAGTGCGTCTCAATGTCGCAGTGGACAACACCACGCAGGGTGCGCACGAGGTCGTAGACCATGCGGGGAGTAGCTCCACCACTATTGTAATCCTCAAGTCAACATTGACCTCTTCCTTACTCTCGCCCCAGATCAAGGAATCTTCTCAACTTACACAGTGTCGGCGATACCAACGCGGTTGACACCAGCGTTGTCGACAGCCTTGTACAGGGTGAGGAGGTCGACGAGGTCGGAGCGGAAAGAGTCCTCGGACGAGAAACGGACCTCAACACCTTGGCTGCAATTCAGAGAGTCAGCAGGCAGCTCAAGGTGCAGGGAAGAAGAGTGGGGGGAAGGGACAGACCTCTTGACGTAGTCAATCACCTCGAGAGCAGCCTTCTGGATGTACGCCATGTCCTTGCCGTGGGAAAATTCGCGGAGGAAGCTGGAGGTACCGATGACGAGATCGACACCATCAACACCAGTAGCAACGGCGGCCTTGGCGTCCTCCATGTTGCAGCGCACATCTATAAACCAAGTCTTGTTAGAATCGAATTTCGAGAAATGGTCATGGTCATCGACAGTGGAGGTTGGGGTGTGACGAACGAGTCAGGATCTTGGCCTATTTTAGGTTACGGCCCACGGTTAGCAACATATGTCACCCAGATTGAAAGAAAAAGGAGAGGAACATACCTTGAGTCCAAGGTTGCAGATGGTCTGGCAGTCCTTGAACGACTGCTCACTGGCCACGGGGCTGGTCAATTCGATATAGTCAACACCAAATGAGTCCAGAGCCTTGGCACTGCATATCATAGTCAGTAAACTCGTGTCACACACACGAACCACATGGATGGGGGGCAACGGCCTCAGGGGATGAGGGGCAGAGGGTCGTACATGGCCACCTTGGTCTCGGTGTCGAAGAACGCATTGGCAAACTGCTCTCCCTCACGGAGTGTACTCTCAATGATCTTGAAGCTGCCGACGTTGGAGAGATAATCCTGGACCGACTGGTAAGGCGAGCTCTTGGGCTGGCCCTGAACAGGGTGAGAGCCGTTCGAGACACCGTTGTCGGCAGCCGGGACGGCCGGGGCAGCAGCGCCGTTTGAGTTTCCTCCGTTGCACGCTTGGCACATTGTGTCGTGTGTTTGTGTGTGTGTGTGTGTTTATGTGTGTGTGGTTTTTGGTTTTGGTAGATTTTTGTGTTTCTGTCCTTCCTTTCGATATCGTGGGAGGAGGGGTGATGGCTGTGGTGGGGTTTTTTTGAGGATATATAGGCCGGGAAAAAATTCTCTTCTTTCCGTTGGATTAAAGGTAGATAGATGGATTAGATTGTCCAAAGGGGGGGGGGGGGAGGGCAAAGGGAAAAAATCAAGCAGTGAAAAAAATAGTTCTAGAAAGGTTAGAGGGAAAGAAAGAATGAGTAGTGGCGTATATTAGATTTTTCTGAAGCTCAATTGGGGGGAGGGTTTATAAGAGTGCGGTGTTCTTTTTTTTTTTTTTTCTCCTTTGCGCTGTCCGATGGCGGAGGCTGTGACGCACATTGGTTCAATTCGTGGGGGACGTTGTGTGCGTTCCCAGCGGTATTTGCTTTGGTGCACATCACGTGCAAGACAAGGATACAAAATCACTTTCGGGTGACTCAGCCACCGCCCACCGCTGCCGAATCGGCCTTCCCGTTCTATGCATGATTATTAACGTTGTAGTATTAATGTAAATATGCTTCTTCGGCTGGTTTACAGTCATAACAACGCATCACCCTTCTCCTCTATTCGAAATGTGTAGTCATAATTCCTTTCCAATGAGTGGTGTTTCTTGCGCAAGGCATCGGAGCATCGGACTCTCATATCCCCTCCTTCTTCTGCCAGAGGACCACCGGCGGAAAATTCTTCCAACCAATGGAGAATGTCCTTTCGCCTTCTCCTCGGCTGCTATTAGTGTAGTGGAGAAACGCCCTAAATTGCGTATGCCGTCGCTGTATGATCATCTCTATCCATACGACGTTGTACTTTTTTTTTTTTTCAATCTGTTTGTTCCCGCTTTCTTTTCCCTGATCTCATTCGTCTTACATGAATTTGTCGGCAAACTGACACCTGCAGGCTGTAGCCACTCATAAGGCTGTATTTTAAGATAAGTAATAAATCCCTCTGAGAACATCAAGTGAGCTGTCGTGAGTATATTGCTGCGTACGATAAATCCCTCTTTCGTTCCCATTCTCCGTCTCAGAGAGAGAAACTTCACTATGATTCGATAGCGTCACATGATTGCTGAGTCATCTCTCTCATGACGAGAGAAGTTTGGAATCATCCACATCACCAGCTCCCCCTTCCCTAGTAATTTAGTGACTTGGAGTGGATGCTCAAACGGGGTTCTCTGTGGGGAAACACTTACAGTGACTCTGCTACCCTTATGGGATTGCGGGTACTCCGTACAGTCAGGAGCCTTCATGATGGGAACTGCAATGTAAATACGGGATTCGCCGGACGTTGTTGTATTATCACATACAGACATTCTTATTCATATGTATCTGAAGTCTATGTCGTCCTTCAAACTCAGTATTGTAGCCCCAAGCGCTTCTAAATACCGTAACCATGGAGAAGGGCGGAGAGTGGAGAGACATTGGTCCGAGCGCAAATCCCCAGATCACGTGACATAAATCGGATTGTAACATCTCAACCGTCATTGGAAGACGGCTGAATGGTACGAGTACACCAGCTAGTCCGTCTCCATTATATCGACGACAAACGGCTCACAACCTCAACAACGACGACATGTTTGCCGCACGACAGAGGGCGGGCTGCCTGGCCCGTCAATTGCAGCGATCTACGCGATCCTATGCTTCCGATGCCCACGGCCACCACAAGCACGCCGAGGTCAACGAGTCCTTTGGGGTAATGAACTGTCCCCATCCCTACTACCCCAGATAACATTACCCCGTAGCCGAGAACCGAAAGAGCGCAGAGCAACCGCGCCGTCAACCAACGTTTAGGGAAAATGGGGTTCGTTGGGGGGGGGGGAATGGGAGGAAAAGAACATATCTGTTTTACTGACATGGCAAAAAAATCACAGACTGGTTCTGTCCTCACCGTGGCCACCTTCTTTGGTGGTGTGCTGCTCTACCAATTCGCCCCCAGCGAGGGTCAGACCTCGAGCCTGACCAGTCTGCTCGACAGCTGGAAGTCCAAGCCCCAGGACTGGGAGGAGATCAACACTGCTCACGCTTTGGCCGCCAGACAGGCTGGCTTCGACCGTAACCTGTTTGAGAACGCTACACCCTCGAACCGCTGGGTCGACGTGGCCTATCCCGAGTACGTTTTTTATCATCTTGCCCGTTCCAGCACCGACAGGAACCGACAGAGCTAACCGCGCCCATCTAGGGCCCTCCAATCGCATTCTCAGCGCAACATCCGCGCCGGTCACGTCCTCAAGATTGACGATGTCGTCGAGCACTACAGGAAGGAGCACTTGAAGGATGAGGACCGTAAGGTTAAGCAGGCAGACAACTGAGGGAACGCTTCATATGACAACGTTTGCTTTCCACCTCACTCCCTACTGTGGCGGATACGAAGCTAGCGAACAGACCCACACAAATAGAAAGGACTTTTCCCCCCCACCGTCTCTTATTGCGTTTCGTTACACGGCTATATTCTTCTATATCTTGAAATATATTTACACGAGGCTCTCTCGCAACCTCTCTTGTGTTTCTCTTCAATACTTTCCGCTTTCGTCTCCTCCATAAATTCGCTTCCGGTATCCGCAATCCTGTCCTTGTAGCTTCTCTCTCCTACCTCGACTTGATTTTGGTATCCCTATTACATGCAAGAGCATACTTGTGCATCTTACTGCCTTGGGGATATTGCAGAATATCTGGAAGCTGCCATCGTGCCATTCTGACACCTCCTGACTGGTTGAAATAAGAAAAGGAATCATCTACCAGCAAAAGGAAGGAAAAGCAATATGCATAGTCCTATTATGTGCAACAGGCGTCCCGAGGACTTCTCTATGCTTACTTCTCATCCCGTTCAACCTACAAAACCCTGCAGTCTGCCCGCTCTTGATATACCGTTTACCACCATTCTTTTTTACTGATCCTCATAGTTCGATACCCCAAGCAGACGTAGAGCAACATACATTATCCGGACTTTCTTTCTATTATATTTCCTGCTTGCGTTGAAGACCGTGGGCGTTCCCGCGCTACAGTATTGCGCATACGCAGCGCAGCGCATTGCCATGGCCGACGCCAACGATGGCCACCCGCACGGCAAACCCTCTGGAGGAGTACCAAGTGAGATTGAAGGTACAACGAAGAACAATGGTAAGCCTTACCAACACCAGGAAAAGTTAACGTGGAGTTCAAGTGACTGTGATACTGCAGCCACGTTTCGTGATCCTTTGATGATAAAACAAATATCTTGAAATGAGGAGAGAGGAGTACAAGCGAGTGGCAAAAAGACAACGGCAGCGACCAACGACGCTTATATCAGACGAAAAACAACAACGACGTGCAAAAAACGTTTCAGAGGATATAACGGACCGCAAGATATGAACTAACCATTCGGGGAAAAAAAAGCTCCAAACACCCTTGCACAGATAGAGAGACGCAACGAAGTGAATCGGACACACATTACGAGACCGTGGCAGAAGACGGAAGGCTGTGACAACAAGGCTGTCGTCGAAATTCGTGACACGAACACCAATCGGGGACGCGGGGTGTTTTCTAAGAAGGATCTCATAAAAAACAAAAAAAAGGTGGATAACAGACTCATTGAGGAAAAGGCGGCCATCGCGTGTATTTGCGCAAAACCAAAGTACGGAGGACAAAATATTACTCAGGTATGGGCCAAGTATACAGAGAAAAAGAAACAAGAGCTTCAGGAACTCTTTCCCCAGCTCAAAGAGATACCGGTCGATGGGACCCCGCTGAGCTCTTCTCACCGTCGAGCGCTGGAGCGGTTCATTGCTGAATACGCCTTTGCACACGACGGCTGCGACGATGCCTATGTCTTCGAACTAGGAAGCTTGTTCAACTACGCCTGTGAAGGGTGTGCCAACTGCTCATTCATGGTAACTTCGGATGAGATCATTGTGTGGGTGAAAAAGCCCATCCAGGCAGGCCAAGAACTCTTCATCGACTACAACAAGGAGGATTTGCCCTACAACTGCGCCATATGTGGAGAGCCCAGGGCAGGCAGTCGAATGAGGACTGCGCGGTACAAGGCAAAGAGTGTTTTCGCGAAAAAAAACCCCCCCCAAGAAAATCGAGGCACCATAACCAAAGACATCGGACTCAAGAGTATCGCAGACCCCGAAGATACAAGATAAACCGGGTGAACCAGGCGAACCGGCGAAGCCCATAACACAGGAGACAAGAGACACCGGAAGCGAACGCTGGCGAGTGATGGTCCATTCTGAAGAGGTGTCTCGAGGGTCTTGTTGGGTGCCATGCCATCACTTACGTACAGACAAGCTTCACCTCTTCCCCCTTAAGACTAAGGAGCGATTTTTGAAACATATATTAGGAGGCATAGGTATCATCATACAGTAGCGATCGTTGAATGCCATCCGGGAAGCGTGGAAATGTCGTTGCATACGAGGTGTCGTGTACGCAATGATAGACACGACAAGAGCGTAGCGATACATAATCCTAGGGCTGACAGCGGGCAGTGATTTTGTGTACTTTTTTTTCTTTTACTATCATGGCAATCCCATTGTCATCAGCATATGATAGTATTGGCCACATGAAAAACCGGCCCTATCAAAACCAGTTCCTTTTTTTCGCCCAAAGTCCGTGAATGCAGAAACCACCCCAAGACAGAAACCCAACATTTACTTGAGGGGAATGAAACGCGAAGAGTGCGTAGCACCAATACCAGGACGACCGTGCTTGACGGGGCGGCTGTAGGGATTGGTTAGCAAGGGTGTTCTAGTAGGGATATATATATGCTCATCTTCTGGTCTATAAAAGCAGAAGAAGAGAGGCAGGAAAGGAGGAAGGTAGGGACACAAAGGAACGTACTATGAGATAGAGAACTCAGCCAGGTAGTGACCAACCATCTCGGGCTTGATCTCTACCTGGTTGAACTCCTTGCCCGAGTAGATGGAGATGACGCTGCCAATCATCTCAGGGACGACAATCATGTCACGGAGGTGGGTCTTGACGGGGTCGGGCTTCTCGTTGGGCCTGGCCTCCTGCTTGGCCTTGCGGAGCTTCTTGATGAGACCCATGGGGCGGCGCTTCAGGCCGCGGTTGATCCTGCGGCGGGCGCGGGCGTGAACGACATCGCGTAGCTGGTCGGAGGAGAGGTCGAGGAGGCTGCTCAAGAATGAGTTATTAGCAAAGGAGTTCCTCTTCCTGTCTTGGCATGCATCTTTTGCTGTTCCCGTATGGTCGACGTATATCGAGCGAGAGAGCAAGAGCGTAGAAGCTGAGAGACGTACTTGTCAAGGTCAATTCCGCGGTAGGAGAACTTGCGGAAAGCTCTTCTCTTCTTGATCTCGGCGGCCTCCTCGGCGTTCTGTAGTAAAATGCGAGGTTAGCTTTGGATGTCCATTGATGATCGCTAACTCCCCCGTGACCCTTGCAGTTCCGAAGCGTTATCGTCGTCATCATTTTGTCGTCTCTTGTCCCATCGTCGTGGCCCCACCCCCTAGTTCAATCCCTGTGTGCGCGCAATCCTTCTGGCGTGTGTGCAATTTTCCACTCTACCGCCGAGCTGAGAGAGAGGGATAGAAAGAGGAAGAGAAGAGGACTGAAAAGGGAAGGGGATGCAGAAAAGAGGCCATAAAGAGTCGAGGGACAGAAATTGACGATTTTGATGACTGTGATATATATCTTCGGGATGCAGACAGAGTATACAGCAGAGCGTGTAAGAACAAATGGATGGAACGTACGTATTCGTCAGCCATGATCGCGGTTGTTGTGTGTGTGTGTGTTGAAGATTCGCAAATCGATTCGCAGATATCGACAAGCGAAACTTGTGGCCGTGATGGGGGTCGTTCGTTGGGCGTGATAGGCGTTGCGACTTTCTACACACAGACTCTAGGCCCAGGGCTTTGACGAATTGGGCCAAATTTTCGAGCAGTAGGGCTTCTGTGCCCTTCACCCCTCAAGTCACATGATTTTGTTGTGGTTGGGACAAGGTCGGCCCTTTTCAGGAGTTTGAGTGTGTGCTACAACTGCTGACATAAGTTTTTTTCTTTCAATTTTTTTTTCTCAATACGAGTACGAGAGTACATAGAAGAACTGACATTGCTTGTGCAGCCTACCGTACAACAGGCTACAGGTGCAGCCTACGCTACAGCAAAAATGGGATGGGCGGGATGAGTGGAGTCATTATCGAGGGTGGGGGCTGGCGCCCCGGGCACCGAGGCTATTCCCTTAAATCACTGCGTCGCAGAAAGCCAAGAGGATTGACAAGCTGCATACCACTACTAGCCTTGCTACGTGATATCATCTAATACTGTCGGGAGGACAAAAAAACAGTCATATTGCGGCTTTGTAGACGGCGGAGGCAGACAAACAAGTCTTCCCAATGGCTGATCACCTTTCTGGCAGCTTGAAAATAGTATTAAGGGCTTCAGATAAGAGAGAGAGGCAAGGAGAGCGGGAAAAAAGGAAGGAGCGGGTTTGATGCAAGAGCAACTCCGCTGCGTGATGGGGGAAGATGCATATGCTCTCCTTGCAGAACAAACACACTACAAAAGGCTGCATCATCGTCATCAGCATTATTACTTGATGGATTGATGATTGGCAAAAAGCAAGATTATCGGCATCATAGTCTTTCACAGGACAAGACTTCTTACCCTCTCTTCTCCGTCCGTGCCGACACCCGGACCCTGGCACGACAAGACGACGCCAAGCCGTTTAGCCAAGCCGTGCCCAGAAAGTCCGGACTTTTGGAGCCTGGCCATCATGACTGTATCCCAGAGGAGGGTCGGGCCACAAGCAAGCGCTCAGCGTGTGCGCTGCAACAGTGCCAAGAACGAGGCCAGCCAAGACACCGAACACAATAAAATAAGACGCAAACTTGTGCTGTGGTGTAATATACTTTGGGGGGCCTGAGAGAGGAGGTCCATCCTCTTTGCTTTTGTCCCTCTCCTCTGTAGAGGGGGAGAAACAGAAGAACCGTCTCAAAGGTCCCACCACTGCGAAGGGAGATAAGGGCTAATACAGGTACGTATACATTTGTTTGTAAAGATGCTAATAATAAGCTTGTGTAGACAATGGAGAGAGGGCTCATGAACAGTTCTCTCTTATACAAAGATGCACTTGAGGGGTAGAGACACTGACAAGAAAGAAGAATACTGACTAGGAAGCAAGAAGACAGAATAACGCTTGGCGGCGGTGAACATGACCATCCCAGTCCCCCTCGTGGCCGTCCACCCCTCTCTCGTCGGCTTGGCAAACTGGCGACGAGATTCCGCCAAGCTTTGACAAGAGACACTCCATAACATTTTACTCTCACCCATTACGACTAGTAGAAAAAAAGAGAGAGAGAAGAAGCGTACGTACGTGTGCACGCAGTTCATACTTAATAGTAAGTAGTAATACTGGGACCGGGGGTTCCAAGGCCCGAGCCCGGCATCAGCTAAAATTATAATACTAATAACCAGGTTCCTGTCTCCGATTCTCCTCCCGTTCTTCCAAAGTCCATGTCGTCAAACGCCTTTTTTTTTCCCTTACAATCTTTTCGATTCTTTTTATGCTGGAGAGCTCATATCTCGGCTTCTTCTTCGTAAGCATAGATTGCTGCCTCGTCTCTTGCTCCCTTGCTCTCTCTCACCCTGGCCGATCCCTCCTCTCGCTGTCATTCTGAACTGTTCTAATCCTGTCTGACAAAGAACCGGGGCTACTGGTCAGTGGAGAGGGTGATCGGCGATAAACCCAGTTCAAGAATCTTGCCTAACTACCGTGCCGGCCGACGCCCGTGACACTTTTACCCCCCCCCCCCTCCCTTCCTTACTACTTGATCGTCGTCATCATCATCTTCGAGAACCCCCACCTCCCCTCCACCACGGTGCCTTACCTGGCCCAGCGCAGTTGTCTCGCCGACTTGCGTCCTGGTGCTTGGAAGGGCGAACGGACTACATACGACCATGTCGCTCCCGCCGGGTTCAGCCATTACCGACGGCCTGGCGATCTCAACGACGACGACACCCTCGTTGGCAACGCCGACTTCGGCCTCTGCAGTTTCCGCAGCCGCATCCGGCAATGGCGTGCACTACGCACCCCTGACTACCAACTGGGAGACGCCCCTGAGCTGCACTTGGACATTTGACATATCCCAGGTGCCTGGGCCGGGGACGCCGGGCCCCATCGCTTTCCTCGACCTGGAGCCCGACCCGGACGCCACTACGCTGTCGTGCTATCCTGATGGCATGTTCTATGAGCAACAGACGGGCACTTTTAGCCCCGCAACCTGTCCCAACGGGTGGACAACCGTGTCTCTGCGCCAGGATGAAGATGCCTCCCAGACAATGGCCACGACGACGGCTGTCTGCTGCTCTTCGTACGTACGATTCCGTTCTGCCCCATGTCACAGTTGGTGAATGGAAAACAGAAAGTGAGGAAGTCGAGGACTAATAATGCCGTCTGTGTGATTATAGTGAATACAGCCTAGACGGCAGTATCTGCAAGCGCGAGCAACCGACCATCCTAGCCGTGCCAATCGTATACAACACAACCGATGGCTCGTACATGATCCTCACCGACGAGACGAGCACGCTGACTAGCGCCACACTGGCCGTGCACACTATCCAAGCCCTCTTCCAAGACTCGGATAAGGAGATGCTCGGCTTGACTGACGACGAAACTATATGCGAAGAGCCCTCTGACCATCGCGGGCTTTCTCTGGGCGCGCGGATCGGCATCGGCATCGGCACCACTATCGGCGGCGTCATGCTCATCGCCCTGGGCCTCTGGATACTCCTTACGCGGAGGCGCAAGTCCGTGGATGAGAAGCTGGACAGTGAGCTCGACAGCGACTTCCCTGCTATGCGTAACGCGCCTCTTCATCCTCAAGCCGTCAACACCGTCAACACCGCCAACGCCTCCATCGATATGCCACCTCCCGCCTACGAGTTCTCCGCTAGGAATAGTGTAACCGACGATGAGAGCCGCGACGGCGACGACGACAGCCACGATGACAACGTCAGTACAATGCAAGGAGGTGAGATTGAGATTCTCAGAGCCCAAAAGGCTGCTATACAGCGTCGCATCGAGGAGTTGCAGAATGGCGACGGGACGGAGGGTCAGGGCCGTCGGTGACCCGCCCATATTGTTTGCCGCAAGCGCCGCCGCATCATCCCCTTTTATCCGGCCATATTTTTGCGCTACTATTTGATACCAACTTTCTTTACCTGCTTTATTATTTTTGCGATGTTTGTAGCGGGCGCAAGGAGGAGTTTACTTCATTTTCATCATTATATAACATGAATATAGACCAGGATTCGTATTGGACGAAGTAATGATAGCTAACGGTAATACACTATATACAAGCCTCTTGGCAATGCCGTTCCGCTTTTTATAACAGCTATATACATTCTTGCCTTATAAAAATGTGGAAATGACGGACGGGGTATGCTGAAAAAAGGAAGAAGACAGACGGGAAGAACAGCATTTTTTTTTTTTGGAAAAAAAACAAGAAGAATTTACAGGGAAGAAAAGATGGAAAGACTGTCGAGAGCCTTGCCAGGGTAGGAAAACATGGTGTTGGAGTCACAGGACGAGCCGAGCGCCTGGTTGTCAACCCAAGCAGGCTCCCAGTAAAAGATGCCAGCACCGCCATCAACAGCGGACACGACATCGGCGACGTCCTGTAGGAAGGTCTCCTGACCGGCAGCGCTAAAGGGGATGCTGGAGACGTCGGAGGGGAAGCTGTACTTGGGTGAAGGGCAGGAGGTGGGCCAGTTGGTCTCGACGACGAGGACCTCCTTGGACCACTTGGCGGCCATGTTTGTGAGTGAGGTCTTGAGGTTGGCGAGGGTGGCGTCGGCGCCGTAGAAGGGGTAAAATGAGACGCCCATCATGTCGAAGTCGGAGAGGGAAAGGGGGCCCTCAGCGAGAAGGGTGGTGTAGAACCACTCCTGCAGGGACCACTCCCACCCGTTGTCTATGTGCAGCATGATCTTGGGAGTAGGGTCGAGGTTGGAGTCCTTGATGCCGGCGGCGCCTGAATGCAGCAGACGCGCCGTGTTGTAGGGGTTCTCATTGATGTCGCCGAGCGGGAAGAGGAGCCCGCCGCGAATCTCGTTACCGACGGAGATGATCAACGGGTTGATGCCCTCGGCCGCGAAGGCGTTGGACACGTCGCGCGTGTAGTTGTACAGCTGCCAGGCCAAGTCGTCGATGGATTCGGTCGACCAGCCCGACGGCACGGCCTGATTTGACGGGTCGGCCCACGTGTCGCTGAGGTGCAGGTCCAGGTAGATGTTCATGCCGGCGGCGCGGGCGCGCCTCGCGATGGCGATATTGTAGTCGAGATCGTAGTCGCCGTCCGACGGGTTCACCCACACGCGCTGGCGCACCGTGTTGACGCCGCTGTCCAGGAGAATCTTCTCCAGCACCTGCTCCTCACCCGACGACGTGCTGTAGCTTATGCCCGACTCCTCCTCCACCTTGACCGACGACCAGTCCACGCCCACATAGTCCAGGGCGCTCGAGGCCGTCGCCAGAGCGAGCATGAAGGCATATGTCAACTTGTGGGCTGCCATTATGAGTATAGGTTGCTTAACCGCGGGAAATGGATGAATCAATTCGGTGGGACATAGGTCAGGCCCTTGATAACAAAAGAACAGAAGGACGACTCGTAGTTTAATACCTCTGCCAAGACACACATACAATGCGCTTCGGTTTCAAGGCCGCTTTCGTCCCCTCTGTCTCTCATAATGCGCATGGATAAGTTTATCCTACGTCGGTCCTTGTTTTGTCCGGTTCATATTAGCAGTCGCGTTGAATACGAAACGTCGGTCCCACCAGGAGTTTCGCAGGGCCCGATTGTGAGTGGCGCGGGCTTGAGGAGTGCTGGCCCGAACAGGTGTTTCAATATTAGTCGAGTGGAGGTTTAGTTTCGCATTCGCAGGCTGTTTCCTTTCAAACTGTTCAGTCAGGTCTATCGTTTCAGCGAGACTCTTGAACTCGTACAACGTCTACTCGTATTATACACGTACTTTCGCATAATGAGTGCTGTTTGTGTGCATCATAGGGAGCGTGTTTCGTCGTAGTAGGGTGTGAGAAGAGCGACTGAGCGATGGGTGAGCCGTTCCTTCTCTACTGAGCCGGATCTACATCATTCAATTGAGAGTTTATATATTATGTCCATGGTAGTGGTATTCAATTGCACCTGGGGAAACCCGGGGTGTGCGAGATGCCTGGCTTCTGATATCTCTGGGCCAGTCGCCACATGGGTTGGAGTGATGAGTGTCCAAGACATTGATTGATCCAGCGGTTGGGCTGAGACATGCTAGACTATCAGGCAATGGTAGGATAGCACTTGTAGATTTGTGGGCGGACAGCTGCAACGACCGAACCGACGTTGACAGTATCAAACTGTCGAGCGCAAGGATCGAGTGCTCGTATATTCTACGGACAATGTGATTATATTGCATAAAGTAGTACTATCGTGCATATGTCTGTCGCTGGTTCGCCACAAGTGGCTTGACCATCCCGACGTTGGCGGTTGGGCATTTTAGCGCTCCTGATGACGCCGCCAGAGCCGATTCGAAGCCGAAAATTCCACTATAACCAACACCCAATATGTCCCTGGCTAGGGATGTAGAGTTGAACGGTGCGATCCCGTCACGAAATAAAATGGAAATATTATAGTACAATTCCTACTTAGTAGTATTACAGGTATTAGTATTAGTAGACGGGAAACTAGACGGTGCAGCGGGTGGGTAGTGGGGCAACTAACTATTAGCACTTTAGCAGCAGTGGCGTCAGTTGAGGTCTGTGGGGGACTGATATTAGGAGTAGTAACAACCAAGAGAGCTACGAGAAGTGTGTCAACAAATACCAAGTCGGTCAATAATAACATGCATCACCATCACGGTACGAATATGAGCTCAACAAGTGATGTGATATGAATTAGGAGACGCAGATCAAAATGTAGACTGAACGGGGCGTCAAGCCAACAATGCAACAAGTACTCCGTAGAAGGGAAGGGGGTGGGCACTTGAAGGTCTCATCAACAGGGGCACCCCCCTCCCCCCCACTTTGTCTTCAGGGGGGAAGCATTAGCTACGTATGAACGAGCGTATATGATACTTGCCATCGCAGCTGCTGTAAACTGTGTTTGTAGCAGCGGGGATTTCTGTGACAGGTATCCTCTACCATCTCACCGCTCACCGCTGACCCTCTTCAAAAGCATCAGCAGTAATCTGTAATCTGTACTCGTACTCGTACGGAGTAATAGCAGCTACTACTACTCATGGGCCATTGATCAACCCCGCCAAGTGAGGTGAGGTGAGAGAAAGGAGGCCTTCCCTACTAGAGGTAGGTGGTATTAGTATTGGCGAACCAAAGTGTCCACACAATCCACAGCGCCAGCACCCACTACGTACCAGAAATCATCACAATCCACGACCGACAACCCTTTCTTCTCCTCTTCTTCTGCTTCCCTCCCCATCCAGCGTTGTCGCGCTTGCAACAGGCCAAATCACCACCTCACCGGTCCTTTCCCTGCACAACAATCCATCCAAAATGAAGGGCGAGGTACGTTATATCCTCTCTACTTGTCTATACCCTCTCTCCTCTATACCCTCTCCCCCTCACTTCCAGCTGCTATTACCTCCCTTTCTCTCCGCTCCTCTCTGCGCTCCTATGATAGCCCTCCCGATTGATATGTTTTTGATAGAGCAACAGAAAATAGGGGTAAAATACTGACAACGCTGGCGATGACAGATTCTTCACCTCCACCTCGGCCAGGCTGGCACCCAGCTTGGTAACTCTGCCTGGGAGCTGTATGTATATCCACACGAATAAGAAAAAAACGACAAAACATCTTGATATTGGACCGCTGCTAACTTCTGCTAGCTACCTGCTCGAACACGGCCTCGGTCCCGATGGTCGTCCTGACCCCAACGCCAAGGATATTGGCGACCCCGGCTCCTTTGAGACCTTCTTCACCGAAACCAGCGGCGGGAAGCACGTCCCCCGTTCGCTCTTCATCGATCTCGACCCCTCCCCAATCGATGAGATCCGCACTGGCGAATACCGCTCCCTCTTCCACCCCGAGATGCTGATCAGCGGCAAGGAGGATGCTGCCAACAACTATGCCCGTGGTCACTACACCATTGGCAAGGAGATGGTTGACAGTGTCATTGACCGCATCCGTCGTGCTGCTGGTGAGTTCCCGTCCCTTACAACATCTTGCTATATTACTATATATATCCCTCTTGTCCATCTTAGCTACACGTTGCGGGCAAAACCACCCCCCGCTAACACACTTGGCATCATAGACAACTGCAACTCCCTCCAGGGGTTCCTGATCTTCCACTCGTTCGGCGGCGGTACCGGTTCCGGTTTCGGTGCTCTCCTCCTCGAGCGCCTCTCCACTGAGTACGGCAAGAAGTGCAAGCTCGAGTTTTCCGTCTACCCGGCCCCCCGCGTCTCCACGGCTGTTGTCGAGCCTTACAACGCCGTTCTGTCTACCCACAGCACCATTGAGAACTCGGACTGTACCTTCCTTGTCGACAACGAGGCCGTCTACGACATCTGCCGCCGCAACCTCGACATCCCCCGCCCCTCGTACCAGCACCTGAACCGCCTTATCGCCCAGGTTGTCAGTTCCATAACCTCGTCCCTGCGCTTCGACGGCGCCCTCAACGTCGACCTCAACGAGTTCCAGACCAACCTGGTTCCCTACCCCCGTATCCACTACCCGCTTATCAGCTACGCTCCTGTCATCTCCGCTGCCAAGAGCCAGCACGAGAGCTTCAAGGTCCAGGAGCTCACCCTCCAGTGTGCGTGCCACCCCACTCCGCCTTGCCTGCAATAATGATTGCCTAGTGCATAGTAGTCGGCAAAGACGTCGCATGTGCATATCACTGACACGGAACAAATATAGCCTTTGAGCCCAACAACCAGATGGTCGTCTGCGACCCCCGCAACGGAAAATATATGGCCGTCGCCCTCCTGTACCGCGGTGACGTCGTCCCCCGCGACTGCAACGCCGCCATTGCCGCCCTCAAGGCCAAGAGCTCCTTCAACCTGGTTGAGTGGTGCCCTACTGGTTTCAAGCTCGGCATCAACTACCAGAAGCCCATGGCCGTCCCCGTCCCCGCTGAGGACGGTGGTCTCGCCCCAGTCGAGCGCTCCGTCTCCATGCTCTCCAACACGACCGCCATCGCCGAAGCCTGGTCGCGTCTCGACCACAAGTTCGACCTCATGCACAGCAAGCGTGCCTTTGTCCACTGGTACGTCGGCGAGGGTATGGAGGAGGGTGAGTTCACCGAGGCCCGTGAGGACCTTGCCGCCCTCGAGAAGGACTACGAAGAGGTAGCCGCCGACAGCCTTGACGCCGAGGAGGAGGAGGCCGAGTACTAAACTACTCCTCCTCCCCGTTATCCCTATACACACAACAAAAACAAGAAGGCGAAGAAGCAACCTCTCCGGTAATCCTCCATCACACACTTTTGCGATTCCTCCTTTCCCCCGCCATGGCGATGATTGATCTTCGTGTTTCTTGTTGGGTATATGGGATTCAACGAGATGCTCAGAGTGGGATGGACAAGAACAATATGATGGGGTACAATTATTGAACCTATCTATTCTACTATTTTTTACTAGATGGAGGAGATAACGAGGAGGTTGAATTTCTTGTTTTATTTCCCCTTTGCTGTTCCCCCTACACCCCCTCTCCATCAACTCATAACAGATGTGTTCCAGCCGCTGTTCTCCAACCTCCCATTTTTCTTTTTTAACATGAAAAAGAGAAAGGAGTAGTGGTTAACTGGAGCTGAGATTCGAGGAGCTGATTATTCCCTCTCCCACCCCCCTCCCCCTTTACGAGTTAGCTATTTAAGCAAGCAGGTAGAGATGAATGTTGATATCCCTTTTTATAATCATTCGGTTAACTAGTAATACTGGTATGGCCGTCTAGTACCACGGGGTATATATTGTGACTGACTGGGTCATGAGCCTGAAGAAATGTACATCATAACCAGCATGAACCGTAAATCATTGAACAAGTAGTGACAGGTGGTGTGTGGATGCAAATTTGATCTATTATCACTTCTCTTTCCCCCCCGACCTTTGTATAAACATGCTAACCACCTTTTCCTTTCGAATGTTCCCGACCTCAATCCTTCTTGGTCTTCTTCCACTCAGCAGCCCTACGCGAACTCCTGCCGGCAGGCCTACCTCCGGGACCACCCTTGCCCTTCTGCTTCTTGGCCATCTTGAAGTCCTTTTGACGACGAGCACTCTTGATAGACGAAGCCCTGGTTCCCTCAAAGACAATCTCCTGGGGGGTCTTGATGTTGGACATGTCGACGTCGGCACCAGCGCCATTCCTGTCATTGGAACGATGATGATGACGACCCCTGTTGTTGTTGTTGTTGCTGTTGTAAGGCCTGCGTTGATGTTGTTGCTGAGCAGCACCGGCACGGCCGAGTAGCTTGGATGCCCTACCGGCCTGGGACATCTCTTCGGGTGTGAACTTCTGCTTGTACTTTGTGCTCTTGGACTGGGAGTCAGCGCGGCGGCTGTTGAGCTTGTCCCTCTGACGCTCGATGGCCATGTTTGTCTTGCGAGGGTCCTTGGCTCGGGTGACGCGCAGGGCGCGGGGGAGCATGGGGGGGAATTTCTTGCCGTCCTGGAGGAGAGCTGATTCGACAGAGTTGCCGTCCTGTTTTTTTTTTCCAAATAAAGAGTCTTTTAGTAAAGATCCTTTGCGTTACGCAAGGCCACACATGGAGAAAGAGATGAGGGCAAAAAAAAAAAAGAAAAACATACATAGAACTGAACATAAGCGAAGCCCTTGCCGACGCGTGTGTGGGGATCGCGAACGACGCGCACATTCTCGACCTTGCCTTCCTTGGAGAAGGTTCTCCAGAGACCCTCCTCCACGTCGGAGGGGACCTTGTTGCGCTTCTTCTTGACCGTCTTGCCGTCCTCGGTATCCTCGAGTATAGACTCGTCGTCGACGAATCCTAGATTCCCGACAAAGATGCAGCGGCGGTGGTCTGTGGGCGATGGGTGTGAGACGCTGTCGACGCGGATGTGGCGGCCCAGGACCTCAGTGCCGTTGAGCTCGGCGGCGGCCCTGCGCACGGATGCGGCGGTTGGGTACACGACGTAGGCATTTGTGGAGCGCGTGGTGGCCTCCATGATCTGCTTGGTGATATAGGCAGCCTTTTTGGGCATGGAGCCGGTCGAGAAGGCCACGGATCGGAAGCGCATCGATTCAATCTTCTCGCCTGCTTTGGCGTCCAGCACCGACGACAGATGCGCCAGCAGGGCCTTCTTGTCCGCCTTGGATGACACGGCCGAGCTGTTGATGTTGGCGATGAAGGCTGTGCGGTCGGCCTTTTCGAGTTCGGCCGTCTTGCTCTCGTCCGTCAGGGACTCGTGCTTAGGGGGTGGCCCGGAGGCGTCCTCGTCTTGAGAGTCCTCGCCGTCGCCGCCAGCTTTCCTCAGCCGCTTCTCCGACCGCTTGGCCCCCTCGGGGTCCTCTTCCTTGGACAGCCTGGTCATGTACCTGTCTTCTAGTTCGGCGTTGTCGTCGTCCTTGCGCTTGCGCTTGCGTCCCTTCTTGGGCTTCTCCTGCTCCCCTTCCTCCTCCTCAGCGGAAGTAGGCTCATCGGCCTCGTCGGCAATTTCTTGGTCATCGTCGCCGTCATCGTAATCTAGCTCTCCGCTTGCTTCGGAGAGGGCCTCATCATCATCATCGTTGTTGCTATCCTCGTCTCGCTCGCTGTCTCCCTCTGTCTCATGCTTCGGCCTCTCCTCTCGCGACTTGGGCTCCAAGTAGCGTTCCCGGGGGGGAGCTTGGACGGGTCCGGCCTATGATCGAGAGAAGAATGTATGTTAGAGAAGTCATGTGGTAGTAGTGGTAGTGGTAGCAGTAGCAGTAAAAGAGTGCGACCGAGACTTACACTGGTTGAGAAGAGGGCGTCGAGGGTGGGGTCGACAGCACTCGCAGCGGCTGCCAGCTTTGTTGATCTGGTAGGCAGGTGATTTGAGTTAGTTTCCGGATTTCATAGTAAACATGAAATCTTTCAATTGAGCATGGAATTTCTTCAAACACTGACTTCTTGGTCATTATTTGCGAGTGTGAAATGCGTGGCTAATGCATATCATGAAATCCGTCGGCAGAAGAAAAAAAGCCAAAGGAAAAGAAAAAGTGGTTTTCCCAAATTTTGGCGGACCCCGAAAAGGCGGAAGAATGCGTCATTGGCCGCATCTTGCTATTCCTTTCTGCTAACGAAAGAGACGGTACCTTGTGCGGAAATCCTGCCGCATCTCACCGCCCTCCAAAACCATGGGACCCCCCACCGCGACCGCCAGCTGCTCGTTCCAGCGGCTCTAGTGGGACAGGGCCGCTGAAAGGAGCCACCCACCAGCGCCAGATTTCGGCTCCCAGCGCAATTCCGTCCTCGCTCTCTGTGTGTCTCTCGTCGTGCCTCTCCTCCATCTCCGTCACACCCTTCCCTTCCTCTCTCTCTTTGCCTCTGCCCTTCCAAACAAATCTTTTCCCCCGCCCCATCGCACACCTAGGACATATTCTCCTTCATAGACTTCTGCCTCATCGCTACATTGACATCGCACTACACTCCAACCATATCCTCTAACATTGAGCCGCTGACACTTTTGCTACCACCACCTTCTCCTCCTCCGCTACGGTGCCCTCTAGCCGACTGCGCAAGCTCCCTCCCTCTCGACCACGGCCGACAGCCATACGGCGATCCCTGGCCTGGAACCTGGGAAGTGGTCTGCCATCCAAGAATAGAGGGCCGTTCTTGCTCTCTCCTGTGAGCGATCCTGTCATGGCGGCCACCGCTGCCGTCCCGTACTCCGCGTCACCTTCGGGCCAGCAGGAGGACAGCAACATTTCCAGCCCGTTGAGCGAAGTCGACGACAAGGACGCCAACGACGACGTCATGGACATGCATATAGATCCCAGAGACAAGGATGGGGTGAGGCCTGCTGCCGAGACCCCCCCGGACACCACGCACCACGATGACTCCGACTCGGAGAGCGTCCTGTCGGACGCCCGCTCAGTGGCCCACTCTGACGCTCACTCAGACGGCAATGACACCGAGGCCGAGACGGAACGATTGTACAACACGCCACATCACCAGAGGCAGAGGGACGTCATTTTCGAGAATGACGATGCTCCCGATTTCGAGCACACCCCTAGCAAGCTCCGCACGGCTGCCTTGGTCGACGACGACAATGACCTAGCCGACGAATCGATAACAGACGTTGGAGACGGTGCCCCGAACACTCCCTCCAAGTCTAGCAATGTGAACCACACACCCGGCGAGCAGCTGGAAAAGGGCGACGCAGCCAAGAATGATCTGCTTGATTCACAAGAGAGAAAGCGGAAGCGGTCACCAGCTGCTGACAGCTCCGACCCCGAGCAGCCCCTGCGGAAACGCACGGGTTCAGTTCACGACATTGCGGGGAATGCCGACACAGAAAACACCGCAGAAAAGGATCTCGAAGCGCCCCCCGCTGCTCATATCGATGGTGGCGGGGGCGCCTCCCCTAAGAAGCAGACTACCTCGGCCGACGAAGAATCCACAGAGCGCGAGACTCGCTCATCAAAGAAGGCCACCCGTAGGAGTATGAGGCGCAAGGGTAGTGCGGATGACCCTGACGAGGATACTCCCATTGGCCATGACGATGATGCAGCTGAGAATGATGCCCTGGATGAGCGCGATCGACTGCGAGACACGGCCGAAGCCGAGGCAGAGGAGGAAGCCGATGCTGCTGCAAAGAGTACAGAAGAAGGTATGCTCCCCTCCCTGCCTGCTGCGCACTATTCACGTTCTTCTTGGCTAACCAGTTCACCAGCCGAGAGGAAACAAGCTGCCTTCAAAGATTGGTCTCGAATTGAAGACATGTTTGGCATATTCCGGGATAGGTATGTCACCTGGTACTCTGCGCTATATCGCACTCCATGGCATCCAAATCACTGACATGGAATAAACCAAACGACAGACTTTATTCCGATCGACTCCAGCGTCTAGAGGAAGAAGAACGGTCGCTGCTGGCTGACGAGCCCACGCATCGCGAATACCTCAACATGAAGAAGTGTCTCGATGATCGACTCGAGAAGAAGCTTCGCGAAGTCGAGAATGAGTACGAGCTGCGCATGAAGGCACACCAACGACGATCGGTTGCGATCCATGCACAAATATGGAGCCAATACACCCAGGGCGCGCGCGAGAAGCGCGCATCTATCCTCGAGGCCCTCAACCGCGAATGGTACGACGTTCAGACCGCCCGCCGCAATGCCCACAGCGTTCCCGAACGCGGCCTTATCTTCCCCAAAGACCCGGCTCAGCGTATCAGGAATGCCGTCGCCTACAACACGGAAGTGTCCACACTAGCTGGCATCGCCAAGTACAAGGGCTTCCCCGCCGGACCTGACGTCAAAGGAGCCTCGCCATCCGAGCTCGCCGACGATTTTAGCATGATTGAGGTACGATGAACAAGAGACTTCCGTGAACCCCGACGACAACGATGACCCGGTGACGCTCATACGTGGAGTTAGCATTCACGACATACAAGACAAAGACCAACATGGCCGCCGCGAGAAGAGTACCAGACCCCTTCGTTCAACCGACTAGGACCTGCCGGAGAGCAATTTCTCAAAGAGACCCCATGGGCGAACCCGAACCACTCGTCGCACAAGATGCTGCTCCAAGAGATACCAAAATCGCAGTCTGCTGGTGACCCTACGGCTACTGCCGTGGACGTACCTCTGTCTCAGCAGCGCTCGCCCGCGACGTCGAGTCGACCGTCAGAATCGCCCGAGTTGACACGGGTCGCACTCAAGGCTGCAAGCTCCATTAAGCGGACCGGAAACTTGTCGAATCCAGGTCGTGAGTCCGAAACAGCAATAGCCTGAGTCGACTAATCGGCGAATACTAAATTGTGGTATATTACGTCCACCCGCAAGTTTTTTTTAATGATACCCAAAGTTCAAGGGTGGAATGATACAAAGAAAGAGTCGAGTATTATGGCATTATACACATATCATGGGCTACTGGGACAAGCTCCGCGTTTTCTCTTCTTGACTAGTTGGCAGTGCAGCAGTATCAATCCAACACATGTTTGAGCCAAAAAAAAATCGTGGGAGAGGTATTTATGTTACAACTTGCTTTCTGAGGAGTCTAGTGTTTTCTTTGTATATGTGTATTGTACATGCCCTCCTCCAGTCTTTATACTTCTCTAGGCCAGCCCTGCTGTTTCATACCTGGATAAGTAGTAGATTATATTTTTGTACATCAGTATACCGACAAGGACCGAGGGGAAAAATCAGGTGGAAGCGGTTTTTTTTCTTAGGTAGTGTATTTCCATTACAGCAGCATCAGGAGGCGAAGAAAGAAGACAGTTTCAACTCTGAACATTATTTTTCGACAACCCGATGGGAAGGGAGGTTCGATGGAGTACTCGTTTTCTTTTCGTGTCCCGTAAATAAGCCGGTTTACTTGGAAACACTCGGCGCGCGCGGCGTATCGGGAACCTTGACGTCGTCGAATTCATCCTGGCCGACCCTGGTCAGGGTGTAGGCGTCTGTTTTTTTCCCTTGTAAGCATATTGGATATCATAGGGATATGACTGATTCGTCTTGTTCTGGCAGGTTAGCTTCTTACAAACTGCAGAGACAAAGGCAAAGAGCCCGAGACCAGTGACGGCATTCTTGACGAGGTACGGCCTGCGGGCGCGGACGAGGGCAGCGCCCTGACGATACCGGCGATCGTAGTAGGTTGATTGAGAGCCAGCGCTGTAGATGGTCTGATTAGCAATTATTGCCAGGGTGGATGCTTTGGCTCTGGTTGAGCGAAGTTGGCATGGAGAGAAGCGAACCTAGCCATTGTGACGAAATGCCGGACGTAATATATAAGAAAACCTGGGCTGTGTTTGTCGGGGGTTATCGAAAGTGAAATGATAGAATTCCAATCGTAGTTATTCGGGGGGGGGGGGGGGGGGGGGGGGGTGACGACGAGGCAAAGTGAAGAAAGTCTGGGACGGATCTCGAGAAGGATCGGCATATTGCCGGCTAAATAAGGGTGTGAGTGACGTACCATTCTCCCCAAGTGACATAATTATGTAGGACAGCTAGTGGTAAGACATTTGCGGTGTGTTTTCATCGAGTATTTTTGACTAGTAATACAACGCGACAAAGAGCAGGTGCTAGGGAAGATAACCCGCGTCGTTCCTTTCCTTCCTTTGACAACTTTGGTGGATCCCCATCGGGTACGAGAGAAAGAAAGTGAACCCCAGCCGACGAAGAAGAAAAAAATACCAGACTTGTGCAACGCCGATGCTTCAGAATTTCCATTTCAATCGGCACACGAAACAGCGAAAGAAATTTCACACATCGAAGTGACGAGGCATGACGAGCGCGACGGTGAATTCTTGAGGTAGATTGGCCATCCGAATCCATTCAACGCCTGGTTGCGTGTTGGAGCCAGCTTCATCGAATCGCGAACCAGACGACGACGTACTTATCTCGACGAGGAAGAAACAAAAACTAAATAGACATTCCGGATCTAGAAAAAAAATACAAGAGTCGTGGAAGCTCTAGCCCATCATCATCATGGCTAATAGTGCCGCCGCTGCTCCAACGTTGTCGGTGCCGGAGCAGATCCGCCAGCTCAATGACGCACGCAAGCTGGTCCTAGGCGACATACAGTACTACCCCAGCGTCGTCAGGGGCATCGTCCCCATCATCAAGCCGACTGCCTCGACAGAGCTGAGGAGATGGGGCGCCAACTTTCTGGCCGAAGCGTTTGCGACGCCTCTGTTGCCGAATGGCGAGAAGGAGACGATGCAGCCCTACGTGCTCGAGCTGCTCGAGTCCATGATCAACAATGAACACGAGGATCCCCAGGTGCTCAGGAGTGTCATCCAAACTGCAGCTAGCATTTATCCGCTCGCTCTGAGATGGACGTATGTTTCATTTCTCCTTCCTGATCTAGGTCCTTCTTTTCTTTGAACCGCAAGTCATACTTACCATTTTTCTTCCTCTATAGGATTAACAATGCCTACGATACCATCACTTGGGAGCGCGTCAAAGCTATCAAGCAGCGCATATTTCACATATGGGACACGACCGTGCCGTCAGTCAGGATATGCTGCATCAAGTTTGCGCAGCGAGTGGTACTGGCGCAGACCATGGCATCGGGCGCTGAGCATAGAGTATGTCGAAGATTCTCAGAACGGATCTGTATGCTAGCTGTGTGTGTGTGTGTGTGTGTGTGCGTATGTATGTGTACTGACTCTATTCCCAGTACGGAGGTGCTCTTGATGTTTCCCTGGACAAAATCCCACCTAACCACCAATCATTGGAACCCCAGCAACTCGAGGCCGAAGGCATGGGTTTGCTAGATCGCATGCTCAGAGTCTTGCATGAGAGCGGGTAAGTGTATTCTTCTTTAGATCGGTGGTGAGGACCAATGGTTCTAACTGAAAGCAGTGATGCTCTCATTGTGGATGCGACACTCAACTGCCTGTCTATCCTGGCGCGTACTCGACCGGCCACTTCGTCACGCATCCTCAACGCCCTCATCAACTTCGATCCCCTTAGGCTGGTGGCCACCTCGCCGCTGACTCCCAAGGCCAAGATCACTATCCGGTCCATGGAGAAGACGGCAAGGATACTACTGATGCACCTCGGCAAGCGGGACCACCAGAACCCCCTGGTGCCAAGGATACAGCAGTACATTGAGCGCACCATGCGCGCGGTGGCCGAGGCCCTAGACGGGAGCGGCAAAAAGAGGTCCCTGGAAGGAGGCCAGCAACAGGAGGCGTACGACGCCAAGCGCCAGCGCATCGACCCGGCCCAGATTCAGATCCTCCCCCTGGGACCCGGCCCGCACTCCTTAGCCGACGTTTTCTCCCTAGCCGATGCCGGCGCCCTCAAGTCGTTCGACCTCTCCCAGGTTCCCGGACCGTTAGTTGCTAAGCTGGCAGTAAACACGTTGGCCAGGATCGACACGCAGCTTCTTTCGCGAGCCATTGAGGCTGTACGCGACCGCCTGGAAACGTTGAGAAACGCGCCCATTCCCGAGCTGGACCCTAACACGGCGCCACTGGGCGTCGACGAAGATGACGATGACTACGAGCCCGACTTCTTCCTGGCTGAGGACACGGAACAAATCCTCAACAAGCTCGACAATGACGCCACAGCACAGCCGCCGCCACCGGGACCCACTGAGGGAGCAATACCTTCAGCGCTCGATGACGCCCTAGGTCTGCGAGCCTTCAGTCTGCCCGCACCCCAGCCGCTAACACCCGAGCTGGCGCTCAGTGCGGGAAACGGTGTAGTCGCGAGGGTTCTGGGGATGTCCAAAACAGCCGAGGAGTCAAGGAAGGAGAAAGCTGGCTTCACGCGTCTGGCTGCCAGCTCAGGATCGCGAGAGTCGTGGATGACTATCCTGACGCGGCTGGCCACTCGGTCGACGACGGGGCTCGAAGGGGAAAAAGGCACCCACAAAGAGGGCGATAACGAAGAGGAGGATGAGCAGAAGAGCTCGTCTACCATCAACACGCCCACGACCCTCTCCGACTCGATCCGAAACGTGCTCTATAATTACGTCATGGAAGACTTCCGTAAACACTTTGACGTGGCCGTCTCGTGGCTCTGCGAGGAGTGGTACAACGATAAGATGCAGGGCGAAGCGGGCGGAGACGGCTCGCGCCACTATGAGCAGTGGACGCTCCGTCTCCTCGACGGATTCCTCCCCTACCTTCACCCGCAAGATAAGGTGTTGACGCGATTCCTCAGCGAGATCCCCGAGCTCAACCGGGCGATACTCTCGCGCGTGAAAACTATGTGCAAGGACCCCAGTGTCGTACAGCTGGCTCTGACTAGTCTTCTGTATCTGGTGATCATGAGACCGCCTATCAAGGAGGCGACGCTGGATACGGTGCAAGATATTTGGAACGAATGTGAGTACCTCTGCTTTCCCTTCCCGACCCCCCATCGGCCCCCCTCCCCTTCTGCTCCACCTCTTTCAGCGGTGTGAATATGTAGTATATAGAGAGCTCGACTGACAAAGACAATAATTCAGACGAAGAGGCACGCCCGATCGCAGCCAAGTATCTTGCCAAATACCGACCGGGATTCTTGGAGGCAGCAATGACAGACGGGACAGGAGATGATGGCACACCGGCTACGTCAACGGCTATAGCGACGTGAACGAGATACCCAGGAGGATGGATGTACTATTACCACCGCTACTACGACGTAGTATTGCTGCAACAGGTTATGATCGACTGCCACGACGAGTGAAAGATTTGGTAGTAATAATGGCATTGTAACATGAATGAAGAAACTAGTCCATCCAGTCTATAGATGATTAATTAAGGAAAGGGAAAGAAGAGGACAAAACGAGGATATGCGGATTATTACATCAACCAGACGTTGGCGTTGAGTGTTGGTAACTCGATGCCTACTACTACCTATAATCGATAATACATGTAATTGCTTGTACAAGCATTAGCGAACGTCGCATAATGGTTATTCCGGTCCGGATATAAGCCTCAGGCCTCTGGGTAAACATCAGATCAGGTATATCTAAGGCCTCATCCTCCCCCGGGTAGATAGAACAAGTAAGATCAATACAACTGCCGCGGCCCTTCCTTTGAAGGGACTAACACAACCGTATCATCTACAACAACTACGCACGCGTGTGAGAACATGACCGACAGTAACACTGGCAATAATAATATACGACTCAGAGTATACTGCGACAATTGACATACACTGCGACCACATCTGGAGTCAAATGTCAAATGAGGGGAGTAGAAGGTATTTTTTTTTTTTTTTGGGGGGGGGGGGGGATAAACAATGATAATGATGGTAAAAACACAAGATATACGGAACAAGAGGAAAATTATGCTACCTGTACTCCCGCAATGTTGACACTCTGTTACACGATTGTGAACGCGTTGCTGAGGTAGTGGGAGGGAGGAGGGTTTGTGCATGACGCCAAAGGCCCTTGCATTCAAAGATGCATAAACTTGGTACACCACGGAGTATTGATACTATACGAACTTTTATTAGTAGACGGTGATCAGTCAGTCTCATTGCTTTTGTCACGACCGGGCGGTGGCCATGAACCGAGTGAGAGACGCTCCCTTTCTTCCCTTTCTTCTCTTTCTCTCTTTCTCTCCTTCTCTCTTTCTATCTATCTTTCTCTCTTTTTCTCCTGTTTTCTTCTCCTCTGTCTCCGAATCCTGCGTTTTTGCTCTTGGATCCTTCTTCCAACGCATTCAACTTTGTCGATACTCGGCTGCAACGTCAATCTACTCATATGGAAGCGGTTGGCACGATACATGCACCGCATTATTATTATTACTTGATCATCGAAGGCACAAGGGGGGAGGGGGGAGCCGTTTGCACACGTCACAGGGACCCAGGAATCGATAAACAAGGAAGGGCCAAGGGTGTTCCGCGCCTTGTAATCTTGGTCATCCCGACATTTCATTCATCCCGTTTATTACAATTTTATTTTGATCCTTTTTCTGCCCCTTCTCTCTCTCTTTTCGAGTTGCTATTTTTGCTCTTCTTTTTTTGTGTCTTCAAGAATCCTCTCTTTCTCTCTTGATTCTGTTTTTTTTTCCTATAAAAAAAGAAGAAACAAAAGAAGTAAAAACTATTCCCAAGACTCCCTCTTTTGTCCTTCGGAACAGTTGTAACCGCGCCGTTATCTTTTTTTCGTTCAGGGACCAACGAAGAGAAGGGAGGAGAGGAAAAGAGAGAAAAGAGAGCCCACCCACCTACCCGCCAATAATGGCCCGAAATCGTCTACTAAAGAAGGCCTTTAATGTTCACCAAGACTCTTCCCAAGGTACCTACATACATATCTCTCCGACTCCACTACCCAGAGGCTTAGATCCGTTCTGGCGCACGATTCCTCCCCTTCCCCTTCTTTTTTTTCTTTCTCTTCTCGAACCCGTCTCAACTGCTGACAGTCTTGTTCTCTGTTATCTGTTGTTGTTGGTAATAAAGCGGCCTCGAAACGAGACGCTCCAAAGTCAGTACCAGATGAGCCGCCGGCAGGGGTAAACACATTGGCACCCGCGTCGTCCGGATCTATCAACAGCATGAACAGCCAGACCACGACAACACCCAAGACGACAATAGCGAGGACGAGCACCATACGAAGCGTACCGAGCAACGAAGGGTCCGACACAAGTCTAGCGAGCAAGAACAGCGTCGTGTCGAGTAGCGGACAGAGCAGTATGGCAGCAGCAGCAGCAGCAGCAGCAGCAACTGCAGAAGCATCAACAGAAGAAGGAGACACCATGGGAGCCCACCACGACAACGGAGACACGACGAGGGCGGCGGAGGGGGACGATCACACAGAGCCACCGATAGCCAAGACACCGCCTCCGAGACGCAACGGTCCGGCAGCAGCAGGAGGCGTGCGGGTGGTCGAGATGTCGCCGGTAGAGCCGCAGGAGCAGGACTCGCCGACGGACGGCGGCGGCAACGGGGACGGCGCAGACGGCCGCTGGGACTCGACCATCGGCAAGGCGGGGCTGGGCAAGACGGGTCGGGTCATCAACAAGCTGGTAAGCGACAACGACGCGCTGAAGCGTGACATCAAGATCGAGCGGCTGCGGGCGGAGGAGTCGAAGCTGGCGGCCAAGCTGGTGGAGGACAAGATGGAGCGCATCGTGAGCGACTACGAGAGCCGGCTGCTCGAGGCGAGCGTGACCAAGACGCTGCTGGCGCGCAAGGAGCGGCAGGTCGAGAGCCTGCAGGCGGCCCTGGAGCTGGAAAAGAACCGGGCCGAGGCGGCCATTGAGCGCGAGCGCAGCTGGAGGCGCGAGCTTGAGAGGACGCAGCGCGACACCACCGCCCAGGTCGAGGAGGCAACCGCCCACTCCCAGCTGATGGAAGGCAGGTACAACGCCATCTCGTCGCACTGGCGCTCCCAAGGCGACGAGGTCAACAGGGCCATCGCCGAGCACCGCCAGGAGATCTACACGCTCGTCAGGGAGCGCCAGGACGACGACGCAAAGATCCAGACCCTCCGCGACCTGTGCGACCAGCAAGACAACAATATCAAGCTCATCCTGCAGGAGAAGGAAGAAATCGCCCGCAAGTTTGCGCAGTACAAGCAGACTCAGGACGACGACCTGCGCCACATACGCTCCAACGCGGCCGAGACCGAGGCCGAGCAGCAGAAGCTGCTCGACGACGCCAGAGAGGCTCTGCACAAGCTCAGGTGGGCTTTGAACGTGAAGCAGAATGTCAAGGGGGCACAATAGCCGCCCTCTTTCTCTCTGTGTGCGCCACGTCTATACACTCTCCCCTTCTTTAATTGTCCCGATACCACCCCCCCACAACAACCAAACAAGCATACCTTGGATTCCCCCACGAGACTACCGTGGACTTATCAAGCACCACGCTATCCTTCCTTTCTTTCTATATAGATCCTATCTCCTCTAATGCTGGCTTGAAAAAGGAATGGAAAAGAGGGGGCGTTATCTTCCCCCACCACAACCACCACCACCAAAACGGCATGACAGGCACGACACTCGGATGACGATACCATGCATCTTGTTCATATTTTACTCTTCTTGTTTCATCCTTCCAGCGCTTGATTAGAACCAAGCCTTCCTCTTTTTCTCATACATATTCTATTTTTTTTTCTTACGCAGCATTGTTCATGTATGCTTGTAAAAAGCTGTCTCCTCGATGAGAAAAAGAGGAGATTGTATATTCCCTTTTTAATTTCTTAATATTTGTTCTTTTCGAGATGGAGCTTCCAGGCATGTCGGGTGTAAACCTGCTGGGGAAACGGTAACGAGGCGTAAAAATGGGATTTTGAATTCTTTTATATTGGACTACCTTTTTCTTATTCGGTTCCTTCATTGAGTGTGTGGCTCAGGGTGAGTGTGAAGTGAACAGCAGTCAAAAAATCGGATGCCAGCATAGGCGTGACTGTTTGTCAATAGAGCAAGAAGAGCGTTGTTTCCTGCATCAAGATGGGAAGACGACAAGTCTATATCTTTCAATCACTGGGCACGAGGCACCCCATAACACTTTGATGGGCATTGTATCAATTATCATTGGTAATGAATCACTGCTGGTATTGAGAGAACAGCATGATACACGAGGATATATATCTATCTATATATATATATATATATAGATATATAGACGTATGTATGTATGCATCATATACCGCTCTGACTATCAGGCGCTGAATACTAATATCTCCTATTGAGAGTTCTGACGCTGATTGTCTGATTGCTGTAACACAAAATATCGGCTGTCCGCAGCTGACGAACAGCCTACGACCCAAGGTGAGCTCTCACCTTCCTTTTCAACTTTCCCTAATACATCTTCCTTTGATTTCCTTCCTTTGACTCCTTCTTTCTTTCCTCTATTCCTCACTTCTCCGACTTTGCATATTTTGCGTAGAAATTCACCTGCCTCGTTTTCCGCTTGCCTTCTTTCCTTCTTAGAATTCAGGGACCCATCTAAATCTCATCCCAGGCCTCATCCACCTCCGTATTCTTTTCTGGTAGATGACTTGATCGCAACCGACTATCGTACAGTAATTCATGTACGTCTCTTCCCTGCCAGACGAGAGGATCCCCTGACGCTGTGCTTCTCACACCAGCCATCAGGACCGCTACCTTCACCATTGATTCTAAGCCACGCCTCCTCCTCCTCATCTCCGATCATGTCCCGACCCGAAGCGTTGCGCTACGAGGAATACTTCATATGCTGTAACCCCCCACTGACTCCCAGGGGAGTGGGTGAGGTCGTCACAAAGTCCCGAGATCACCTTGACGTAAGTCATCGTCATGACCACCTGCCAATTCTCTGCATGCGAGAGTTCGCCTGTCCGGTAGGGTACTGACGGTCTACGCTTGCAAGATAGGGGCTCCTTGAGATTCTGTACGAGCCCGGAGGTCCATGGTTCAAGCTCATTTCAGATAAGGCGGCTCGCCTAGACATCACATACTTCATCGAAGATCTCGTCGCGGACATTGCTCAGAATGAGGTCAACATCGCCACCGTCGATCCCAAGAGCGTTCAAGGCTCCCCCCTCCAGCAGAGCCGGAAGCGCTCCGACGTTGAAATCATGGCCGACGCCCCGCGAATGCTCCCATGGAGCACCTACAAGAACTCTCCTCCAGACATCCAGCTTTATGAAGCGTTCACCTGGCCCGAAGAGATCTCAACAGCGCCCTACAGGCTCATCTGGCGGAAACTGGAGCAGTATCCGCAGTTGAACCACCTTGATGAACTGCTCGCAAAGGCGGCCGAGACTTGGATGGCCCTTGAAGTTCCTCGGAACTTGGAAGATGCCGAAGAGTCATTGGGTTGCAATGCCGTATGGAATCTGAAGAACACGGTCCTGTATATGTCCAGTTATGATAGCATGGACGCTGTCACGAACGCTGCTGAAAAACTTGACCTTGTCCTCAAGGTCCTGGTGAGAACATTTTCACAACGTCCTGGTATGCAAGTCAAGCCTAATCATGTTTACCATCAGTTCTCAGACGAGAGCTATCCTTTCACACGCCACGTCATAATCGCGGATGGAGCCCCCAAGTTGGGATACAGGTGGATCTCTCACATGGGTCTGGCGGGCAGGATACACCATTCCTTGGACCGGGAAGTTCCCATTGACATCACCAAGACCGTCGTTCTCCGAACGGCCGAAGAGACAGAGAAAGATCACTGGGTCATTGACAAAACGTCCTATCCGTACAGGAATCAGGAGGATGGGGAACCATCGCCCGGCTTCGATGCTTTCTCTGCATTCACCTACCCAGCCAGGAAATGCGAGAAGCCTCGCATCACAGACATCTTCATAAAACCCCCTCCGACAGGCCCCCGTGGAAAGAGGCCACAGGGGCCCACGCTCCCTTCGAGGCACCTTACCAACAGACACCCGCGTAACCCCAACGCTGTCTCGTCCAGGCAGTCTATCGTGGCGAGTGTTAGACACAGAGGCCAGGTTGACCCTGTCATCAAGACCTGGGCGGAAAATGTCAGCAGGGCCACGGCCAGGCTCCATCAGAAGGCTCCCTCTATCCACTCCAACATGGATGAAGGACAAGCATCAGAATACGTCACTTCCCATGCCTCTGAGAAGTCCAACATGGAGCTCCAGGTCCCCAACACCTTGATCGAGGCCGACGTGTTCGCTGGAATTGAACAGGACGTCTGTCGAGGAGTGTCTTCCCCTGATCTTCTCGACACACTGTCACCGAGAGACGGAGGAGCCCTGTCCAGATACGTGGTCATGGATCCCGGCCAAGGCGTTTCCAGTGAAGCCTCGGAAGTCGGTCCATCAAGTGAAGAGTCTGATCTTATTGATTTCAGCAACGAATCGGATACGGTTGAATTCGAGACTAGGTCCGCGTCACCTAGAGGCAAGCACGTCACCAAAGCGCCCATAGAGACCGTTGACGATGCGACTGAGCATCCCGCCATCTTTGGAATCGAGGAATTGCCTCCGAAAGATGTTCGCCGAACCATGGGTCAAAGGGCAGGCTCCAAAACCATCAATCCCACCAAGAAGACCAAGAAGAATGCTCCCTCTGAGTCTACGCAGAACAGGGCCCATAACGCCGGCGATCGAAATTCGGGCAAGGTTATGAACTGGAGTGGACTGTTCAAGGGCGGTGGAACGTCAAGCCCTGGAACGAGGCCTTGCAGAGACACCCTGCAGTCTGATCCCAAGGGTCCCGGGGCGTCACCTGGTCCTCCAGCCGACCCATCGTCCCCCCCCCAGGCAATTTCGGGCAGCCTAGCAGCCATGCTGGAAACTTTGCGAGTCGTCCCAGGTAAAGTAAGCCTGGAGTTGAAGCTTGGCCTGATCTACGTCCAGAACCTTTCGGAATGTAACGTCACCACGAATGGCACGAGCCCGCTCTGGGGCCTTCAGACGATTGAGGAAGCTCTCAATGTGGCCATCGGCAAAGATGGCATCGGCTTTGAGGATATCCTCTCTTCACGCGGGGAGGACGCAAACGCGCTGGCTAGGATGCCTTCACACGGTGACTTTGGCTGGGAGACGCCCGAGGTCACTGCGCATTACGAGATCACGTTTCGCCGTCCTACACGGTTTAGGGTGGTGGTCAACGCGACATCATTTGAGCACGAGTGCCTCGGCTTGGGCGAAGAGGTGTCGAGCATCTATGTCCACTGTCCCCGCCATGTGATGGACATGGTATTCTGTGCTTCACGGGCTTCCCTGAGCAGTCTTCCGGCCGAGTGCCGCAAGATCTCCAAGGACCTGGTTTCGTCTCTCTCGATCTCGTAAGACCAAGTCATCATCCTGCCTAACTGGTGGTTACGAGCGCTTACGTGTGCTGCGCTTACGTATGCTGACGATGTGCACAGAACAGACGACGCAGGTGACATAACGGTCGAAGCAACCCTCTCGAGGGCGTTGGCAACGGCGATTGAGAGCGCTGAAATCGTTCATCTTGCGCGGTACCGGAGTAAGCGGCACAAGGACTGCTTTCTCAATATCAAGATGACGCACCCGCTGGCTCAGGCCCTAAATATCCGCGGGGAGGCCGCTACATTTCGCTGGAAGACCTATGCCGTCGGGTCCTTCGACAAGGTCAAGGGCAGCCAGACGAGACCTCAAGAGTATTTCCGAGCGTCCCTGTCTTCGTGCCATGCGGAGAAGGCATTCCAGAATAACGCCAAACTTGAGTTTGGAAGAAAGGTGGACTGGAAAACGAACGATGTCCAGCGCGAGAGCTCCTTCCAGGAGCTGTACATGATCGGTATCAAAATGGTATCCGAGATGGACAATATCGGCATGACAAATGAGACTGGGATAGCTCCCAAGGCGCGGACACAAGGTCATGGCCAGAGTTGTGCGCCGAATTATTGGCCAGGGTCAGCGGTCTTTTGAGGACGGAAGAGGAAAGATGAGAAGGGCATTTCCGTAGTGGATCTAGGCGGGCGGGATTCAATACTGGGAAGACGGCCTGACGCTCTTTTTTAACCAAAATCTCGATCCATATTTTCTTCGTCCGATGACGATAGTTAGGTTGCAGTAATATAGGACGAGAATCAGACCAAGACTACATATATAACGTTATGGTGGGACTGAAAAATATAAGATGACGGGTGTGTGTGTGTGTGTATCTTATATGTCTGTGGTGTCCTCTATAAGGACATATCTATAGTATAGATACTGATAGGATCCTAGATCTACGATTATTCTCGTACTTCGTATAGAGAGGTAGGAGTATTGTATAGTTACTTATGCTCCCTGTCCAACCTCGTGACTTATCTCAACAGCTTTTCATTGTCATACTTTTTGCCGTCTTCTTGTTGGGCCCTTTGGGCAAACGTCACGCCCGCACGCCACCCGCGCCGCTTCACGCCCTAGCCCGCGATAGCGCTAGTAATGAGAAGACAGAGCCGTTCAAATCACGGGAGGCGACACGCTATTGTCCTATTCATATCTGTCATACTTTTCCGCCGTTGTACTGGTCGGGAAAGCAGAGCTCGTCCCGTGTGGTGATTTGGCAGGGACGGTGTCGGATCTGACACTGCGAACGTCAGGATCGACACAAGAGCAAGACCGTGTAAGAGGAACGGTGGATTGTCAACAGTGAGAAGGTATCAGGATATAGTCGGATGACACAATGTCTTTATGAGAACAAACACCACAAACACTTCTAACTTACATTTGAATAGTAGGTTAGGTGTTATGTGGTGTCAAGGTTTCTTGTCTTCCATTCTTGTTGTGGCGCGGGACTCGACGGTCTTATGGTCGAGTCCCGCTTACCTAAGCTATGGGATGATTTACTATGACAGAAATAGTGATTGTACGTGTTCCGTTTTATCAGGAAAAAGCTCTGATCGGACCGGAATAACATCTTCCGGTGGCTTTTTCAGCTGTTTGACCCGACAGATTAGAGGAATCAGAAAGCGGGTTCCCCGAGTGCGACACACGAATTACAGTAATCCACATATGAAGCAGGGGTCAGAAAAGGGGGGGGGGTGGTTTGAATCTTACGTCGAAATCCTAGACATGACAGATAGCGATATGATGAATGCTATTTTTCTCCCCTCTTCTCTGTCTGTTTTCTGAAGCGTAGAGTGGAGAAGAACAGAGAGAAGAGTGGGATGTTGATCTCTCAGAAAGCATACATAACCAGTGAAAGTACAAGGAAGCGACCCCCCTTTTCCCGACACTATTCCACCCGGACCTGCCAAGAGCAGTCCGGCCCTGCTCTGGCAACCATGGGAGTCATGCTTGGCAGCGCAGCGGCAGCGGTAGCATGCCTGTCCGTGTACGCCTACCGGCTCAATAAGGTGCTGGCCTCTACCCCCCCTGAGGCGGGTCGGTACGCCATGCCCAGGCTGGCGGAAGAAGAGGCCCGCGCCGTGTACGAGCAGGTGGAGCGCGAAGGGCGGAACGGCGGCTACGACCGCGGAGACAGCGACGGCCACGGCTGCGCGAACCCTTTTAGGGCCCGGATTCAGGCCGGGATGCCTACCAGGCGGGACAGGAGGTACATCGTCGTTGGCGGGTCCGGCCTCGTGGGCGGCGAGATCGTCCTTGCTCTGCTGGGGAACGGGACGCCCGCCGAGGCGATCCGGATCGTCGACGTCAGGGAACCAATGAGGGATGAGTTTCGGAGGGGCAGCGGTGCGGCCTCGCGCGTACCAGTCTTCCTGGTCGATATCTCGTCTGAGAGGGCTGTCAGGGAGGCTTTCGAGGCGGAGTGGCCGGATGAGGAGGCTTTGGTGTCCTCAACGATACCAACGTCAACGTCAAGTTCAACTTCAACTTCAACAGCAGAAGCAGCAGGAAAGAGCGAGGCGAAGCTGGGGACAAAAGGTGAGGGGGGACCGAGGATAAGAGATCTTCCGCTTAGTGTCTTCCATACCGCCGCCGTCATACGCTGGGGAGAGAGGTCGAATCTGTTCTGGGACCGAATTGCGCGCGTCAACATTGCCGGCACGGCAAACGTCATCTCCGCCTCGCGCGCTGCCGGAGCGGGTATACTGATTTACACGTCCAGCGCGTCGGTGGAGAACAGGGAGGTCAACTGGTTCCCTGCCCCGTGGAGGCGGTACCCGACGAACTTTGTGCAGCACATCGACGGGTCAGCACCGGGCGGGTTCTCCACCGACGAGGGGGGGAAGAAGAGCGACAAGCCTGACGACCAGTATCCCACGACATATGCCAGGACCAAGGCGGTCGCGGAGAAGCTGGTGTGCGAAGCCGATGACTCACCCTCTGGATCCTCCTCTGGATCTAGGATGAGGACCGGGGCCATTCGACCCGGAAACGCCATATACGGACACATCAAGGACCCGGTAGTGGGCCAGATGCTCTCCCTGAGATGGGTGCCGAGCTTCAACGCGGCGTGGGTACAGAGCTGGGTGTCGAGCGCCAACGTGGCCCTGGCGCACGTGCAGCTTGAATCGGCCATGTTGGGTGAGCACGTCGACTCCGTGGCCGGCAGGCCATTCGTCGTGACGGATGACGGGCCCCCCATCATCTGCAGCGACTACTACGCCCTCCTCAGTGCCACGAGCCGGACGGGGTTCGAGGTCACGCGCCCGCCGCCGCTGCTGTTTCTGTCCATGTTCTACGTCATTGAGGCCTGGGCCATCCTGTCCACGCGGTTCCCTGGAACACTGGGCAGATTGCTGGGCGAGCCGGGACCTCCGATCGATGTGCTGCAACCGGGGACGGCTGCGGCGGCTATCAACTCGATCATTCACGACCACGAGGCGAGAATGCCGGTTGGCCAGGGAGGAATGGGCTATCGACCTGTCTGTACGACCGTTGAGGGGATCTGTGCCGTTGTTGCACAATGGAATCGGTTCGTTGACGAGGGCAAAGACAAGGACAAGGAATGATTAGTGTGGGGACCTGAGGATGACGAGTATGGATGTACGTGTACTGGTATATATGGCTTCAACGACATAATGGGATCGCACATGTTATGTACTACTATATGACTGTGTATCAGTGACTTGGGCATCTCTCCTCCCCCCTCCCCCCCCTCGATGTCGAGTATATCATGTCCTGAACCTCCCCTCTTTTCTTCACTTTCCTCATTGCCTACTCTTTACGAGTATTGCTTCCAGCCACCATGGGTTTGGGGATCCTAGAGCCCAAGGGCCTCATCACCAGTATACCAGGTGAGTGGGGAATCTTCACGAGACCCCTATTAAGGATGCAAGACTGATGCACGGACAGGCACGACGCGATTCTTTGACAACGATCCCGACGTCGAGCCTGTTCCAGACCTCAAGTTTGCCGATTGCAGTGGCAAGCAGTGCATTATCCTGGTCCGGACTCCCCACCACTTCGACGACTGGACTTCGAGACTAACCTGACGTTGCGTAGATCCCGCAACCATCCGACGACCCCAACGATCCGCTCAACTGGCCCCTGTGGAGGCGCGACACGGCCACCCTGACGCTGTGCTTCGTCGGCGCGCTAGCCACATCTCTCGGCCCCATCCTGGCAGCAAACACCATCACGGTAGCGGGGGAGCTGTCCCGCCCGCCGGGCGACGTGGTCGCCTTGACGGGGTGCTTCCTGCTAGGATCCGGGGCGGGAGCCGTCTTGGCTGTCCCCTCGGCGAGGACTTGGGGTAAGCGTCACATATTTCTGCTGGCGACGTGCGTCATCCTGGCATCGAGTATCTGGGCCGGTACTGCGGGTACGGACTATAAGAGCCTAGTTGCCGCGCGGGTAGTCCAGGGCGCCGGGGCCGCCCCCTTTGAGAGTCTGCTAGGCGCCGCAGTGGGGGACATGTACCACGTTCACCAGCGCGGTGTGCGGATGGCATGTGCCGGTCTGTCCGTGTCCGGGGCGGCATTCTCCACTCCCGTCATCGCCGGAGTCGTGACGCGTCGTCTCGGGTGGCAGTGGACGTTCCACATCGTGTCCATCCTCGCGGGTGCGGCGCTGCCTGCCGTGCTGTTCCTGTGTCCGGAGATGGCGTACGTTCGGGGAGAGGAACGGAGCAAGCCGTCCACTTCCTCGTCTGCAGACGGTTGTCGTCGGCACAAGACCTTCATCCAGTCTCTCGCCCCCTTTGACGGACGCAAGACGGAAAACGGCTGCTGGGCCCTCCTGCTCAGGCCGTTCGTGTTGTTGGCTAACCCGACGTTTGTATGGGTCTGCCTGATCCAGGGCACCACGGTGGGATGGACCGTCTTCGTCGCCGTCGTCCTGGCCACCATCTTCATCGGCCCGCCGTATCACTGGACAGAGGTGCAGGCGGGATACGCCTACGGGGGCGCGTTTGCCGGGGCTCTCGTCGGGTTCGCGGTCGCGGGTCTCTTGGCTGATGCTACGGTCCGGTGGCTCGCACGGCGCAACGGCGGACTGTACGAGCCTGAGTTTCGCATTGTTCTCGTCGGCCCCATGTTCGTCGCTGGCGGGGTTGGACTGTTTGGATTTGCCGTTACGGCGGGACAAGTGCTGAGTGGGAGGTATGCGTATATTGTGCCGCTTGTCTTTGTTGCCTTCGAGGTGGCTGGCATGGTTATTGGTGCCGTTGCTAGCTCCTTGTATATTATTGATGCAAACCGTGAGTACATTCGACGTCAAAATACCCACCCTTCCTTTCCCCCCGCTGCCGGAGAACCTGGGTAGCTGATGCGTAATAGGACATCTTGCCATCGAGGGATTCACCATCATGGTCGTCATCAAGAATATGCTCAGCTTCGGCCTCACCTTTAAAGCCTTTGAGTGGATCATGTCGGTGGGCATCAAGGAGACCGTGCTACCCATTGCGGGTGTTCAGGTGGCCATCTGCGCATTGAGTATTCCCATGTGTGAGTTGATGTGTGTCCCTTGGCCTTTCGCCCTTGGCTCATTTTACTGACCATGGCTTAAGACATTTTTGGGAAACGCTGTAGATCATTCTACCACCAACATGATCCCTTGGTTCTAGCTGGGCTTCGTTGAACCTAGTAAAACTTGGTGGGACGGACAGTACCAGCTGAGGTCACTCCCATGAGCTAGAGATATCTTTTCAGAAAAGGAGGGTTGGGGGGTTGGATGAAATGTAGTGGTTAACAGCAGCGGTTGAACATTCAATTGCTATTCACACAAGATAAACCACAGTGTGGTTTGCTAGGCCCAACCGTATCTTGGTATCAATCATGGCATTCATTCTTTCAACAATTTGGCTATGGACATATATAAAACCCTTTTCTCTTTCTTCTCTCTCCCTCCCTCCCTCTCTCTCTAGATTACGCCTTGGCCTCTCCAGCAGCCTGGCTGGACGCAGCACCAGCAGAGACAGCAGCCAGAGCTGACTTCCTGACGAGGGTGAAGCCGCCAATAAGCATGAAGGCGGCCTCGAGGCCCAGAACGACGGCAAGCGTTACGAGAGCGCCAATGACACCGGCAACAGGCTTGGAAATACCGTTGCTGCTACCGCCGGAACCAGAGCCGGACTCGTCGGAGGACGAGGAAGAGGCCAGCGAGGAGCACTGCCCGTCCGAGTTACCGCACTGCTTGCACCACTGCTCGTCCGAGGTGATGGAAAAATCGGACATGCCCTTCCTGAAGTCAGCCCAGGAGATCGTGGTCTCGGACTGGCCGAAGAGGGGGTACTCGGTGAGCTCGTTCTGAGCGGAGGTGCCGTTGGCGAATACGAAGCGCACGCTGATGTCGTCGGCGGTGGGATTTTCGGTAACGTTTGAGACGAGCTCGAAGGCCATAGAAGAGGCGTAGTCGACGATGGACTCGAAGGCGGAGTCGGCCTTCTGCAGCTGGGCGAGGCCGAAGAAGGACATGAAGGTGCCGTAGGAGCCGAACTGGACGTTGAAGGTGGCGGCATCGTCATCGCCGTCCACGACGGCCTGCAGGGCCTCGAGGATCTGGCCGCCCAGGACGGCGCCGGAGATGGCGCGCACGGCCTCGGACTCGTTGAAGGCCAGGTTCCACTGCTGGACGGAGGCGTAGCCGAAGAGGCGGCCCAGGGCGGCGTCGGTGAGCAGGTCGTCGTGGGCGACGGACGAATTGTGGATGGTGGCCACGTTGACGAGGTCATAGATGTCGTAGGCGTTCTCGAAGCTCATGTCGTCCTCGGAGAAAGTCGACGCCACCACCGGATGCAGGCTCTCGAAGAAGGACGCCGACTCGTCCCGGACACGCGCGTACAGCTCCGACGACAGGAAGCTGTTGGAGCTGATCTCCGCCTTGGAGCAGCCACTCGAGCCCTGCAGCCACGTGTTGCTCTCCGCCTTGGAGCCCGACGCCGCGTCCGAGGCCACCTCCACGGGTATGTACTGGTACCCGCCCAGCGGGCCCTCCACCGAGGTCCCGTTGGCGAGCTCCTCGCTGTGCCCCGTCGGCGGGTACAGACCCTGCATGAAGGTCAGGGCCGAGCCGTACAGGACCGCGTCGTCGGCCGACACCACCGACAGCTGCGAGAGCACAGCCACGTCCGAGCTGAGCCCCTGGATCTTCAGGTCCGACTGCGACGACACGTACCTGTCGTGGTAGTGCGCCCCCGACGCGTGCACCTGGTCCGCTCCCAGGGACGTTAGGTTCACCGGCTTCCAAGCCTTGGCCGTCCTATCGCCGTGGCGGTGGAAGATGTACACGCCTAGGACCTCTTCGGCCGCAGCGAGGGATGCCATGGCCGAGAAGCCCAGGAGGATATTTTGCAGAGTGGTACCGTACATGATTTCTTTTTCCTCTTTTTATGAGTTTAGACCTCACCAGTGAAGGATTCAACTCGAAAACAGGCGGAAAAGAAGATGAAACAGTAAGAGCTGAGGGGAGCGAAGTGTATGGGAGAGGGAGGAGGAGAGCGGAGGAGGGGTAAATCTAAGCGAGAAGAAGAGTGATAATGGTCCCCCGTTATCGCAACTTTTACATGAGAAAATATGCGTTATTACTTTTTGGTCTGCAATACTACTACAATAGAGTGAACCTCCAGGTCAGACTTCACATGGTCTTGTCGGGAAGGGCGTGGGAACTACATACTTACACGTAAAAAAATTGAAATGGGGGGGGGATGTCAAATCAAGATAAGACCAAGGACGGGACTCGGTCTCCACACAACCCAAAATGGTGAAAACCGAAGTAGGCAGGCAGTTTTGAAGGGTTTCTAAGCTGTCAATTGATAATGCCATTGGTGAGGAGAAAGGGTATTTTGCGACCCAAGAAACGAGACCCAATAATGGTGCAGATTCCGAGTGTAAAACCGGCACGCTATAACCGGGCGGGGTAAAACTGTTGTGCGTATGCGGCAGGGTTCAAAGATGAGGCTGGAGTAGTGCCTTTTCCGAGGAAGAGTACCGGAGATGTCCGGTCGGTGGCTGCCGTCATAAGAGTGGTGCAGGCAGATCGGTGAGAGGATCAAACGTTCAGTCTGGTTGACGATAGATCCAAATATACATCGTACAGGGTTTGACACATACACGATATTGAAAGGCAGAGGAAGAGGACACAAGGTAGTGCCGGCATCCCCGACGGCATACCCGACGACATCATAGCTTGGACTCCTTGTCCTTGCGCGGATCCCTCAGGTTATCGGAAATTTCCCCCGACAGCAAAAAATCAGGATACGTCACAGAATGGTCGACCCCAACCCTCACGTCGCCCTGTCGCCTCCAGGCCGCCCCGTCGACGGGCATGACATGGCCGTTGATATATGAGCCCGCGTCGCTGAAGAGAAAGACGGTTGCATCTGCGACGTCGCGCACGGTTCCCTGGCGGCCCAGGGGGATGCTCTTGTCGTAGAGAGCCCTGTCGGTCTCGGCGAAGCTGCTCAGACGGGCCATGCCCTCGGTGCCCTCGATGCCGCCGGGGGCGATGGTGTTGCTCGTGACGCCGCGCGGGCCGTATTCGAGCGCCACAGACGCCATGAGGGAATCCACGGCCGCCTTGGCCGCCGACACGTGAGCCTGGAGGGGCATGCCTGTGTAGTGGAAGGTGGCCGAGATGAAGATGATGCGAGGGCGGGAGCTGCGCAGAATGTGAGGCATGGTGGCCTTGACGGTGTTGAAGGTGCCCAGGACGTCAATGTCTATGACGGCCTTGAAGGCGTTGGGGCTCATGCCTTCTAGGGGGACGACAAAGTTGCCTGCTGCGCCGGCGCTATTTTTTCATCACACATTAGCGTCCTCTCTTCCTTCCCTCTGCCCCTTCTCCCTCTGCCCCTTCTCCCTCTGCCCCTTCTCCCTCTGCCTCGTCATAGCTGCGCAGCTGTGGAGGAACTGACATGACGAAGTCGATGCCACCCAGCTCCTGGGCGCATCTGTCGGCTGCAGCCTTGAGAGACTCGGGCTATGGGAAACACAGTCAGCATATGTCTCTCGATCTTCAAATCTTGATGGTTCTTGGTGGTTGAACTCTCGTCAACTTCCGTCAAGAGAAGCACCTACCTTTCGCACATCACAGTCCCCAACACCAATCACCTTGGCCCCCTGCCTGACCGTAGCAATGTCCTTGGCTGCCGCCTCCGTCTTCTCGACATTGCGGCCCACAATGCACGCATTTGCTCCCAGACGCACCAGCGCCCGCGTCTGCATGCTACAAATGGTGCCGGCGCCTCCCGTGACGAATACGACGCGGCCGTCTCCACGAGAGTGGACACGTCCGTTAGTTAGCATTGTTTTGCTTTTTCTTCCTTTGGGATTATATGTCATCAGATAAATGGAGTCTGAATGTTCCTTACTGAAGAGGCCGTCACGCCACACAGGACTCAGGTAGGTTGACTCGGGAACAGGCATGATGATGATTCAGGGTGTGTACGTAGGTTGATTTGTTCACGTTCTCTCCCGGTCCGTATATGTAAGAGAGATGCTGGCTCTAATATCGCCCGGGGGTGGGGGCTTTGTGCAAAGCTTGATGAGATTAGCTGATGAGGTTGTTGAGACATTCAAAAGTTGCTTCTCCCCTCAAGTTGAAGCTCAAAAAAATGGAGAAGCTCAACAGAGGACCGAGGCTCCTGGCCGCGTTTTTGTGGGCCGCTCCTTCCTCTCCTCTGCCTCCTCAAGATGCCGAGGAAACATTGAAGACAGACCGAGAGACTTGGTGCTTAGAAATCAAGGATGTGTTGTATGAGATGGGAACATAACGAGACATTACATCATGCAGTAGGATTTAGAAGCCAAAGGGATATCGATTTACTTGTTAGTCGATGTTGTCGTTGCGATGGATCAGACGGTCGCTTTGCTGACTCATCATTTGACTACCAACTTCGAGTGCGACGTCAGAGTAATGTTGAATCACCCTACAACACTATCTCGACTTTTCTCTTTTCTTTTTCCTCCCTTTTTTTCTTAGTGCTGATATCCGGCTTTAGCCTAGTTTTCGTATGATGGAGCCGGTTGGTAGTATGGAACTAGACTACGACGTAATATCGCGCAAGCTGATTGTCTACCATGTATTAATGCTCGTAAGTAGCAACTGTTGGCCCTATCATTGATTCACAATTGCGAAACAAGACAAGGTGGAGGAATGAAGACCAACGACACCCCGCATCATGATATAACGTAGGACAACCACCAATATGCATGTTTGTGCGTGTGTGTGTGTGTGTATATCTACCACAATCCCCTGACTGCAGTTCAACGGGGAAGAACCCAGACGGACTGTTATTAATCGATATGCCAGGGTCGAGCTGAACGAGCCTAAACTTATTAGCCGTCGAACTAAACATGTATGTGCACATATGCTAAGTCAAGCCAACAGACTTTACAGGGCCACACAAGACCGGATACAAAAAAACAAACAAAAACAAACAAACAAACAGGAAAGAACAGCGTAGTCCTGCCTTTACTAACAAGACATTTCTAAATGTTGAAGAAAAAGCCTTGTCCCCTGTCGATAACTATGTGTGATGTGCGACCCTCCCTCCTATCGGGGAGACGGGTCGATACATGGCATCTGGCGGGTGCGACGGGCGTTGTATGTTAGCCTTCTTCTCACTTTCTTTCCTTTTCCACTCCTTCTCTTCTCTCTTCTTGTTTCTGTTGCACGATTATATTTGCTCTCCGATCCACGTGTGCGTGTATGTGTCTGGTGCATTAGTCGTATCCCTCGCCCCCTGTTCCCTGCAACGGTTAAGGGAGGGAGAGGGATATAAACCCCCTAGCATGCTAGCTGATCGATCATCCATGACGACTTTTGAAGATGAGGAGGGGAAAGTGGAGGATCTAGGAGAGCATGTGGGATTACAGATTGGAGATTGGAGATTGGAGTCTCTAAAAAAAGGGCCCCTCGAGGCATCGATGCCCATGAGCGGATCTCTCCCGTGATATGCGGGTTTGCCTAGGGTTGAGTCCACTTGAGTCCACTTGAGTCCACATTCCCCAACATGTCGGTTGATGCGAGTATCGAGTATCCTTGTGTTACATGCTCTGCCTCCCGCTCCTTTTATCTCCCGTTTCCTCGAGACATGTGCGAGAAAGGGGAGCAGCCAAGTCCCCGGGCAGTTGCATCGTTGTGTCATTGGCATCGTATATTACTATCTGTGAAAGACAAAGACAAGACGCCGCATGAGAAGAGAGAGAGAGAGCGATGGAGGAAAATCAGAAGAGATCCATACATGAAGAATAAACGTCGAAATATCCGGCATGTCCACCGACGGCATAGACGTTCCTGAAGCCCTTCCGTTATAACGTTAAAGATGTTGTTCCCCTTTGCCCTGATTATTCCCGTCCAAGGACCGTTTATGTAAGAAACAGACAAGAAAAGTAGCAACTCATAATAATGAAGACACCCCTGCGCTTGGAGAAACAAAGGGGTATCATGGACATAGGAAACAGTAGAAGCAGCCAGATGGGGGCGAAGCTAAACAGGGAAGACCCTTTCACCGACCTGTCTTCCCTGTACTTGCATGAGATCTATATTTCCCTGACCTGTCCCATCCCGCCTGAACAAGGCTTTCTAGACGTCAAGCTTCTTGTTGTTGACTAAGGGGAGGGGGCGGGGAGGACAATGTGGCGTGACGGGTTGTGCGCCGTAGTTTCCCACCATCCGCTGAAAGAAGACTCGGCCCTGACGGGACAAGAAGGAAAAAACAGTCTCAAGCGTGTTGACTGTTAGTGCAGAGAGGGCAAGGCTCGGGTAGGACAATGTAGCGCTCATGAGGGCTAGAAGGACAGCAGTTTTCCTTGCTCCCGTCTGTCGAAGTCTTGCAGAAGTGCAGACCTGGGTCGAGGCAGGCCGAGTAGATGTAGTAGTTGAGGGCGTAGAGACACATGGTGATTTTCTTGTTCTTGTTCTTTGTCCGGATCTTCTGCTCTCTCAATGTCTATACCCAGATTTAGGACTCGCCAGGCAAGCTTCAAGCCAAGAAGTGTTTTCCAGATAGAGATGGAGAAAAAGAGGAGAGAGGCTGTCAGCGGCAAGGAAAGGGGACCTCTGGATCTTTTATATATATATCTCTTTCCTGAGTATACGGTAAAAGAAGCCAAAGGGAGACGCCGAAAGAAAGTTGAGAGGGGACTAGGAGGATCATACACTAGACATTGTGCACGCATACATATTGCATGTAAACAAAAAAAAAACAAATAAAGAGTGCCAAGGCAAAAAAGAAAAAGCATGGTCGGGTATTCTTTCCAACAATGCTTCCTTCCCTTCCCTCTCTCTCTCTCTCTCTCTCTCTCTCTCTCGCCCCAGTATTGTCCGAGTAAAATAAAAACGAAAGAAAATTTGTCCATGTCTTAAACACCAGGGGTGTGGTTGGAGGAGGAGAGGAAGAGAAGAAGGGGGGGGGGGGGTGAGAGAGTATATTACACACAGACAAGCAGGGGTGGGTTGGACTCAACTTGAATTAGCGGAAATGCATGACGTGCAGTTCATGTGTGAGCTACTTCTTTTTTATCTCTCCCTCTCTCTTTCTAATACTTTGTAGAAAAAAAGAAGCTATAACTGCTATAACTATATCGTTAATTACTTTTTGGGGCTAAATTGGGGGGGTAAAAAAGCAAAACCGAAAAAAACAATGATGGAACAGGGAAAAACTCTCTCGTGGGTAATATTACAACTCCTAACAGGATCCCGGGATCGCGGTAGAGATGCAGCTTTGGACGATAGTCGATCATGGCCAAGAAGATCAGATACCTAGGTCACCATATGATCTACCACTTTCCTTCTTCTTCTTATCCTTCTTGTTCCTCCTCCTCCTCTCTGGCGGTGTGATGCTCGTCAGAGAGAGAAAGCAAGAAAATAAAAAGTGTCTCAACAGTTCAAGAGGTCACGAGAACCCTTGTGATCCATATCGTTCCAGGTCAAGTCAAGTCAAGCAAAGCATAGGAATCGAAGTCATACTTCCCCTCCATCACGTGTGAGTATATGAGCATCATCACCCAAAACACAAAACCGTTCGTTTCCCGCCTCCCAAGAGCAGGGAGGGAGAGAGAGAGGGTGTGAGAAGGAGGGGGCGAAGGAGAACCATTTGATTTGACAGGATGGGCTGAGAAAGACATAAATGATCCGACAATGGTCTTTGTCTCACCGGGAGGCTGCCCGCCGCTTTCCGCCATAAGAAACGCATTCTTGCTGGGCTGGCTCGAGCCGAATGAGGGTATTGGTGAATGTATTCTCTTTTTTTTTTTTTCGTTTCTTCTTCTTCCACGACCTTGCATGAATGTCTTTTTTTCTTCGTCGTATTTGTTTCTTCCTTGCCTGTTTCGGGGAAAGGGAAGGTAAAAAAAAATGAATAGACTAGATGCTGTACCAAGGAGGGGATGAGGGTCACAGGAGAGACAAAAGGAAGGAAATGGCTCAGGAGAGGACTTTAAGAGGACCATGAAGAGATGGGGATGCGGTACGGAGTAGGCCTCAAAGATTGGGATAGAAGAGACTCGGAGACTCTCGGAGATCCAGAGAGAGAGAGAGTGAGAGAGAGGGAACGAGACTAGGGTGACTAGTAGGTTGGACCATCTATTACTACCACTCCGAGTACGTAGATCCCAACGGCTCAAGACGCAGGGGCCGCTTGGCCAAAGTGCAGGGAGGGTACGACTCATCCATACTCTTTGGAGATGCGCGCGAACTGCAGGGTCCCGCACAGGGGGGTATTTAGCCAACTCATCCATGAATCACTTGGCCAATGTTCAATGTCACCAGCATTAGTGATTTCCGTTGCTTCTTCTTTCTTCGTCTGTTTCAAAGCTTGTCCGACGACTCGCATGGCACAATATAAATCATAATACCGTATACACGGGGTATACGACATGATCGTCACCAGTCGTATACGATAGTGCCGTATAATATGAAATACATCATCCACCCATAGGTACTCACCCGTACGCAAGTCGTCTGGAGGCTTGCTCCTGGCAGCGGCTGATGCGTGTGTTCAATGCTGCTGCTGCCCTGACGACGACGTGAACGAATAGCCCACCAGATGGGAGCCGGGTATGTGTCGTGCGTGTGCGTTGTGAGATGAGAGATGATCAGGCGGATACATGGATGGATGGATAGATAGATGGACCCGTCTTCTGATGCCGTTCTCATCTCTGGCTACTACGTATGTATGTACTATGAGAGTACGCGCGCGTGCATGCCACACTGGAAAAGAGTCGTCGTATGTATGGGTCAGCCATGCATTTAGCTCCACTGCCTGCTCTGAGCCATGATTCCGACTTTTCCAAAGTTTTCTCCCCCTGCCGACGAGAGCTGCAGAGATGGTGGGTGTGGCACCCAAGATTGTATGACTAAGCAGCCAGAGGCTGCTGCCACACACACATCTGTAAATAACCTCATACATACGGAGTAGATTTCCTTCCTTTCCAATCAAGCAAGCACCAGCACACACACTCATCGACCCAGGACGTACCGGTAGGCAGAGACCGCTGTATTCACATCTACGGGTCATCGTGTGTTGCCACTAACAGGAAGCACACGGAATCTTGTACAGGGTAATGCTGGAATATGCAATGACGACAGTAATGCACGTAATGGAGCAGTATACTCCGTACTCCGTACTATATTTGCAATAGAGTCGCGTGCTTTGGAGAGATGGTCATAGAGAGAGATGATAAGTCGTAGAAATGAGAAGTGAAAATGCGGCGGTCTGCTCCTGCTGCTGGGTAAAATGCGTACGTAAGCGGGATTACCCCACATCTTCCTCTTCCTCGCAACTCTCGTGGACTCTGCTGAGCTGGTTGGCTCCTCCATGAGCTTCCATGGGCTGGCACTGCTTTGCGCTTCTTACTCGCGGGGGGGGCTTCGGGTGATGTGCCCGGCAAAGAAAGCCAAAGAACAGACGGCGTCACCAAGCTGAACCAATCGCACAGTCTAGCTCCATACTCAGTCCCACAGACGAATCCCCCTTTGCCAGCTTGCTACCGGGGTGGGATGGGAATCCTTGCCAGACGCGGTCCTCCACTGTTACAGGCCTATATGTAGCCTATATGTAGCCTATATGTACACGCACAGCACTCGATACTTCGTACAGGTACAACGCTACAGTGAATATCACGGCGTAGTACAGCGTAATACAGCCTATGATTTTGCGCCGTGGTAGTAATAACAGAACCCTACTATGTAATATCTACAGATTATATTGCTCCGTACTAAGACTCCCGAGAGTCTGCCCTTAGCCTCTGGGATATTACATGGCTAGCTTTGCTCTCTACTTGTATGATACGGAGAGTGCTATCTGATATCACTACTGCTGCTCCTACTCCTTACTCCGTATTAATAACACTGCCCAGTATTATCTGTTATGTAGGTAAAGTGTAGGCGGTATTATTATTAGGTGCGGGTGGCAGTTTGTACCTGTAGGTGCTCCATGACCAACTGGGAGCGCTGTTTCCAAAGTCGCCGCGCCCCATCCTTGGTCAGTCACTACCATTCACAAGGTACAACAACCTCCTCTTTCCTGCTCGTCCTTCCCTCCACTCCCGCTCCCACTCTTTCCCCTTCCGACCGACACCATCATCAATCGCCATCATTACGACGACAATACAGACGCCGATATTCACTACCATCGTACCCGCCGTCCCACCGTACGCTGTGCTTGTGTAACTTTGGGCCCCTCCAACCCTCCGAAAGCCCCTCCGCAATATATTGTTCGGCCGTTCTCCATCTGTTTGATTCCACCATTACCGCAACCGTACATCCCTCCGCCTCGAACGGGTGCCTCTCCCCATGTCATTCCTTCAATAAAGAACCCCTTCTCCTCCCCCTCCCCCTTCTTCTCCTTCTCATTTGTGGCTTCTGGAGCCACGCACTGGCTGCGGCGCGTGCACAGACGACAGGGGAAAAAAAAGAAACACGCACACCATGTCCGACCTATCGCCTCGGGGCGTTCGATTCTCTGCCGCCGCCAATGTAGACGACTCTGTCAACCCCGAGGCCCTCCACAGCAACAACGCCAACTCCCTACCTCCCAGGAAGCTGGTAGAGCGACCTGGGCACATCTCCCTCCCGTCGCAAAACGGCTCCGACCTACATCGCATGGACCATCCTGACGATGTCGCAATATATTACACGGACAGTGTGGCCGTCAACGGCGGCGGCGGGCTGGTAGCATCATCCCTGCCTCCTCCGTCCGTAAATGGCGGGGGTGGTACCGTCATAAAAAGGCAGCGCAGCGTGTCATCGGCCGCAGCAGCAGCAGCAGCGGCGGCGGCCGCCGCCGCCGCCACAAATGGTGCCAACAACGGCACGACCTCAGAAGACGGTTATCCCAATGGCGCACGGCCTCAACGTCCCTTGGGCCCCATGAGGACCCCTTCCAGCACATACAACCCCGCCACATCGCGAAAGCCGGGCATCATCCAGCCCACCGCCCCCTTTGCCGAGTCGATACGTTCCTCGTCCAAGACGCGCGTGCGACAGACTGAGAGCCGCTTTCGTGCCCAGGAGCGCGCCTACGTCCAGAAGCTCCGCCAGGATAATAACGGCGAGTACTTTGCCTCGTATCAGAATGTCAACGGCAACGACTCGGACTCGGAAGGTGAGACCCCTTCGTCAGAGGGCCCATTTGAGGACCGCTTCGACCAGGAGACCATCATGTTCTACGGAAACGACAACCAGCAGCCCACAGACGAGGACCTGGCCGATGCCCAGAGTCGAGAGCGCCTCGAGTGGCACGGTATGCTCGAGACCGTCCTGACGGGTGACGTTGTCCGCCAGGAGAAGAAGCGCCTCATCGGTTCCTCAGACCAGCAGGCCGGCAAGTCAGCTTACCGCTCGGAGCTGTGGCTGGGCATCCGCTCCAAGGTATGCGGCAGGCATTTGCCCGTCCAGCGCCGCATGGTTGAGGAGGCACGCTCAACCCTCAACAGCACCATCGACGATATCATCAACTTCTCCGTCAAGGGAGAGTCCGAGGTCGGTAAACCCCCTCACGAGCAGGTCAAGGACATTGTTGCCAAAATTGAGCGCTGCGAGGGCCTCTACCCCTCGTGGAAGACTCTCATGACTGAGCACAAGTCGGCTGCCTCAACATTATTCCAGGAGGCCCACGACTCCATCGTATCCTGGTACAACACGAACGAAATGATCAACACGGAGCTTGCCATTCTCAAGAAGTGGGTCGGTAACGACGATCTCGACTTCCATCGGACCAAGCAGCGCTCCCCCGCCGTCAACGGCATCAACAACGACGAAACCTTCCTTGACCGCCTCATGAAGGAGGACGGTCTACGCTCCCTCTACTACGACACAAAAGACGACGAGAAGAAGGGCATGTTGCGCCCCATCTCGTCCATCATCCAAAAGGCCAAGGACACCCTCATCCGCAACTCAGCCACCTTCCAGAAGCGTCACCTACCCCCTTACCTGGAGGAACTCCTCACCCTCATCAGCTTCCCCTCGCGCCTCATTGAGGAGATCACCCGCACTCGCCTGGCCTATGCCCGCCGCGTTAAGGAGACGGCCCAGCAGAACCCGCTCATGCAGGATCAGATGATCTCGCAGTTCCAGCTGCTTCTCAAGTTCGCCATCCAGATCAAGGAGGAGTTCCTGACAATTGCCAACCCCGAGCCGGGTTGGGAGCTACCCCCCTTCATCGACGAGTCTTTTGACCAGGTCGTCCTCGAGGCCCTCAAGTACTACTTCAAGATGCTGAACTGGAAGCTCAGCGGCAATAAGAACACCTTCAAAGAGGCCGAACTGCTCTTCCAGGAGTGGGACTTTGCCAACGAGATCGGCAGCCACCTGCTGCGCGGCCACATCGAGGTGGCCGAACAATTTAGCTCTCTGACCTTCAAGGCTCTCAACCGCCTCAGCCAGACCTTTGAGAAGGAGCTGCAGGTGAAGCCTCGCGAGAGCCCGGCCGAGATGAGCAAGCGCTACAAGGCCTGCCTCGACTCGGTTCGTATCCGTCAACGCATGCTGCAGCGCTTCTCCCGCATGCTCAGCGACAATTACGAGCACGCCTGTGACTTCAACGTGTCCTTCTCGCCCGAGCGCATGCGCAAGTTCTACGACCAGCTGGCTGCCACGGGCCACTTCCAGGTCGAGACGACCATATTCGAGCAGGATGGCCTGTACGTCATCGCGTCGCCCGATCTTCGTTCCCGTCTCGAGGACATCCAGGCCATCATGGCCATCACGTCCAAGGAGCGCTTCCCCGAGGACATGTGCGAGCAGTACATCCTCATCGTGCGGCCCGAGGACACGTTCAACTGGTTCGCCGAGTCCGTCACGGTACCGCTCCGGGATCAGATCATCGATCTCAAACGTGGCCAGGCACGCCTTTGCACCGTGGGGTCGTGGGCCCTGCCCGACGCCAGGAGGGCCTTCCTTGCTGCCGTCGACATGCACGTCGACCTGGTGCAGGAGTCGCGGCCCAACATCCACAAGGTGAACACGCGCCTGATGGAGATCCGGAGGGTGGCGTACAAACTTTCCAACACATTCATGGACAGCGTGGAGACGATCCGGAGACAGACCGAGGGCAAGGACTGCCAGGAACTCATCCAGACGTGCTTCATCTTCGCTACTGAGTTCGGTCAGCGCTCGCTCCTGTACATGGACAGCAACAGGCGGCAGATGAACAACCTCAAGCTCACCAAGCTGGCGCTCGACTGGGTCAGCTTCATCTGCGACGACTGCATGGCGTCGGACCGCAAGACGTTTCGATGGGCCGTGCTGGCGCTCGAGTTCGCCATGGGCATGACGCGCGGGCGGCACATTTTGGCGCTGGGCGAGGACGAGTACGCCACGCTGCGGGATAAGGTGGCCGGGTGCATGTCGCTACTCATCTCGCACTTTGATATCATGGGCGCGCGATCTAACCTGGCGGCCCAGGCCGAGCGAGAACGGATCGAGGCGCTTGTGGGCCAGTTCCGGCGTCTGGACAAGAACCGGATGCTGGACGATGGCGAAGCCTCGCGGTGCATTACGGAGCAGCGGCTCGAGGAGCTGGAGAAAGTGGACAGCCTGCGACGCGGAAAGGAGGCAGAGCGCCAGGCCCTGGGCCGCGTGCTCGAGGCCAACACTGAGGCAGAGCGGTCGCTGGCCTACCTGTCGTCGTCGGCTACCAACGTCACCATGCGCTGGCAGCAGGGCCACTACGTGGGCGGCGGGACTTTTGGCAACGTCTACGCCGCCATGAACCTCGACTCGGGCCACCTGATGGCCGTCAAGGAGATCCGGCTCCAGGACCCCAAGCTCATCCCCACCATTGCCGAGCAGATCCGCGAGGAGATGGGCGTCCTCGAGGTGCTGGACCATCCCAACGTCGTGTCCTACTACGGTATTGAGGTTCACCGCGACCGCGTCTACATCTTCATGGAGTTCTGCTCCGGTGGCTCCCTCGCCAACCTGCTCGAACACGGCCGCATCGAAGATGAGCAGGTCATAATGGTATATGCGCTGCAGCTTCTCGAAGGGCTGGTGTACCTACACGAGAGTGGTATTGCCCATCGTGATATTAAGCCAGAGAGTGAGCTCGATCCCCTTCTGATCAATTTTACCGCATCGGGACCCCTTTGAGAGCAGAGAAGAACAAGATACTGACAGATGTGACTTTCTAGACATCCTCTTGGACCACAACGGCATCATCAAGTACGTCGATTTCGGCGCCGCCAAGGTGATTGCCAGGCAGGGCCGGACACTAGCGGCGGCAGACCTGCACGCGGACAAGCCTAGCAAGTCAATGACGGGCACACCCATGTACATGTCACCCGAGGTGATCAAGGGCGACAACCCCGGCAAGGCCGGGTCGGTGGACATCTGGTCACTGGGCTGCGTGGTGTTGGAGATGGCGACGGGCCGGCGGCCCTGGGCCAACCTCGATAACGAGTGGGCCATTATGTACAACATTGCTCAGGGAAACCCACCGCAGCTGCCGTCGATGGACCAGCTGAGCCCGTCGGGAATCGACTTCTTGACAAACTGCTTCACGCGTGACCCCAAGAAGCGGTCGTCGGCCGTGGAGCTCCTCCAGCACGAGTGGATCATGACGATCCGCAGCCAGGTCGTGGACCCTACTACGCCCAGCGAAGCCGGCGGGTCCTTGATGACGCCAACACACAGCGTTTCTAGTAGGGGCAGTGGCGGCGACGGAGGGTTTCCCTAGCAGAATTAGTATTAATTGGGAGGGAGGTAGATCGAGGACGGGGATGGGGACGGGGACGGAGCATATGAAGGTGGTGTGCGACTACGCAGATGACGGCAATGATGATTATGAGGAAGGAGCAACCTTGTTATATTACAATTCGAATATTCCCCCCGCGCGGCACATGTTACCATAGCAGTATGGATTATTTGCGGTTTCTTGTATGTTTTCTGGTCATGGTTAGGGGGGTTATCACATTTGTACTCCACGTATGTCTACCAAGTATAAATATAATGATGTGAAATTACCAGCACTCTTAGAATATTGAATTCCTACTATCATTAATACCTATTCTGTATCCATTACTCGTACCTGCAAGCTGGTATTAGCTGATCCCCACAAAAAGAAAAGCGTAGTGTTCGCCCCAGTATCTTTCAACCAAGCAGGACCAATCTTTATCTTCCCCCCTCCTCAACCTCTTTCCTTCTTCTTCCCTCCGCCTAAGAACGAAAGCCCAACCACAACAACGCGTGAAATACGAAAACAGAAGAAGGAAAGAGAAAAAGGACGAAGACGGAAAGGCCAAAAAAAAATTAAAGGAAAATAAAGAAGAAGAGAAGAAGAAAGAGACGGGGAAGAAGGGAAGAGATGTCATCGACCCCGCCAATCTTGTCGTCGTCAGACGCTCAGGCCGTCACAAGGACAAGAAAGACATACGACCTATCCGAGGAGGAGTGGTCTCTCCTCCAAGAGTCGGCCGCTGAGGCCAAGAGCACGGCTTACTGCCCCTATAGTAAGTTTCGGGTCGGCGCCGCCGTCCTGGTCTCCCCTCGTGGCGAGCGTGGCGAGCGGAGCGAAGCGTCCAAGGAGGAGAAGAAGGGTGAGGACGACATCAGGGTAGTGACGGGTGGCAATGTCGAGAACGCAAGCTATCCCGTCGGCACGTGCGCCGAAAGAGTCGCTCTCGCCAGGGCCCTGGCCGAGGGTCACCATGTGCGCGGTTTCAAGGCCATTGCCGTCTCGACGGATATCTCGCCTCCGGCTAGTCCCTGTGGAATGTGTAGGCAATTGTATGTTGTTGTTTTTTATTTTTATTTTTCATTCATTTCTTGCTATCTTTTGATATTTATGATGTTGTTGTTCTTTGCCCATCCTCTTCTCTCGTTCTATTTCTTTCATTCTTCCCCCCCTCTCCCCTCTCAAACTCCCTCTGTCTTACCATGATCTTCACCATACTCTTAATAATCATGTATATTGACTCAACACCGACTACGCAGTATTCGCGAGTTTCTACCCCTCGATGCACCCGTCATCATGTTTGACAAGAATGCAGACTATGTCGTCATGAGGCTCAAAGAGGTAAACTTCCCTCTCGTGCTCAACATGTAAGAATATCCCAGAGAACCAGACTGACCGTCTATAGCTACTTCCCGTGTCGTTTGGGCCAGAACACTTGCCCGCTCCGGGGAGTTAAGTGACCGTACTACTTCTCATAAATCACACACACCCGCACTCTAAGGAAACTCGATGAATGGACAACATGTACTTGACTGATAAAACCAGTAGTCCACATTCTGACATCTTCTGTGTGCTGGATGCGGAGGAAAAATCCATGATTGATGGATGATAATAGTAATAAAAACGAAATACACCAGACCCTTGATTCGCCCTTGCAATGCTTTGTAACTTGAAAGTGATAATGGTGGACAAGAAAAAGAAATGAAGACTGACCGGAAAATGAATGGACGAGTACCGTGATGCATATGATGGGGGGGAACATGAGGGTAATGCGTCATGCAGAGTATGTAAATGAAAGACTGGGTATCAAGCAGGATAGAAAACGCCCAAAAGCACCGCCGTTACGCAATACTGTCCCCCTTGGAAGAATGGCGGAATGATCGAAATGATGGCTGCATAAAAAGATGGCAGAGAGAAGTCGGTCCTTGAGAAACAAGGAGGGGTGGGGAAAGGAAGGTGATGAGACGCTGGAAATAGTAGATAGAGGTTGTCGGGATCAAAGAGACAGAGGATTCAATCCTCCCAGATGGTCTCGAGGTCTATGTCCCCGCGGCGCTCGGCACCGCAGACACTCCACCGCTTACGCTTGTCCTTGGATCCAAACGTCATGGTGCGTCCGCGGGCTGGCACGTCGATGCTGCCGCGGGACTTGGAGTCGGACGAGTCGGCGGCGTCTGCATCGGCCTTGAGCTGGGCGATGCGTTCGGCCTCGAGAGCCCTCTCCTCGGCGTCGGGCGAGTCGGGGATAGTCTCGAGGCTGGAGATGCTCGGGCTCCTGGACCGGGCCGAGGTGGGCGTCGAGGGTACCGAAGACAGACTGCCGCTGACGCTGATGCTGCTACTATTACTACTAATCCCGTAGGAAAGAGCGACACCGTCGTAAGGCTTGTGGGAGGGAGACGAGGACGGCGTGGAGGGACCCGGTACGGGAAGGGAGGTGTTGCTCCGCAGGGGGGAAGAGGGCCTCCGCAGACGGCCGGTGTTGTTGGTCGAGACGCCGAGGATGGGGGAGAGGCTGCCGTCCTGGCGGGGGCGGTGGTGTTCCGGGTCGAGCACCGAGGCGCGGATGGGCGACAGGGGTGGGAATGCCTCGTCGAGGGGCTTCCTGGGGATTCGGGTACGCGAGGGTGAACCCGAGCCGGACGGGCTCTCTGGTCTGGCGAAGTTACGGCCGCCGCTGGTGAGGCCACGGGGCGAGAGGAGGACGTGGCCCGAGGAGGCGAATCCGGGCATGGACTGAGTACGAGAGATGGGGGGCAAGAGGCTGGCGGCAGAGCGGGATCGCGAGTGGCCGCCGGCAGACGACAGGGGCGAGGCAGTGCGTGGCCGGTATGGCAGAGAAGGGGTCGAGTAGCTAGATGTCGAGTAGCTCGGGGTCCAGGACGATGTGGGCGACGAGACGGACACTGGAGAGGCCAGTGGCGACGAGGACGAGTAGGAGAAGGAAGGCATGGGGTCAGTACTCCGTCGGTAACTGGTAGGCTTCTGGGGCATGACGGGTGATGCCATGGCCGTCTTGGTGTCAATGTCTAGTCTAGGCTTGGGGTTGCTGTTGTTTCGGCGCAGAGACGGCACAGGAGACGGCACAGGAGACGACCTGAAGGCCTCCATGCGCTCCGTCTCAGGAACAGGCTCCATTGTGAACGCTCCAAGAAGTGAACATGTGTGAGAGAGTATGTGAGTGTGTGGGAAGCGTGGGCGTGTTGTTGCGGAAATTATTTCACGTGTCCAAGGGAGCAAAATGTTCGGTGGGAACACACTCTCCCTCCGCGTCTCTCGGACCGGACGGGCGAGCAGGTGGGGGAGGGCGTGATGGGGAGAGAGAGAGAGAGAGAGAGAGACAGAGAGAGAGAGAGAGAGAAGACTGGATGATCAAATGACCCGGTCGGCAATGGCGGCGGGGGTGGAAGGAGAGAGATAGAGAGAGAGACGGAGGGAAAGAGAGAGAAAAAAGAGGCAGAGGGGGTAGAGTCAGATGTCCATGTAGCCAACCTCCAGAAAATGGGCACACAGTGTGACACGAGAGTGCAAGAAAAGATTGATGCAAGCCTTGTCGGTCAGTCGGGGAGGGAGGGGGGAGAGGAGACAAGAGAAGGAGGCGAGGCGAGGGGGTGAGTAAATGATGTTACGAGTTATAATATATTCAGGGTCCCCCTAGCGGCAGAGATGACGACTCGGCACGAAGTGCAGCATAACAAAATGACCACAGCAAAAAGTGACGTTTCTTCCAATGCTGTGTTGTGCTGTGCTGACGCGTTACGGTTGCTGTTGGGGATGAGAGGGAGAGAATGAGAGGGAGAGGGAGAGAGAGAGGATGCGTTAATAGAGCGCACGTTTCGATACTTTGATACTGCAAACACAAGTACAAGTGTAGTATGGACCATTGCCGGCAGAACCACCACAACCAGTCAGTAAAAGGGCCTGAAGCTGCACCTGAAGCCTCTTCTGTAGATCGCCGTGGACGGACGGCGTAACGCACACCAAGACTGGCCTAACAAGTTGGGGACTTGGGGAGATGCATGAGTGGGGTCAAGGGGTTAAGCGCTGATGGGCCTTGGTGTGCATGTAGCGGTTGTTATTACTCGACAATACATTCATGGCGCATTACTCATGGCTCAATGCTTCAATTCAATGCTCTCAATACTATTCCATTACTCATTTATTCTGTGAGCTCTTGAAACTTTTGAATAATGGAATAATAGTAGTATTACTCGTACTCATACCCTCAGCCTTGTGCTGTCGGATATGCCTCATCTCCTGGACCCACGTGACTTGCACTCAGGGGCGTCCAAACGAACCCCCCCCATTTCCTATTTCTCATGTAACTTGTACACGTATATAGCTTCTTCCTTCTTCCTTCAAATGACAAGTATCAGAGACTTCAGCCACAGACCTGTTTGTATGCACACCGCACGTGCGTTGTACAAAGGGTCGCCAGTGGAGTCGGATACACAGCCTCGTTCATCTCACAGAAAGTCGTTGGTGCACTCACTCTGTCGGACCCTCCGGTAAAGCTAGCATATCCTCGATACTATACCTATACTCGCACAATCCCTCGGATATCCAACACTGAACCCCCCCCCCTTAGGTAGATCGTTGCCAGATATGGGAAATCAGCAGTTCTGTTGTTTATTGTTATGTCACATTACCTCTAGATGTATGGATATTTGTACGTCGTTGTAACAACAACAACAACAACAACAACAAACGTCCTTGAAACATATAAATCCTTCTCTCTTTCTCTCTCTCTCTTTCTCTCTCTCTCTCTCTCTCTCTGTCTTTGAATGTCCACCTATATGCTGTAATATCATCATCGTCGTAAACGCATATATCGTGTGTGTCGTATTCCCCCTCCCCCAAAAGCCTCAGACATCTGCCATCTCGGCATCCTGCCGAATAGGTAGCCCAGTCTCATCTGTAGTAACGCCATTCACCACCACGGACACAGGCACCGGCAACTTCCCCTGCACCTGTCCCGCTTCCACCGCCGCCGCAGATTTCGTAGCCTCGTGCCTGTACAGCCTGACCGTCTTATCCTGCCCCGCGCTGACCATGGTGTCCCCGTGGACATCGATCCAGAAGCACACGCCCCGGTGCTGGCCGTCGATGCGCTGGAGCACCTCCTTTGTACCGACATCCCACAGAACCACGCTACCGTCTTCGCTCGCCGACGCGACAAAGGCATTCCCGTCACCGTCGCCGCCGCCGCCGCCGAGCACGCCAAAGCAGCCTCCCACGGCGAACTTCTCGTTCCGGTGGCCTTGGTACGTCTTCTTGACTGTGCCAGACACGTAGTCCCACAGACGGATGCAGTTGTCCAGGTTTGACGCGAGGACGAAGCGTCCGTTGGGGGAGAAGCAGACGTTTGTCACGGCCGGGTTGTCCTCATGCACCAGGGTGCGCAGGCACTGTCCTGTCATTGTATCCCAGATACGGCTGCTGTTGTCAGTCAAATGTATATACACATCGTGAAGATTAAGAAGAAAAGGGCCCGGAGAGGACGAAGGAAGGGAGACGACGTCGTAGAGGTGTTTGGAAGGAGATGGTGCCAAAGAAGAAGACAAGGCTCACATCAATCCGTCAGTAGAACAGCTGACAACCAAAGTCCCATCGCTCGAGAACCCAATCCCGCCAACAGGATCACTGTGCGCCGGCAGGCTCCTCATGAGCCTCCCAGCCCTGACATCCCACAGGAATACAGCCTCGTCGTACGACCCGCTAGCCAGCATATTTCCCTTGGGGGAGAAGGCGAGGCAGTGCACGTAGCTGTGATGTCCCCTCAGCGGAGCCATCTCCAGGCTGCCCGATGAGACGGCGACGGACTTGCGTGTCGTCGTCTTGGGCCTCCCCGTCACCCTGTCCCAGAAGCGTATCGACTTGTCGTCCGACCCGCTGGCCAGCGTGCCGCTGTCCGGGCTCCAGGCCACGCAGCTCACGCCCGCCATGTGTCCTGCCAGCGTGTCCATGTGCGCGCCCGTCGCGGCGTCCCAGATCTTGACCGTCGCGTCCGCCGAGGCCGACGCCACGAACCGTCCGTCCGGGGAGATGCGCACCTGCGAGACGGGACCGTCGTGGCCCCGCAGCACCAGGCGCGGTCGGTAGTTGGGTCGGGCGGCGCGTCGTGTCGGTGTCGGCTCCGATGGTGCAGGCGAAAAGTATTCGCTCGGTGACGAGGAGGTGCTTCGGCTCCGCGTCCGCGTCCGCGCCCCACTCCCGCTTCGGCTTCGGCTTCGACTCCTACTCCTCGACGCATGGCCTTTGCTGTTGTACCGCTGCCTTCTTGAAGCTGCTGCTGCTGCTGCTGTTGTTGTGGAACCCTCGTCTGAGCTGCCGCGTGACGCGCGCGTCGCCGTCGCTTCGCCTTGCCATCGTGTGGGGGATTCGCTCGAAGTCCTGCGACGCTTTTGCCGCCGTGAATCCTCGTCTGATGTGGTTGTCATGGCGTGTTTGCTTGCGTGTGTGTGTGCGGGTGTGTGTAGGGGATTGTTGAGAAAAGGAACAAGCTTTGGAGAGGTCGGTCTGTGGTGGGGTGGGGGGGGGGGGGGGGGGGGGGGGGGGGGGAAGAGAAAGCTACATGAGTGTGGAGACGCGGGTGGTGTACTCGTAATGTCACATGTGACATGAGAGTTATGATACTACGACCAGGTGCGATAAAACTTGTAATACATGTACAGCAGCACTTGAGTATGCATACCTGTAGCATTGGGACATACCGCCAACAAGCGTCATTGTCATCAATCATGGTGTCACATCATCGGCATCTTGACTACTACACAACAGGTGCCTTCTTCTCCATCCTAAGCCCCATGTCCCCAAGGAAGCTCACCCCTCTCGGGCCAGCTGGAGGAAGACGTTGGGGGCCGACAGATCAAGGCGCATGCTCTCGCGGATGCAAGCTACGTAGGAGGGGCAAAAATCGAGGACATTTTCGTACTCCGGAAGGGAAGGTGCTGACATATCTTGCCCGAGCGTGTCGCGTCGTCGATCCCCCGCATCAGCTTATCGTACACGTCGGGGTTGGAGAACAGATGCACCATCGGCGCCTGGAGTGCCGTGCCCGTCATGCCCGCGCCCGCCAGCAAGACTAGCAGGATCTCGCCAATGATATTATCTGGGTCGAGAGGCTGTGCATTTTCGTCTGTCGCATTGATGAACCTGCTTGATTGTCAGAGCCACAGCTTTCATGAAACATGATCAATAGAACTGAGAGATACAGGATATAAAGGATTCCGTGGAGCAAATCTCTGCAGCAGATCCATGCGTTCACCAGCTGTTCCGTTTCTTATATCCTCACGCAGCTGCTGGATCAGCCGGTCATGGAACCTCGTCAGGGTGCCTATGCCGGATTCCTGTTCGGGACTGGAGACGAGGTATTCAGCCAGAGACGTCGTCTTGATCCAGTCTGCAAAGGGATACAGCCTAGCCACGATGCCCAACATGACCAGGCCGTCGTGGATTCCTTGGGTAGGCCCGCCAATGTCGTTTCCTTCCTCCATGAGCCCCAAGGGCGCGCCGAACCCGACGGACGAGATGACGCCGCACGCCATGATTGCGGTCTAGGGAGCGGAACCAAGCATGTTGCCGTCGGCAGAGGTGTCGGGATGCTTACTAATCCACTGCTGGATCTTGTCGTCGACCAGAGGTTTCCATCTTCTTGATGTTGGTGAAGCTGTAGGGAGAGGTGACGATCTCACAGCGTTTGACGTGGACAGAGGTGTGTCGTGCATGTTAAAGAGTGCCTCCTCCCTACCGAAGCTGCCCGTAACTTAGTGGCTTGACTTGCTGGCGTTGCAGGTGTAGATGTCTGGCAGCTTGGCGGCGCCGCTCAGGAGGGGCATGATGGGGATGATGCGGATCACCGGACCTGTGCACGATTGGATACAATCAGGCGTTCAAGTTGTCATAGTACTCAGATCGAAGTTCAAGCACCACGTTTACCGTGTAAGGCAACGAAAGGCCTGGCACTCGTCCTCCTACACACTGTTCTAGGCTGTTCGTCATCCATCGTCGCGTCACACTTGCCCAGAGGATATCGGAGAACTTGCGCAGAGGGTGGAACAGGCGGTAAAGACGATCTTATCAACCACCGACCATTCGAGGTAGAGCACACCCACGAGGAAGACGTCTCGAACGCTGAGTAGAGCCGTTGTGTGCTCGCACAAGGTACAGAGTATGATGACATGTGCTAACTCAGCAGTTCACTCCCGCATCGCCTGCGTCGCAGACATTGAAGAAGAATCGCACTGCGCACGGTGAGAGTGAGAAAACCCCCTCCCCTCTCTATGCGCATATAAACATGTTGGTCGGGTAAAGACAAATCTGGCCCTGTAGGTCATTTCGTGGGACAGTATCCCGACTCTGCTGACCGATGGGCGGATTGTAGAGTACGGGAAGGGCAGATGTGGTAGGAACGACACGACGATCCTTCCTTCCAGCCTCAATAAACTTCTTCATCGATATCTTCTTTCTTATGTGCTTCTCGGGACGTTCGATCTCCGTGACGTAAGAATACGTTGCAATACTATCACGTGTCTCCCATAGGAAGCGTTTACCTATAAATGAAGTTGTTCAGATGTCTCTTTTTTTTTTTTGCTCCCTTACTATATCATGTTCACAATCACCATCTCGGAGACAACATCCTCCACGTTCCAACCGCAACGTCTCATGTCTCTACGATGCCCGTCGGATCTTTCTCTGTATGCGTGAGGCGCTACACTCGACTACGTCATCACGCAAGCAAACATTCTCCCATGACCCCTAAGGAGGAATGATACGGGCCATTAATAGCCTGCGGCTCGAGATGAACTCTTTCTGTGACCCCGGGTAGCCACGGCCCGTTGCTGAACTTCCTACTACCTTCAACACCCATGGCCCGTACGGATACTCGTACGAGCCATGTGTTGAATTGGACGCGCGCCATATCCGGTCTACATCCGTCGGTATCCTCTACCTGAACCTGGCTTGGATCAGGCGTTCAATAGTTCAATAAATCAAGATTGAGACCCCCGAATATTAATCTTGAGTTAGGCGGAAGAAGCTGCCGAGAAGGCCACAGGTCTAGTCAGGTCTACGGAGTACTCCGGTCAATATTAGCGAGGGCTGAGCGCTGGACACTTTTTTCATCCCGACGAATGGGTCCCAAGTTGGCAAGGCTCCAAGGCCCCAACTCTACATGTACGAGCTCACCGCAGGCCTACAGCTTACGAGCGCCTAGATGAGGTGCAAGCTGTACGGTGTACGGGGGATAATAATCCCCGCTCGGTAATAAGACTGGAACGATAAACGTGGGAGTGTACTCTATTACTCTGTGACTCGGTCTGTTCCAGTACGACGAGTAGGACGACGGAGTAATAGTACTATTAGTAATAATACGTCGCACAATTGTGAAAAAAAAGGACATATTATCACTGCATATACCATATTATGTAATACTTGGAATGTTTACCCGTACATATGTAATTGAGAATACGAATATCTAATGTCCGGTTGCACCATTTCTCACGTTTACGAGTATACGGAGCATTATCAATACTCGTACCCGTAAAATACAAGGGAATAATGTAGTATAAATAGCGTCTACACGGTTAAAGCCAGCGGTCGGTCGCAGTCAGCCAGCGGGGTGGGAGACAAATGACCGGGGGGGGGGAGGGGGGCTGCGCATGGACATGTACATGCAAACACAGATAACCAATAATGATATCCCACTGCTGATGAAGAAATACGACAGTGTACCACGGTCGATTGTGCGTCCAATCAGCACTAACAAAACTGCGCCTCGTCGAAGCATTGAATTGAGAGGAGGATTGGAGAGGGGGGGGCAAGGCAAGCCAAGAGATGCTGTTGGCCCCGCCACCCAGACGGCCTCCCGATGAGCAAATGCCAGCCAGGACCTTCCACACCTTGACCCTGGCCAAGCCCGAAGCGGTATGCCAAGGTGACGAGGTACCCCCAGAAGTTGGACAGGAGTGAATGAGTGGGTGGGATGTGCCGTGTCCAGTCAGCACGGGACGAAACAGGAAACCACGAGCGAGCAGTAATACTTTGCGGGCAGTACGAGCAGGGAGGAATCTGTCTGCAAGCCGTAAGAAGGAGTACTGGGGAAATGGAAAGAGGAGCGGTAACGAGGAAGGGTGGGATGGGATAGGAAGATTGAGAGGAGCAGAGAACTGGATACCAGTCCACAAGTGCCGCTCTCTGAAGGAGCGGCGCCAACACCGATTACGGTCAAGGTACCTGTCGATCTGGGCCGAGTATTACGAGCTTTCTGAGGGGCCGGCCGAAGGGAGACGCAGGTACATAACATATGTACGACGGCCATATTGGTACCTGCATTGGCGTACGAGCAGAGGTAGTAGGGTAACGGTAATACGCCGTAGTGAGATATTATATGGGGAGGTTGTGACCAGATACTCGTACCTGACGCCGCCGTGTATCGACACTCCGTATTATGGGACGCTATTACTGGTAGCCATTTTTTCGGAAGGAATACGATCTTTACAATGTAAACGCGACGTACTGTTCAATGGTTGGTCTGCAGACGGCAGATGGCGCGTGTCGAGATGAAGTGCGCAATGCCGGTGATGGATGTGTGACGACGGTGCAGTGAAGCGCTACGAGTTATTGCCTGCAATGCATGTACGGCGTACCCATACCGTGAGTGGGTGCTCGCTAGAAGAAAAAAAAAAGAAAAAGAAAAGGCGGCAGCAGTCGCGTCCGATTCCAGTAATGGCCGAAGAGGCATCCAGTAGAGCATCAGGACGCAGTGAAAGGTTGGGGGGGCACGAGACCTGGGAATCCCAGTGCTCGTAGGTGAGAAGCGCCGAACAGATGGAGTCTAGAGCCTTATACGTATGAGAGTATATTACTGTACCTGTACCTGGTGGGCAGGGTACTGAAGGTACAGGTACGGGTACAGGTACAGGCACCGCCCAACCGGTCATGGGCTACAGTCCACAGGCTATAGGCTGTACGATACGGGATATATAGGTATACTCGTACAGGCAGGTACAGTCACTAAACTTGCAAGAAGCCAGCAGGACCAGTAATAATACAACTAGAAACAGTCCGAGAGCAATGGAAACAAAGAATGCATTGCAAGGGGCTCGTCAGCATGGCCTTGGCGAGATGCAGTCATGCTCTGATATTGGGAGTCTTGGCGCACGACGGGTTCTGTAGAGTCGACGATGGGATCTTCATTACGGGGGATTGTTTATTCTGAAGCAGGGGCAGGCAAGGTCAGGGTAGATGTGATGAGTTTTTTTTCTTAAAAAAAAAAGAGAAAAGAAGCGGAAGAAAGAGTGAGCGTCATTCGCATACAAGAAAAAAAAAAGGACCATGAATACCTATTAATCAGTTCCTTGTAAGGCGCGTCATGATGGAGACCTTATACCGTGGACAATGGAGGCCGATGAGACAAAGTGATACATAAAAGTTACAGGTAAAGACGAGACAGAGCTGTACATCGTCGACGACATCTTCACCTCTACGGGTACAAAAAAGGTAAAAACGAGGATTCGTCATTCTCAGCGACCAACAAGCTCATAATTCCCAAGGGCACCCCTTCGGGGCCTCACCCTCCCCCCCTGAAGTTGGATTTAAATTTGATCATGGCATAGACCAACCGATACGACGTAGTATCCTACTCTGATCAAGGTAGAACAAATACGACCAAAGTACGGATACAACTGCACGGGCTGTACGGAGTAATGATACATACCATTACCAAGTAATAGCCTATCGTATAGTTACCGGGTATTACTCCTCCACAATAATTACTCGTACAAGCCATTTTCCCTTTGTGAAGAGGGCTCGTATCGGGAGAGAGAATGCTTGGGTCAAGACCCCCTGGCAATTCCAAACCAAACAAATCCCCTACCCATGGGGCCAATGGGCCATCTCCCCCCTCTCCTCCTCCCCTGCTAGTCCCCTTCGCATACCTTGGTCGGGGTGGGGTTGACTTCTTGACAGACCCCTGTCTTTCTTTGACTCTGCTCTGACTCTCCTCCGTACCGAAGCTGCAGAGAATCTCACTCGTATTCTGAATAGAATATCAAGTCGATGCCCCCCCCGCGCCACCTCCACACACCTTCCTTCTTCACTTCGCATACCAGTCGTTTTTTTTTCTTCCCAACCACAGTCACTCTTTCTCCTGTGTTTTGACAAACACACACACGCTCTTTTTAAAACCAAAAACTTGTCCACTCTCTATTTTTTATACCGCACTCTTTTTTTTCCCCACCCTCTTTTATATATATAAACAGACGCAAAACAAACAAATCCATTCATCATGCGCTCTTTCGCTACCATCCTGGCCCTCGCCGCCACCGCCATCGCCCAGACGGCCGGCTTCGACCCCATCTACACCCCCTCCAACGGTGAGGTCATCCCCGCCGGCTCGACATACACGGTCACCTGGTCCGCCCCGGCCGCCTACAAGTCCGGCAACGTCGCTATCAGCCTGATCGGTGGTGCCGACCAGGGCACCCTCGTCCCCATCGCCAACATCGCCAGCGGTGTCGCCAACTCGGCCGAGTCCTACCAGTGGTCCGTCTCCTCCGACCTCGGCGACGCCGCCCTCTACGGTCTCATCTTCACGCTCGAGTCCGACACCAGCATCTACCAGTACTCCATGCCCTTCAAGATCAAGAAGTCCGACTCCAAGTCCGCTTCTGCCTCTGTTGCCTCTGCCGCCCCTGCTGCTGCCGCCTCCACCACCGCCGCTCCCATCCAGGCCGCTGAGGTCGTCAAGACCGTCGACCTCGGCACCACGACCGTCACCGACTGCCCCGAGTCCGATGCCGCCTCGTCCACTGCTACCGCCCCCCCTGCCGTCCAGACCCCGGCCTCCGCCACCGCCACCTGGACCACCAAGGCTATCCCCTCCGTCGTCGCGCCCCCCGTCATCCCCATCATCCCCATCAACAGCACCTTCGTCGCCACCCCCTCAGGCACCCCCCCTGTCGGTATCGCCACCCCCGTCTCCACCCCCACCGAGGTCCCCACCGCCGGTGCGGCCCGTCTCACCTACGGCTCCGCCGCCCTCGTCGGTGCTGCCGTCATGGCCCTTGCCGCCTTCTAAGCGTCTCGACTTTTGCCGTTTATGTGTGTCATGCCAATTCTAGGGGGGGGGAGAGGACATGGATTGATAATGTCCTCCCTTTTTTTTTTCTTTTCAATTCAATTCTCAATCAAAAATATCCCAAACCTTTTATGTGGTTGAAAAACAGAAAACTGCTTTACCGTTACGTATATTTCAGTCAAAATATATATGACTCCTTTTCTTTTAACGTCCAATTATGATTCCACTTTATATTTTCAATTTCTTTTTCCCTTTTTGAAAGGGAAAAGAAAATCTTGTTGACTCCTATGCTCCAATCATGTTGTTCTGTAACAGACATCAATGAATTACCATCTCTTGTCTCGTCACTGACATGCACGCCCTTGGCCGATGTGACACAATGTACTCAAATATTCGATCGGGTAGCACCGAGAGAGACAGACCACGAGGTCTAGAACCCGTCTCTTCAACGTCAACCATTCCTACCTGTACGGAGTAATCTGTACGAGTAATACTCCGCAAAGACATCAGTCCACCAGCCTCGCCCTCCATCGTGTCGCCACATTCCAACTTGTCCAGCCTACCGTTTCACATTTCCCGCGCTAAAACTCGTCATATATCCTTTCTCGCTCTCTCAATGCATACTCATCGTTTAATACCGGCAGCATTGTCCATGTCAACACGCTCCGCCATGTTTACCTTCCCCCCAATCTCCCTTGCTTCGTTCTATTGGGTATGGAAGTTTGTTTGCCGAAACACACAAACATTCTATCTATACTAGTTATATACTGGCACTTTAAGACGAAACCGAAAACAAAAACAAGAAGAATCAAATCCGGATATAATGTATAACGGGATAATGTGACGGGAAATGTGACCAAATGTGCAAAAGATAGAATGGAATCGAAAAAAAGGTAGAAGAAAAGAGACAAAGCGCCGTGTTCGATGACTCCCGATCAACGCCCCCCAATTTGTCCCTTGGGAATAGGCGGGATCCAACATACAGCGAGGTTGATCCCCAACTGCATGATGCCAATCACCCACAGCGCCATGGCATAGTCCTTCCCATCGTTCATGAAGCGAAACACGATCGCAAACACCACGCCACCTAGATTGCCTCCAGCCCCCGTAGCCCCCGATACGATGCCGTTGGCAAAGGGGTGCACATGCGGCACGAGGCCGAAGTTGGCTCCATTGCCGAGCTCGTGGAAGATGGCCACCAAGGCCACCAGTCCCACCAGGAGACCCAGACTTGACCCTTCCGCTGCGGAAGGATCCACGCGTCCGACGATGATGAGTGTCACACCCGTGGCCACGCCACAGAAGGTGACCCAGAGCTTCTTGGACCAAAGGTTCCGTCCCGTGCAGCGGTACAGCGCATCCGACACTATACCACCCAGGGGCCGGGTGGCGAAGTTGAGGAAGCCAAAGATGGAGCCGTAGTTTCCCGCGCGCCTCTGGTCTAGGTGGGGGAAATTCTTCATGAAGTAGGAGCTCACTATGGCGTTAAGCGCCAGCTCCCCGCCAAACGAGCAGCCGTAGGTGCACACGAGGAAGAGGGTCTGTAGCGACATGAACACGGGGAGAGCCTCCCGAATCGTGGGCTTGATAATCGTCTCGCCCTGTGCCGTCTCGTACGCCTCGCTCTTGGTCATGGATGCTTCGCCTTCGCGGCCGAACAGCTCGATTTTGTTGTCCGGGCCGGAGCACTTATCCGAGCCCGAGATAGTGCCCTTTTCTTCATCTGACAGCACACCTTCCGAGGACCGGAGGCCGGTTACCTTGCCGGGCACGTCGGCTATCTCCTGGTTCTGAAGACTGTGGGTTGCAAGGTTCTCTCGGATGCGCTGCTCGCGCTCGCTCCACGTACCCAGAGGTGACTCTGCGCACAGAAGGGCCATGCTTATGCTGCACGCCAGAAGGCACACAAGTGGGACCACGAATGTCACCCGCCACGCCTTGTGCTCCGTCATTCCCTCATCGTGCACAAACGAGTCAAAGATGGCCGGCATGATGACGTACGTGAGCCCACCACCGGCGTTGCCCCAGCCGCCCGCAATGGCGTTGGCCGTGCCAACAACGTTCTTGTCGAAGAAGCCTGTGCACCATACTTGGCAGGGGACAAACGTGGCGCCGAGCACGCCGATGAAGAACCGGCACACATATAAACCCGTGGCGTCCTTGACGAGAGGTGCCATGCCGATCGGCAGGCAGCCTACCATCAGGAGACCCGCGTATACGTTGCGCGAGCCCCACTGGTCGCATAGAGGGCCGACGACGAAGCGGAGGAAGAATGTGGCTGCGAGTGAGACGATGTTGGAGTTGGCCACTTGTGTTGTCGTCAAGTTAATGTCCTTGGCGATGGTCTCGGACAGGAGCGGCGGAAATGTGTACCTTTTTGAAGGAAGTCAGCTTGGTCGTGTGAGTGTAGAGTAGAGGGGAAAAGACAGCTTACCAGGCCCAGAATGCGAGCATAAAGCCCAGCCAGGAAAAGAAAAAGACACGGCCGTAGGGGTCAAAGGGGTTGAGGATGGGGACGCTTCTGGCCTTTTTGGTGATGGGGTTGACTTCTGGGGCCCTCCATAGGAGGGCGATGTCGAAGCCCATTGTGACAAGTCCTCCTTGACCACGTACAAATACTAGGTGCCACAATGATAGCTTTGCCAGGATAACGAGAACACTGGGAATATGTGAAGTAAATGGAACGTCCACTATTTTTTTTCTTGCGACTAGACGAGAGCCGCCAGATGAAAGAAGGCTGAGGGACCTGGCTTTATAAGACAGGTCCTGGGTAAAGATGCTCTCAGTAGTACTGCTGGCAGAGCGAGATGTGCATCTCCGGTAGAAGGGGCTAAGAGTCTAACCTGCAAGGCGTTCCCTGCATCGACTCACAGCAGTGGCCGAACTTACTAGTATGTCGTTCTTGACTGGACCGGCAGTGGCTTACCCAGGCCTGCTTGCTTCTGCCCCCTTTCGAGAGGGGGTGAGGGCGGAGGGCACCCGGAGATGCTGAGAAGCTGATAAGGTCGGTTGATCGACCGCTGTTGTTTTGGGGATCCAATAGGATGTGGCTAAATACCATGACGCACATGAAAAAACTGCTGCGATCAGAGCGATGGGAGATACCCTCACAGTTGGTCTTTGGCCGGGACGTGAGAGAGGGCCCGGAGTAGTCTGACGGATCGGGTTGTCTGGCGTCGATTTCCTATTATCTGGTGCAGTGGACGGTTCTCGCGTACCTTCTTCTCTCTGGAAGCTATCAACGGAATTACCTGTAGAGTGTTAGTATTACTATGCGGATACAATTGAGCTTCCCCGCGGAGTTGCGCCGTACGTCTTAGACGGGAGCACCCAGGATATGGATCCCCGTAAAACGTGGGTCCTCCCGGGACCACAAAGCAACAGGCCAAGATCAAATAGAGGTTTCGACACTATAGAGGTGAAAAGACCAGTGGAATAGCAAGCCTCTGTCAATTACCGCCATGTGTCACACTTATCTCGAAGCAACCTCTACGAGTGGTGGAAGGGTGTGGGATCCACTAAGGGAGAAAGATAAGACGGTCGAGATGCGGGTGGTTATCTCTTCATCACCTTCTCCGCGGAGGCCCTGGTTTTCACTCGCACTCACTGTTTTATGTGTCGTCTGTTGACGTCTTTCGTCAACCGGGAAGCGAGGACGACGTCAATGTTGACCCAATAGACAAACAGATCGCTTTGCCCTGGTACACTCGTCGGCCACACCGATGCATTCGCTGAGTGCTGCAACTCGTATGACTGCAAGACCATGTCACCCTGCAAGAATCTGCAGTCCGGGATACCTAGCACAGTCGCTCTAGGACTCGTATTCTGGATAAGAAGTTCCGGAACGATATGGCGAACCGCTAAAAGATGAGTTGCACACAGCCAACCCCGCTGGGTCACAGAATCGTTGTCCGGCAGGGTGACGCCACACCGGTTATTGACACAGTGCGTTTGGTGCAAACAGAGCGACCTGCTAGAACTCAATGCTCCTGGAAGCAATAGCGGAGCTCTGAGAATCCGGGGTTTTTGCCAGAATGACCAATGCAATCCAAATGGTTACTGGCGAAGTTCGTTGCTCTGCCCGGTGACCGATAACCGGCGACTGGTGTGAAGGTATCGTCGTCTGCTTCCCTTACTGGCGGAACAACGGCCTTGCCGTCCCCTCGCCGAGAAGGTGAGAATGAAAAGAGAAATACAGAAGCGGTATATATCACAGGCAGGTCTAACAACCAGCTTGAAGATCGGCCAAAGAAAACGGTAATGACTAAGGTTCTTCTAAACCCATAAGAACAAAAAAAGGGGAGGAGGGAAAAACACCTCTATGAAAAAGACTTGTATGTGGTGATCTAAACCATATACGGTAGGTGGGGCTTTTTTTTTCTCTTCCTTCTCTTCTTCCAGGGTCGCTCCTGCTGAGTTTTTTTCACTCGGGCCAGTCGACGTCAGCCGGAAGGCGGGACGGAGACTTTCTCCAACCTTGGAAGTCCAAATGAACAACTTGTAGTCCGCTTGCTGCTCCATTCTTCTGGCCAATTCTATACGAAGCATCACTGCTCATACCCTCTTGACCTTGGCATTTCTTTTCTGCCCGACTGCAGAAATACCAAGCCCGTCTCAACTTACACCTGGGTTCTACACCCGACTGTGAGTAATAGCCGGCGCAAACCCCCCCCGCGACTCTTGGCTTGGTCCTGACCTCGACGCCCCTCCAACGCGGTAGATACAACATCTCAGGTCCCTTCAATATGGCATCGCAAGAAGCCCCCAAGACCTGCAAGGTCATCACAGCCGACACCATCGCCAAAGGTCTGCTGGACGAGGTGCGGGACACCCTAGCCAAGATCCAAGAGAAGGGCAGTGGGCAACCCACCCTGGCCGCCTTCCTGGCCAACGGTGATCCCTTTGCTGAGAAATACGCCGAGTGGTCCAAGAAGACGTGTGAAGAGAAGTGAGTGACGGAGAAGAAGAAAAAAGGACAAGAATGAAGAAAACCGAAGAACACCCCTCCTTGAACCCCGCATGTTCATCATGGTCCATGGTGGGGTATAAAGAAAGGATCTATGCTAAGATGTATGTACGAAAAAAGTGGCTTCAAGTTCGACCTTCGCTCGGTGCAAAAGGACAGCCTGGAGGAGGAGATTATCAGGGCCAACGAGGAGGAAGATGTCGACGGTATCATCGTGTACTACCCCATATTCCCGCAGAACCCGAGCCACGACAAGTATGTGCAAGAGACGGTAGACCTGAGCAAGGACGTCGAGGGTATGCGTCACAAGCACCTGTACAACATGTACCACAACGTCCGATTCCTCGACCCGCCCGAGAACCGCAAGAAGTCAATCCTGCCCTGCACACCCCTCGCCGTCGTCAAGATCCTCGAGTACCTGCAGATCTATAACCCCATCCTGGCGGTAGGTAACCGCCTCTTCGGCAAGACCATCACCGTCATCAATCGTTCCGAGGTCAACGGGCGTCCGCTGGCGGCCCTCTTGGCCAACGACGGAGCCACGGTGTACTCGGTCGACATTACAGGTGTGCAGCTCTTCACCCGCGGTCAGGGTATCAAGCAGCCACGCCACCAGGTCGAGGACAAGGAGGGCTGGGGTCTCGAGCAGTGCCTGCCCGCCAGCGACGTCATCATCTCGGGCGTGCCGTCCGACACGTACAAGGTGCCGACGCACCTCATCCGCGAGGGCGCCACCTGCATCAACTTCTCGTCGCACAGGAACTTTGACGGCCCTGCCATCAAGGAGAAGGCATCGCTATACGTGCCGTCGGTCGGCAAGGTGACGATTGCCGTCCTCCTCCGCAACCTCGTGGTGAGTAATGCCAAACACTTTGTGTGTGTCTGCCGGCAAGCGAGACATGCTAATCATCTTGATACATTAGCGTTTGATTGCCAACCGTCCGGCCAGGGACGTTTCGGAAACGGGCGACATTTCGCAAGCCAGGAACGAGGCCTTTGCCGATGATTGAAGCATCGTAACAAGATCGAATCAAGTGGGGTGGTGTTGATTGATTCGGTGTTTCATGCAAGGACGCTCTTGGCGTATTGCGGAGTTTAGTCACCAAACAAGATTGGACGGACTCGACACACAGACGAGGAAGAGGGACAAAAAGAGAAGCTTTTCCTTATAAACCAAAAAAAAAAAACATATAGAGGTATATGATATATCGGTTATATAAAAGCAAAATGAATGGCTGTATTTCTGTTCTTCTTGTCCCCTCCCCCTTCCCTTTGCAGGGTATCCACTATCCGGTCAGGAATCAGGATAGAGTACTCCGTACGATGGCGGCAGTTGACCAGGCGGAGCCGAAATCTCAGAGACAAAGCTGGACCAGTCTGAGAGTCCCTCAGGGTGGGAGGGAAAGGGGAGGTTATATTACTGGGCATTGGGCAGAGAGTGGCAGGGATCAAGTCTGACCGAAATGAGGCTGGGCTGCGGGAACCAGGAGAGAGCAGGGATTCGGAGGTTGGAATCTGGCGCATGGCCGCGCGCATTCGACGAGATTCTCCTTCTCTTGCTCTCCTCAGCAGCCGGCCATGTGGCTCAGTAATAAAGAGGGGCTTTTTGCAACGTCGGCTGGGGTATTACGTGTTTATTTACAGAGTACGAGCCTTACAATTTACAATTTACCATTACCCGTACAAGTACGGGCGTCGTATGGAGCGTGGTAATTGTAAGATAACTAATTAATAGTACTCGGTACTGGGAGTGTAGCACTCATGGCGATCCTGGGCGACTCGTGAGTGAACCCCATGCCCAGTCCTGCACGGTCCTTTCGAGTTTGGGCTGAGACGGCATGCAAGGAGGGGGGGGGAAAGACTGTCTGTACTCGTACTCGTACGTGGACTCGTATGAGGACAAAAAGATGGGCATTGCAGAAGACTTCCATGGCCGTGATGTGACGGCGCTCGATTGACTGCAGCGAGCGGTCTGGAGGTACATGATACTCGTATATAGCCACCCACCTAGCTGGGATGAATCATGAACCCAACCCCTGACGGAACCTGCACGGGCGGGCACTGGCGTTGAGGGGATGCAGCCCAGCGGACGGATGCCTTCAACTAATACTTGTACCTGTTATCCATTGGAGTGGAGGAGCCTGGGCTGGAGACGATTGGCCGCTGCAGATGCAAGTAACTGCACTAATGGTGGTGACACAATGCCGCTATTAGGGGCTGCAGGATACAGCCCAGGTACCATCTCGTGGCCCCTGGGAAGGGCCCCCAGAATATCGTACATTTACAATGAGTGAAGCGTATATTATGCACTCTCGCGAGTACTCGTACGTCAAGGAGACATCATTACATGTTCATATTGATACTAGTAGAGTCTAGCGTCCAACGAAGAGTATCATTACGGATACTTTCAATCTGTAGTGCTTTCCGTACGAGTACCCGTAATGCTTAAAGTGCGAGTAATACTGGTAGGAAGAATGGCAGTACTCGCACATATAAAGTATAGTGGCATCACGACGAGTACAGATTACTGCCTGTGAGGGTATTACTCGTACTAGGTAATATTATTAGTATATGTACGAGTTAGTAGTGCTATTACTACTAATACCAATTGCGTCGTAATATATAGAGTACTAGCATGCGGAGTATTATTACCTTTCTGCACTAGGAGTTCCCAGTACGGTGCCGCGCAAAAGAGCCAGCCAGTTTCCGGCTTCGTTACGGCTGTCATCTTGACTCGCTACTACTCCGTACTTCCCAGAGTTTTTTTTTCTCGGTCGGCTCCTTCTCAAACTTCTGCTCTAATTCTAGACCGGCACCTTTGTCTCTGAGACTGCCGCCTTTGTTCCCCAACTTGTCTCACCTTTGTTTTTCTTACTTCCTCACATGCTTCCTTTCTTGGTCTGCGACATCCTACCGATAAACACCCCCCCCAACCAAGCGGCCTGAGTCTGAGCTACACGCCCCTTAGGAAAAGAGGAAGAAAGAAAGAAGAAAGAAAGAGGGTCTCCAACTCCTCCTTCCCTTTGATTGCGACGGCCGCACCCGTTACTGCCTCCGAGAGGCTGCGACGCTGTGTGCGAGGCCTCGGCCCGCTAGAGCACTGCGATATTTTGACAATTCTCCATCTCATCTTGCTTTTTCCCCCGTCGCTGGTTTATGGATGCATGCGCTCGGCTTCCCATACCCCCCCCCTTCGACTACTTGACGACGAAACGCGATCGAGTTAGGAGGGCTGCGACACGAACCTAATCCGTACGAGATCGGCCATATCTTCTGTCCCATATTTATCTTATATTTTTGGAGCGAACAAGAACCATACCTAGGCGTGGGTCTCATAAGATCTATATCCGGGAAACGTGTAGTCGTGTGCGATAATAACATTCGCGGTCGCGACGACGAAAACGACGACGCCAGAGAGCCGCCGTCATGCCTAGCATCACCCAGAGCCACCACGATGGCCGTCAGCACGCCGCGTCCCACCATCACGGTCCTGTTCCTGGCTCGCCGACCCTTACAAACCCCGACATGATCCTCCCCGACTACGACGCGCCCCCGTCCCCCAATGGACGCTCTCAATCGTCTCTCATGGACTGGAGAGACCCCAACCTCGACCAGCTCGACTTCCAGCTGCCTCCCCAGGCTGGCTACGGCTACGGTGCCAAGTCGGTGGCCCCCGCTACTCCCATCATCTACGGCAACGGTACCATGCTCTCCGACATTGGTGAGGTCACCGAGGTCGAGAGCACGGTCGGCCCAGCCTCCAGGAGGGCCTCATCGCGATACTCAAACTACACAGAGACCGAGACATTTGGGCCCTCGTCGGCTACCGTTGTCATGAGCAAGGTACTCGCCCGGAGGTCCAAGGCGCAAAAGGCCCGTGAGCGCCGTTCCTCCATCGACTCGACCAGCACAATCACCACTCAGGACCACCGCGCCGACTTTGCCGACTTTGACGACACGGTCAGCGTCGACGACAGCAGCTTCCAGGGCGACGACGAGGAGAGCATGGCTTCCGAGTACGTCGAGGGCACCGCGCCCGCCCGGGGATACGACGAGCGTCTGGGACACGGACAGGAGGACGGCAACAACAGGCACTCGACGGCATCCATAAGCAGCAGGGCCGAGCTGATCCTTGCCACGGCAAAGCGCAGGCTGACGGTAGGCTGCAATCCCCCACCCCTTTCCTTTCCTCCTGCGTAGGAGACCTTGGGTTCCTCGTACTGACGTGTACATACTTTCAGGCTATGGAGGGCAACCTTTCGAGGGCCAGGAGCTCACTCGGTACTTCGGAGGCCTCGACACCATCGCCCCAACTAGTTCAATCGACCCCTGGTGTTCGGCCTAGCACATCGGCCTCGCAGATCACCGGCCACGCAAGAATCAAGAGCGAGGACGGCCCCATGGGTACGCCCAAGCAACAGCCCTCCCACGGTATTACAAGGTCGGCAAGCGCCCTGGGTGCCGCCGGTGGCTACCGACAACCGCTGCCCAAGTTCAAGCGTGAGGATATCAGCTCCCCGGCAGGTTACCTGTCGCCCGGTACATCCCAGTTCCCGCTGGACACGACTCTCGAGGCCCTCGGGGAGGATGAGGTGCACGACACATGGTCCAGCGCCGACGGCATGCGTAACGGGGGCATGCTTCTGACCCCGGTATCTACCGGTTTTGCCGAGAAGGGCCTGACGCGCTCCGCGTCGGCTGCACAGATGAGAGACATACATGATCAGATGCAGGGCCTGCGCGGCAAGATCTCGTCACTCAAGGAGCAGGCCAGGGCCGACAGCCTCAAACGCAGGAGTCTGCAGAGCCTGCGAACGCCGAGTCCATTCACCCATGCCCGCTGGAACCAGGGACTGATGGAACCCGGCGAGATCCGTGCGGCGACTTCCCGCGAAACTACACCACCGCTCCCCGCCGCCAATGAGAGCGAGGCTGACAGTCGTCCATCGGCTGACGGCGTAGGCACCATCCCTCTCAGCCCGCAAGAAGACGACAAGACCGTGAGCAGCGACCGCCGCCCAATGAGCTCGTACTCATCTTCCTCTAGGAAGACAAAGACTCCAACCCAACGGGACCTGCCCGACAGTACGCCCAAGAGCCCCGAGCAACAGCTGCAGTCTCAGGTACAGCAGCAGCCGCAAAAAGCAGCGGCCAACCACGAGGGTCAGGATGCCGACCAAGACGAGGACGATGATTTGCGGACTGAGGATGGAGATGCGTACGAGGACGCCTACGGACCCGAAGAATACGACGACCAGGATGACGGCGTAGACGACGCATCAGACTGGGCGAGCGAGAGTGGCGAATCCTTGTACCACGACACGGAGCAGTTTGCAACATCACACGAAGACCGCGAGGACGCCTTCGACTACGAGCATTTCTTCCTGCACTCGGCCATGGGCAACATGAGTCTACGGGCCGAGATGGATGAATCGTCGGAGAGCGAATTCTCGGATGACTCGGTAGAGACGACGCGGGGACCGACTACGGCGTCGACGTCGATGAGCCACAGCCGTAGATACAGCGGGGACTCGAACGCATCGGACGAGACGTTTGCGACGGCCAACGACGGGAGGCCGAGCCGCATGTCTATGAAGGACTCGAGGCGGGGCTCGCCCATGGGCACGCCGTACGAGGAACTGTCCCCCCTGCGCGAGGTGCGCAGCGAGGATGCCTCGTCGGACCGTCGACTGTCGGAGGATGAGGATGATGGCGACGAGCACGTGCCCGGCATACCTGCGCCCCGCAACCAGCACCACTACTACTCTGCCGCCATCATGAGCCGGCCCACGAGCGCCAGCGCCACCCAGGCAGGCCGTCTGCACCGACCGTCAGTCTCGTCCTTTGAATCGGCGGGAACAACCAGAAGCTTCCCCCTCGTCAACAAGTCCAAGATCACCAGCCTGGACGGTGTCCTTACTCCTGGAGGATCGCCCTCTTCCTCGGGAAGTTCACCGGATCCAGCTAAGCAGGCTGCTTCGACTACCGCTACTGCGGACCATCTTGCCACCGCGACGCCGAATGGTGTCGGCAACAAGGTCAACGGCATCAGCGGCGGATTGCCGATGCAGAACCTCCCCAGGGAAGACCAGATTGCCGTGGAGAGGCTGGTGGCCAGCCTGGGACGTTGCGTCCTCGACATGAGCGAGGGTGGACCTTCTCGGGCGGGGTCCGAGTACAGAATGCTCAGACGGAGACTCAATGCTGCGAGGTTGATACTCGAGGGTCAACGGGATGCCGCGTCTCCTTGATGTCCCTCCTCTCTCTTCTCTTTCCAGGATCTTGTCTTACCCTTTTCTTTCCCCAGCACCTGTTTTCTTCTTCTTCCCTTCACATTTTTAGGACATGTATTTTGGCCTAACATTCTTTACCCATTTCTTTCTCTCTTTTTTTAGATATACAATTGGATGTACGGCGCAGAGAGGATATTTTTTTTCCCTTTTACTTCTTTATCTGTCCTTTTTGAGAACTTGCCAGTTCTTGTTTACTGGTCATATACCCTTTGCTTTCTTTACGAAACATTTAGCTATATTATATGAAACCACCTTCTGACCTGTCCTCTCTTGATGATGAAATTGAGAAGGATGGAGAATGAATGCATCGATAAAGAAGGATCAACAAACACTTGTAGTTCAAAAGGCGACTGTAAAGTTGACGCATGATTGAACCGGTGTGGCCGAAAAGGACAAGGTACAAGGGTACACGATAGGTACAGAGATACCCCCCCACATGCATGATATCAAGCGCTCAGAGCAGAGAGAGAGAGAGGGAGAGAGGAGACAGTCAGCGAACGAACCCTTGTTTCCCCCCCCCCCCCATCTTCTTGTCAGCAGGACAGAAGTGCTCAGGGACCCTACAACACACCGTCATCATCAACAAGACGACACGACACACGATTTCACGAAGAAACGAGACACGACTGAACAAAATTTTGCAACATTTCCTCTCTCTCTCTCTCTCTCTCTCTCTCTCTCTCTCTCTCCTTCTCTCTCTCTCCCACTCTCTCGCTCCCTTTTTCTCTCCCCCACACCACTTCTCTCTATACCTACCCATCGAGAAGAAAAGAATTGTGTGTGATCAACAGCGTCGTGTGTCCGGGAAAAAAACAAACCACCCTTCCTACAAAGACCGATTACCTGTAAGAAAGGGACAGAAAAGAGAAAGAAAAAAAGAGAAAAGGAGACGAACGCACGAAAAAAAATCAACTACCCAAAAGAAAACACCCTCCCCACCCACACACACAAACACACACAGAAAAACAACGAAACATGGACACAGCAACCGTCGGGGTCCTGTCGTCCCTCCTACCGCCCGAGACTCAAAAGTACATACAGGCATACATCCTGGACGCCGACTCTCCGGGGCAGCTCCTCCTCCGACAAGCGAGCGGGTACGCGTCCTCGGCGGCGTCGACGGCCCTGCCGCTGGTGACGCCGTACGTGGACGCGGCCCTGTCAGCCTTGGCGGACAACCAGGGAGCCGCCGGCCTGGTGGCCGCGCTGGCCGTGGTGACGGCCGTGGTGGTGGTGCTGAACTGGCTGCGCAGGCTGGTCATGTGGTGGACCAGGCTGGTGGCGAGGCTGGCCTTCTGGGCCGTCATCGCCCTCGTCGTCGCCGCCGCCTGGGAGAGGGGCCTGGCCCGCACCACCAGGGACGTCGCCGTGGCCTCATCCACGCTCGCCGGCTACCTCGCTGGCCTGAGGGATATCTGGGTAGCAGAGTACAATCATTACGAGAGTCAGAGGGTTCGCGGTGGGGGGCCGTCGTCGTCGGCTGGTAGGAGGTAATAATAGTAGCTTTGCAATTTCCATCTATTTTGTTTGGGAGGGGGTTCTCTCGAGGGAAACTTGTTCCCATGTGTTTCTTTCTTTTCTTCCATCTTCCATCATTGTTGTATCAAACTGGCCGAGGACGAAACTTTTTTTTATAACTTATTGGACGAGCGCAAATGTTTTCTTTTCATTCCCATTCTCTTTTGATATCCTTCTTCAAAATGGAATATCCTTTTCTTTTCTTTTTGGTTCCTGATGTTTTCCACACCGACTATTATACCCGTGCCCCACCCAACGCCCTCGCTATGCAGAAAATGGTTCCTCTTGTTTATATAATCCTTGGGGACTTTGACCAAGTGCAAAATAACAGAATTTTTTTTTAGGACAAAAGAAGAAGAAGAAGAAGAAGAAAGATGATGAGAGTCATGAGATATTCAGGCGGAGAGGCTGACGAGAGATTACTCGTCAGCCTGGGCAGAATCTTCATCAGCAGGCTCCTTTGGCTCCTGGGCTTCGTGGAACTGAATACAGTCGTCGATGTGGCTGAGGATGGCGCCCACACTGTCCTCGCTGGTGACGTCGAGCTTTAAGAAGTTTACCATGCTGAAGCTCTCGATAAGTCCGGCGACGGCGCGATTGAGCCGTCGGAAGCTGGCCCCCTTCATGACCTGACGTCTGTCGTCGGGGGGAGCAGTCCCGTCGTCATCATCTTCGCCGTCGTCGTCGTCGCCGCCGCCGTCGCCATCCCGACCCTGGTCCTGCCTGCCGCTCTCGGAATCGAGGCGGCCACGGGGCTCGTCGTCCAGCAGGGCCGTGTCCGGGGTGAGGAACTTCTTCATGTCCTTCTTCTTGACCTGGCCCTTGACCAGATCCATCTTAGACAGCACGTTAATGTGTGGCACCTCGAGCATGAGCATGGCGCTCATGGCGCTGAGCGTGCCGGCAAAGAACTTGGCCTTGTCGACGATGAAGGTGGCCTCGAGGAGGTAGACGGCCGCCATGCGCACGTCCAGAGACCCTGGCTGCGAGAGGAAGCGCATCAGCGTTGGGAGAATCGGCACATGCGTGTACAGCTCTATCTGGCCCGGCATGTCGAAGATGATCAGGTAATCCTCCGTCAGGGAATCCAGCGCCTCCGTCAGCCAGTCCAGATTGTCCATGAGGAACTCGAAGCAGTATATCAGCCCGCCGTTGGGTCCCAGGCCCACCTCCTCCATCGCATCGTGGAGGGAGATGAGCTCCTTGATGTCGAGGTCGGGCGTGTGCTCGAACGACTCGGCCGCCGGGTCCAGGTTGACATAGAAGGCTGATCGGCGGTTCATCTGGAGGTGGGTGATGAGGGCGGCGCAGAATGTTGACTGTTTTCCCTCTCGCGTTAGCCTTTCTTTCTGTCTTTCTTTCTTCTTTTCTCTGTCCCCGTCTCTAACCCAACCCCCCCTTCTTCATATTTCCCTATCTCTTTCTTCATCTCTCTCTATCTCTCTCTTCTTCCTCCCTTCACGTCACTTGCCCTCTCCTCTTCGGACAAGAAGCCCTTCTCCTGAGACGGCCAGTGCGAAACGTACCTTGCCGGCACCCGCGGGGCCCATGACCATGGCGCCAAACTTGCTCATGGTGACGGTGGTGGTGGGTGAACCGTAGCTTCTGTCGGATCGCTGTAGGTTTTCGGTTCCTCAGATATGGCGCGCCAGCCTCGTCGGTTCAGATGGTGGTATGCTGCAAAGACAAGAACTCCTTGATGGTGGATTTTCCAGTTGTTGCAGAGTCGAGGTTGACGATAGGTGGGGGCCCCGCATTCAGCCTTTCTTCCATAGTGGTTTGCAGTGTCTCTGCGCTGGTTGTCCATGATTACCAATGACCAGTATCACTGGCAACCTGTTTGAAAATACGCCAGGACTGCTGCGCCGAAGGTTTGATAAGGGCATGGCATATCGATGAATAGGAACGAACAAGAATAATGAGAGATCATAGACAGCGTCAGGTATCCCCGTAGGATGGCCATGGTCGAGGTTAGACTGCCATATACTCGTAATGTACGGAACAATACGCATGTGGAAGGTACGCATAAAAATATAGCCGAGTGTACCCCTAAAGGGTACTTCGACACAAGGGTTTACGTCAATGGATACTTCGTGACGGCGTAGCAGTCTACAGATCAGTAGTAGTATCGGCAAATGGCCAGGCGAAAAACAAGAAGTGGCCTATCGCCATGATTCAATGTCCAAGTGACAAGTCGTCACTCGTCAGCATTGATGATAATACGGTGTAATGTTGCCATACATGGCAGATATAATTAATAATATTCCATGCCTGGAGTGAGTTTACGGTGTACGACGTACGAGTACGAATACGTCGTACGACAAGGCTCGGCATCCGAAGACCGTGCAAAATCTCCTCTCGAGCCGATGTATGGCGCAATACCACCGGCGGTATTCGGTGGATTGGCGCACCAACAGGGACGCCGCAAATAAGATAGATAAATAAAAATGTACCAAGTGACAAGTTATGAGTTGCGAGCAGCCTTACTGCGTATACGTACTCGGGGGGGCTGGTAGTGAAGAGTCTAGTCTGAACCGATTGGCGTGGAAGAAAGATGAAAAAAATTCCACACAGAAAGGCCAGGAAGGCCACGAGGTGGGGGACAGCCTCCAAGACGCCAATTTTTCTTTCTTCTCTTTTCCTTAGCCGGTCTCTTAGCTTTAATTCCCGCAAAAAAAAAAAAAAAAAAAAAAAAAACAACTGCGAGCACGCCTCACTCTTTTGTCGTCATCATTGGTTCCAACTTCCTTGCTCACGTACAGAGTATCAACCACCCAATACTTCCCGAGCAAATAAGGAGTTTTTGCTCGAGTGAATCGTTGCAGATATGGCACAATATTACCTTAAACGGTTTAGGCTACACTGTCATGATTTCTCGGGATTTGAGGTCTCGGGAGGGCCGTCTCCCCCTCTACTCTCCAGTGCCTATCCCTGTGCGTCTCCCTTGTACAGGTGCTATTATCCCCTGTACCGTCCAAGCTTAGGTCTCTGTATCTTGCTGCCCCTCGCTACTCCGTACCTGGATATGGAGGTAATCGCATGGCGTACAGGCTCTCCCATTCTAAGAATGAAGAGCTATAGTGGCCGTATTCCGTAACGCAGGCCAGAACACACAGCACCCCCCTCCCCCCACCCAATTCGATTCGGCGCTCCTGGACCACTGGACACCGCCGAACCGTCTAACCCCACTATCGGCCCCTCCAAAATCAGCCTTCTTCACCTCTTCACTTCTTTCTCTTCCTCCTTCTCTTGTTCTTCGCTACTTTTTTTTTTTTCTTCCTCCTCAATCAACACCTTTAATATCGTCGAGGTATGTCAACTTGCCCTTCTCCCGTCCCTCTTTCCAATTTCCACAATCTCTTTCTCAGCATACACTTCCAATACCGTCCTCTTTTCTTTCTCCCTGTCCCTTGATGCTAATTGACTTGTTTTCTCTTTTCTCTCGGCAGCAATCCCCTCCTCTCTCTCCCTCCCACCGGGTTTTCTAAACTATTACACTTTCACAATGTCTGCCAACGGCGTTTCGGATACCTTCCTCTTCACCGTGAGTTGTTCTCTACACACCCCCCAACCCGATGGCACGGAGCACCTTTGCGTGGCTCGCAATCGTCGTGCCACCCCTCATGAAAAAAGGAAGGAGGAGAAGAAGTGAAAGCTTTTCTCGTTCCATCGCGCTAACACTGTTTCCCCCTTGGTAGTCCGAGTCGGTAGGTGAGGGTCACCCCGACAAGATTGCCGACCAGGTTTCGGATGCCATCCTCGATGCCTGCCTGGCCGAGGACCCCCTCTCAAAGGTTGCTTGCGAGACGGCCACCAAGACTGGTATGATCATGGTCTTTGGTGAGATCACCACCAAGGCCAAGCTCGACTACCAGAAGGTTGTTCGTGACTGCATCAGGGACATCGGTTACGATGACTCGTCCAAGGGCTTCGACTACAAGACCTGCAACCTTCTCGTGGCCATTGAGCAGCAGTCGCCTGACATTGCTCAGGGCCTTCACTACGACGAGGCTCTCGAGAAGCTCGGTGCCGGTGACCAGGGTATCATGTTTGGCTACGCCACCGACGAGACCCCCGAGCTTTTCCCCCTCACCCTCATGCTCTCCCACAAGCTCAACGCTGCCATGTCCAAGGCCCGCCGTGACGGCTCCCTGCCCTGGCTCCGCCCCGACACCAAGACCCAGGTCACCGTCGAGTACAAGAAGGACGGCGGTGCCGTTGTTCCCCAGCGCGTCGACACCGTCGTCGTCTCTGCCCAGCACTCTCCCGACATCTCCACTGAGGAGCTCCGAAAGGAGATCCTCGAGAAGATCATCAAGACCACCATCCCCGCCAAGTACCTTGATGACAAGACCATCTACCACGTAAGTCGCCGAATCTGGTGCGCCCGCGCTCAGTGGGCGCTTCCCACACATTGCGGCACAGTAGGCTGACAGTATAATCTTCGCTCGTTACAGATCCAGCCCTCTGGCCAGTTCATCATCGGTGGTCCCCAGGGTGACGCCGGCCTGACCGGTCGCAAGATCATCGTCGACACTTACGGTGGCTGGGGTGCCCACGGTGGTGGTGCCTTCTCTGGCAAGGACTTCTCCAAGGTCGACCGCTCCGCCGCCTACCTTGCCCGCTGGGTCGCCAAGTCCCTGGTCAACGCCGGCCTCGCCCGCCGCGCCCTCGTCCAGTTCTCGTACGCCATTGGCGTTGCCGAGCCCCTGTCTATCTACGTCGACTCCTACGGCACTTCTGACAAGAGCTCCGAGGAGCTCGTCAAGATCATCCGCGACAACTTTGACCTCCGTCCCGGTGTCATTGTGCGCGAGCTGGACCTGGCCCGCCCCATCTACCTCCAGACTGCCAAGAACGGTCACTTCGGTACCAACCAGGACTTTAACTGGGAGAAGCCCAAGACGCTCAAGTTCTAAATAGACTAAGCGCGGAGGCGGAGAGATATTCAACAACTCTCCGCATGGCATGTAACGCAGAAATGATGTTTACGACCCCATAGTCTTTTTTCTCCTTTCCTTTTTTTTTTGTGTTTTGCGTCTGGCACGGAGTCGATTGATTCACAACAAGATCGACGACAGCCTGCGCTCGGTTCTCAACGAAACCACCTTTTTATTTTGTGTACAGCCCATCACGGGATTGGTGGGTGCGCCGTCAGTTTCCAACTACTTTGCTCCTTCTCCGTTCCGAGACGAAAAAGCGAAGCGGCGAAACGAAGCGATTTGGCGTCTTTCAACAAAGACAAAGGTTGATAGCTTGTACTTGAGAGAAAACCGAAAGGAGAGAAGATGCAAACGCGCGGGGCGGCTGCCCCTCCTCCCTCCTTCCAGATATCTCCCATCAAGGGAGCAATATGGGACAGGTGATCAGAGGAGTGAAAGACAAGGCAAAAGAAGGAAAGAATGAAGAAGAGGAGAGGCAACCTTCATATTCTGAGAGGAGTTGATTTTCTACTTTTTTTTTTCTTTTTGGGCATTGCGCTTATATACTTTGAGATACCCCCCCCCCCCCCCCCCCCCCCCCGGCATTTTGTTGCATTTCTTCTTTCATACAAAAAAAAAAAAAGAAGAGACCTTTTCACGGCTTTTTTGGAGCGTACATTGTGGAGGTTTTATACGGTCATTGTACTTCTGGGTGAAAGAGGTTCAACATCTTTTATGCTTTCTTCCTGCTGGGGATTTATGTTCCACCTTTGACACACAGACTGTTCCGCTCCATGATATCTCTCTCTGCAAGGGGATAGAAGACGTGGATCAATACACTGTGGGATATAGTGAGCAAGATTCAAGAGGGCATTTTGGAAGCTGACTTCTGTTGGTATAATGGAGGGAGATATACAAGGAAAAAGGGAACAGAATATCTTGCGTGATAGATCCTATACATAAGCAAGAGGGACACAGCCCATACAATATATCCGTGTTTCCTCACATAATGTTGTTTCTCCAAGACAAGACCATTCTGTGTTTTGTTCTTCCATCTGCCGCTTTCCCCACGCAAGGTTTGTTTGACATTGAATATAGGAAAGCGGCGGGCGTGATCCAAGCTGGGGGGTATAGTATAATATTACCTGCATTCTCACCATGGCGTGACGGGTCAAGATCGATACTGTTTACTGTTTACCTTGTCCTCTAGCACATGATGCCCAAGGCTCAGGGTAGGTTGATACCAAAAGAGGCAACTGTTGATTCCCGGGATGCCAAGGTTGGGGGGGGG